GTGATACATACTACGAATTGGATATACATCTGTCCAGATTCATTGTTTTAGAATATGTCACATTCAGTACTAGATTCTTTTTTTCTAGGACGGAGGGAGTAGAAGGTAAGCACATGGCTAATTAATCAAGATTGACCCGTTTTACTAGAAAATTCCAAGTGCAATTAATGGCCGTACAGACTCGGCCATGGGTCGGTACGAAAGAAACCACGACACATGTACCCACCTACAGCTTGCATACATCACACTACGTGCATATGCATGCATTATGTAGCGCACGGGCCGGTGTACGTACGAACTGAATCGACAGACATCCAACGGCTTGCACTGTGCACCGGATGCATGATAGGGTTGCATGTGTGCACTGAGACTGCTTGCGTGTCGCGCTGCAGAGATCATGGCCAGGCCGTATATGTGATGGTCCGAGCGGTCGGCGTCGAGAATATCGCGGCCATCGCCAGCGTTGATACAAGCCGAAAAGTGAGTCAGGGCTAGCGGCTCACTAATTAATTAACTGCAGGTGATGAGTTAATTAATCATTGTGTTGCCCTGTTAGGATGTTACTACTAGTAGTATTGTACTCGTTACATCCTAAAATATACTACATCACTTAATTAATAGCGATAATTATTTTAAAAGGGAGGTGGTAGACTTGTAGTGCAATGGTTGCAGGTAGGAGTAGCACGTTGTTGGTGGACCGGTGCGGAGCCCACACTCGCGCGAACGAATGTATGAGAGAAATGGGAATATGTGTATTTTGAGATAAATTGGAATATGCGTCGCGATCGGGGGTCCGTATCGTGAGGCGGTGAGCGAATGAATTCTCGCGGCCTCCCAGAGCGGCGGATGGGTACGGACAAGAAGCAGGAACTAAGCAGTGACATCACCTCACCACCCATCCCCTCTCTATCTCTCTCTGATTGCTTCCGAATCGGCACGAATTTACAGTCCAAACTCCAAACCATGTTGTATCAACGGAGATTTGAGCCGTAATTTTGACAGGATCGATGATGAACGAGATGGCAGTAAAAATGGCGCGTGGCAGCAGCTCAGCTCACGAGGAGATCGGTCTGATTCTGATGGACTGATACGACGAATTTCTGATACAGTTGCAGTTGCAGTTGCAGGCTTGCCGCTGTCCCGCTCCCGCGTGCTTCAATCCGACCCCAACCCTATGTGCACTTTCGCTCACGTAGGTATCCGCGCCGGAGAAAGGGACGCTGTCACGGTGCTTTTCTCATACCCATTTCGTCGTGCCTCCCCTGCTGCCTTTCGCTGTAGCACTATGCAGCTCCGGCTCCCAGCCTCTGAGGCAGCTGAGCCATCTCCTCGCGCTGCTGTTCACGCGGACCATTCCGGCCAGCTACAGCAATCGGCACGACGACTTTAGGCTGCGGCATCGCCATCTCGCATCAGTGGCCTGTTCCTTTTTTCATTATTCAAATGATTGTTAATATAATTATTACTTTACGCTGGAGAAATACGGTTTTCCAAATTTTTTTTAACGGTGCGAAGTTCTATTGATAGATCATGAAAAAATTACAAGATTACAACTCTATAGGGTTGTAACCAGGAAAAAGGAAAAAAATATACCACCACCCGCACACCGACAGCGCCAACACACAACCCGGGAGAAGGCTAGCACCGGACCGGCCACCGCTAAGCGTGACCGACCGCTGCTAGACTAACAAAGGAACACAGACAAGATCGCCCTCTAAGGGATGCCAAAAACGACGTCTTCAAGAAGAGAAGCGACGGAAAAAACCGCCGCCGCCGTCCGTCGGGGTTCAAAGAAGCCGAGACTAGGCTTTCGTCCGGCAACCGCCCTTGAAGGGTGAGACATCACGACAACGCCCTCAGGAGGGGGAATGAACCATCGTTGTCGGCCCGGCCAAGGCCGGACTAGATTTTCACCTGCCGATCACCACCTGCGAATCCTTGGCTGACGCACCGATGCTCCACCACCTCTCCAGCTATGCCGACATGCGGGACCCCTGCACCGGTGTCCCCCGCCGGCCAGTCTTCATGCGCCGGAGACCGCGCCACATCCACCGGTAGCTCCTCCTCGCACCGAGGTCGCCTCCTCCACCGCCGGCCGCGCCTTTCGCGCCAAGCCAGCCTCCTCCACCGGACGCGCCTCTCGCGCCAATCTGGCCTCCCTTCATCGGCCGCGCCTCTCGCGCCGAGCCGGCCTCCGCTGTCATCGGCTGCGCCACTCTATGCCAAGCCGGTCTCCGACCCCTCCTCCAAACGATGCCACGCCGGTCCGATGTAGCCGTCTGCCATGTCCTCAGCTAGTCGTCCGAGGCCGTCATGCCTCCTGCGACCGTGGTCACCGCCACCGCAGCCGCTGCTGCCGAACGCACCACCGTGCCACAGCAGCCGCTGACGCCGCCGATGCGACGAGCTCTGAGGCCTCTGCCTCTGCACCGACAGGCGTTGCCGCTGCTGCCTCAGGCCGCAGCCGCGGCTGCCACTGGCACCGCCACCGTTGCCCATCACCAGCCGCGCTGCCAGTCACCGCCGTCCGCGAGCCTCGCGCCGCAGTCGCTCGGCCTGCTGCCACCAGGGCTGGCGGCGCTGCAGCCGTCGCTCGCCCCCGGCGGTGCGAGCACCGCCGCCCGCGCGCATCTCACCGTCGCGGCGGGCGCCGCTGGCTGCCGTGCAAGTCGTCGTCGTCGCGTCGCCGCGCCGTAGCCGTCGCCTGTCGCCGCCGCCTCGTCGCGCCGGTGTCGCCGCTCCGCGGCCTCCTCCGCCACCAGCACCCACTCCGGCCGGATCTGGCCAGGGGATGGCCAAATCCGGCGAAGGTGACGCTGGATCCGCCGTCTCCTCGCCGGGATCGGTCGCCGCCTCTCCCGCGCTGAGAGGGGTCACCGCCATGAAGGAGGCCCCGCCGCCGCCATCATGGCTCGCCCGCCGGCTTTCCGGCGGTGAGCTCCGGCGGCGGCGAGGTGGGGGAGGGGGAGAGGAAAGGCGGCGGCGCTGCTAGGGTTTCGCCCCCCGTGTGTGTGTGTTGGGGGGGGGGGGGGCGGAGGGCGTGGAGCTGTTACGTTTTCCAAATTATTACACATCCAATATTAGATTTATTTTTTGGGTAATTTAGAACTATGCCATTATAATTTTTCAAAGTTTGAGATATGCCATCGGTATCTCAATCACATATAGGACCCACATGAGTCAATGACATGTGGGTCAAGATGGCATATCTCAAATTTTACAAAATTATAATGGCATGTTACAATTTTCCCTTATTTTTTTTAGGACGAACGTAGTATTTGGTAAGTCTGTTTTTCTAATCTAAATCAAATGGTGCCTCGTAATGGATTCTGACACTGTCCTCACGGCTATCTGATCCGGCAGTAAACTAAAGGTTATCTGAGCTGACGGGCAGTTGCTGAGAAATTATGTGCTGTCAATTTTTAATCTGTTCGTGTTGGGTGAATATCATGTGCTTAGATTGTATTTGGTCGATCGGTATATTTATTCTGCTGCAAACCTTTTCAGCCGTACGCATCGCACCAACGGACATGGTTATTTTTTTTAAAAAAAAACTGAGCATCATTTCGTGGCAACTTTGGCAACACGTGTGGAGCCCTTTATGTTGTGTTAATAATTAGCTTACGTGCCCGGATTCTCGAGCTGCTGTGTTGCCTTTTGTGCGTGTTGATGCAATCGACCGATCGATCGATGACGGATAAAAAATACCGGTGAAATGATGATGGATTGATGGAGAATATATTGTGGAAACTATAGTATGTTTGGGTGTTCAATTGAAGCTGGTTTCGTTCATGCTGTCTTTGGTATTGTCTGCATGCTTTTTTTTGCTCTTGTCTGCATGCTTAAAGTCGTTCTGCACCCGTGGCAGATGATTACACGTGCCACTTTTAAAACATTTTTTTGCGTTGTGTAAAAAAAACTCTATTCCTTTAATATATTGACGTACAATTTTTTTTGCGTTCGCGAAAAAAAAACTTTTCAAACCATTTCCAATACTCTGACCACAAAGCTGTGTCTCTTTGAGTTAAAGGAGAATTATAACTTATAAGTTTGCCCTTGAGTTCAGCAGAGGGCAATACACCTGATTTGATACTTCTTCCGATATAATACTCCACTAGTCCACGTCCATTAGTAATGGAGGTGCAATTCTGAACTAAGCGCATTGATTCCCATTATATACTTCCTTTCCTAAGATGCAATGGTGAAGTTGAGGATGCATGATGTCTATAATTATACCACATGCGAGTAAGCACTTAAAAAATTTACGGATTATTTAATTTATCAGGTCTATCTGACTGTTCAGCACATACCAATGATTTTTTCAGAAAATGGATTAAAACCCGACCATTAGATCCAAAGCCAATGTACACAACCAATGTATTGGTGCACTTATAATCACAGATGTGGATAAATGGTGTGCATGGTTGGTTTTTTGAGCGTGCACGTTTTTCTTGTAACCGCATAAAGAAAGGTGACTGATCGATCAGTAATGTGTGCATATGCACTTTCATAGTTACATTATAATCGTAGAAAAATAGTTAATGTAGACCCAAATATGCACTATATGATGCATATCACTTCAATTTCCCATCGAACGAGCCCCTATTCTACGGTGGTGTGGGGATTAAAGAGGATTAGAGGGGATTGAGAGAGAATAATTCCACATCACAATAGGTGTGGAATAAATCCCCTCCAATCCCTATCTCGTAGGGATTAACTGAACCAGGCCTTACCGGGGTGAAAACCGTATTTTTGGATCTCTGTCACCGTGTACCGTGATACGCCAAAACCCGTAACCATCTAGCGCGGACTCAGGCCTCCCCACCTTCTATATCACCGTCACCAGTTCACGGCCACTGCCCATCTCTCCCTCCCTCTCTCCTCCTCCCCTGTCTCATTCGCATTGCGCCATGGAAGGAGCGAGCCTGCACTTGCATGTTCTCGCGAGGATTCCCGAGACGGCGCAGCAGGCGTTTCTCCGCTGGGGATTGCTCCGTGATTCTTCAAGTAAGGTTTAATCATACCCTGCATCTGCATGCAGAGATTGGTTCATGCATACGTCTGATTCCTCCCCGCCGAGACATCCATGAGTTTGATTGCACTGCATGGGTTTTCTTTGCTATTATCTTTGTTTCTCCTTTTTCCCTTCTTGTTCTTTTTTCCTGCCTCTGCAAAATGTTTGCAAAAGAAATTAGGGGAACTGGAAAAAACGAAAGGTTCATGATAAGTTTGGGGTTCTCATGTTGGGTGAGTTCATACATTCTTCACATGGATAAGAAGAATGTGAACAAATGAACAATCCAAGCATCTGTAACCATTAGCAGACAGGAAACAGCAAGGACCAATACGTGGTTGCAGTTCATAACAGTCGTGGTTCTGTTAAACGTATTCATGTTGATAGGTGGGATAACACGCAGAAGTTACATGTTTACTATGAGAACAGCTGTATACATTTGCTTGTGGCCATACACATGTTCCTTAAGGAAAACTCAGCATGGCAATCAGTGATTAACTTTCTGTTCTCATATCCATATAACTACTTTGGTCACATGTGAATCCATATAACTACAGGAAACGATCCAGAACATTATTAGATATTACAGTCTCTTACATAACATTACTAGATATCATGGATTTATGGTTGCAAAACATTTGAATGGATTAAAAGAAATATTATGGTGTCATTAGGGAAATGGAATATTCCTTTTCCAGTACACTGGACTTCCTAGGAAGAACTTGTATCCTATTAGATGGAAGCCAACGATAATACTTTGTGTTGGTTCATTGTAGTAAAAGCTTTTGATAAAAGGGTATATGAAAAATGACTCTTGAACAAATCTATTCTCCTGTTAGTTCTTAACACATAAATTTACATTGCAACATTACAGATTCCACTAAATTGCAACATTTGCAAGAATGGCAAGAAATGTACTCACCTTGCTTCTGGATGGACGCTTTTGCACTGATACACCTGATATTCATCATGAGTATCTTGGTTCAGTTTCTGTATAAGAGAATAAGGTGGTGCAGGCAGAGATTTAAGACATCAACTGCTGAAAGCAAGCATTCATATCAGGAACAGAAGAACACAGACAAAAAGCTGGGTATAACATATCAAGCAAGCAAAGTTTGTTGCCTGCTTAACTTAGCAAGTCATACTCTGAAGATAGTAGTTTTGTTGTTACAAGGAAGCATAAGTGACTGCAAATATCCAGCATTTGTTCTAGGTGAAAGTGTGCAGGTGCTATCCTGGATAATATTATCACTAGTAGTGTTCAGTTTTCAGAAGACGAAATCCGCAAAGCTTCCGTTTATAATTCGAGCATGGTGGATATTTAGCTTTCTGCAATCAATTACCAGTGTGGTATTTGATCTCAGGTCTATTTTACTCGATCATGAATATTTAGGACCTGAAAAATGGATTAACCTGTTCATGCTTGTTATCTGCACTCTTCTATTTGTAATTTCCGCCAGGGGAAAAACAGGAATCACCCTTGTAGATAACAGCATAACAGAGCCACTATTGAGTCCATCTACAGGACAGCAGACAGAAATCAAAAGCCATGCCCATATGAAAAGCAAATCTTCTACAACTTGTCACATTCTCCTGGATGAACCCTGTGTTTGCTATTGGATACAAGAAACCTCTAGATAAGAATGATGTGCCAGATGTCTATGGGAAGGACTCCGCTGAGTTCCTTTCTGATTCATTCAAAAAAATCATAGATGATGTTGAGAACAGGCATGGTCTAAATACTAAATCAATTTACACAGCAATGTTCCTATTTATTAGAAGAAAAGCTATAATGAATGCAGGATTTGCAGTCTTAAGTGCAAGTGCATCCTATGTTGGACCATCCCTGATCAATGACTTGGTGAAGTACCTAGGGGGAGAGAGGCAGTATGGACTCAAAAGAGGTTACCTTCTGGCTGTTGCTTTTCTCAGTGCCAAAGTTGTGGAAACAGTTGCTCAGAGACAATGGATTTTCGGGGCTCGACAGCTCGGGATGCGGCTGCGGGCGGCTTTGATATCACATATCTATCAAAAGGGACTCCGCCTATCCTGCAGTTCAAGGCAGAAACACACAAGTGGAGAGATCATTAACTACATGAGTGTAGATGTACAAAGGATAACTGATGTTATATGGTACACCAACTATATTTGGATGTTACCCATACAGCTTTCTCTTGCTGTCTATGTTCTCCATCAAAATCTAGGGGTTGGAGCCTGGGCTGGTTTAGCAGCAACACTGGCAATAATGGCTTGCAATATTCCACTGACCAGAATGCAGAAAAGGTTGCAGGCCAAGATCATGGCAGCTAAAGATGGTAGAATGAAGTCAACGACAGAAGTTCTTAGAAGCATGAAGATACTCAAACTTCAAGCATGGGATATGCAGTACCTTCAGAAGCTAGAAGCTTTACGAAACGAGGAGTACAATTGGCTGTGGAGATCTGTGAGGTTGTCCGCTGTAACAACATTCATATTTTGGGGGGCACCTGCATTCATATCCTCCATAACATTTGGCGCATGCATATTGATGGGAATTCCTTTGACTGCTGGTACTGTTTTGTCTGCTCTTGCTACATTCCGGATGCTACAAGATCCAATCTTCACTCTTCCCGACTTGCTTTCAGTGTTTGCTCAAGGAAAAGTTTCAGGTGATAGGGTGGCCAAATACCTCCAGGAAGAAGAATTGAAATATGATGCAGTTATTGAAATACCCAGGAATGACACAGAATATGATATTGAGATTGATCATGGAATATTCAGCTGGGAACTCGAGACAACATCTCCAACTCTGAAAGACGTAGAACTAAAAGTAAAAAGAGGGATGAAAGTAGCAATCTGTGGAATGGTCGGATCTGGAAAATCAAGTCTATTATCATCCATACTTGGGGAGATGCCAAAGCTAGCTGGGACTGTGAGGGTCAGTGGGAGCAAAGCATATGTTCCTCAAAGCGCCTGGATCCTGTCTGGGAACATCAGGGACAACATTCTGTTTGGAAATCCATATGACAAAGAAAAGTATGACAAGATAATACAAGCTTGTGCGCTGACTAAAGATCTTGAGTTGTTTGCAAATGGTGATTTGACGGAGATTGGTGAAAGAGGAATTAACATGAGTGGTGGACAGAAACAACGAATTCAGATAGCAAGGTCAGTATATGAAGATGCAGACATATACCTTTTTGATGATCCTTTCAGTGCAGTGGATGCTCATACTGGAAGCCAACTTTTCAAGGTTTGTTCTGTTTGTTTAAAACTTTCAATAAATGCTCAAGTATGAAGGTTATGTCTTAACTCCATTCTTCGTGGCATTAACTCCATTCTTCGTGGCATAACGTTAATAAAAAAAAGGGCAAAACCTATTTCGTTACTTTTAGACCAATAATCGTTAGACTCTAAGCAAATGAAACAAATTGCCTTGGCAGGATTGCCTGATGGGAATTCTTAAAGACAAAACAATACTGTATGTGACCCACCAAGTTGAATTTCTTCCTACCGCTGACCTTATACTGGTATGTATCTAAAATACTTTTTGGTAGATAATCATGTCAAAAGGTTAGTGTTGTTAAATAATAACACGTCGATGCAAAAAATAGGTGATGCAGGATGGGAACATTGTTCAGAAAGGGAAATTTGATGAGCTTCTTCAACAGAACATAGGATTTGAAGCCATAGTGGGAGCCCACAGCCAGGCTCTTGAGTCTGTCATAAATGCCGAAAGTTCTAGCAGAGTGACATCCACTGAGAACAGTAAACCAGCAGATACTGATGATGAGTTTGAAGCAGAAAATGAAACAGATGATCAAATTCAGGGTATAACAAAGCAAGAGTCTGCACATGATGTATCACAGGACATCAATGAGAAAGGGAGGTTAACACAAGATGAAGAGCGAGAAAAGGGAGGTATTGGCAAGAAGGTTTACTGGGCATACCTGAGGGCAGTTTATGGAGGTGCCTTAGTGCCAGTCACAATCGCAGCACAGTCCTTCTTCCAAATATTTCAGGTAGCAAGCAACTATTGGATGGCATGGGCATCTCCTCCAACATCAGCAACCAGGCCAACTGTCGGATTAGGGCTCATGTTTGCCGTATACATAGCATTGTCAATTGGAAGTGCCTTGTGTGTCTTTGCTCGGTCCATGCTTGTTTCACTAATTGGGCTACTAACATCAGAAAAGTTCTTCAAGAACATGCTCCACTGCATCATGCGAGCCCCAATGTCCTTCTTTGACTCCACGCCTACTGGAAGAATTCTGAACAGGGTTAAGACTGACTTAGTTTGTAAACCATTTTATACTGCATCACGTACTCTCTCCACCCCTAAACTAATAGGTGTGTATTTATGCTTTAACAGGCCTCCAATGACCAAAGTGTTCTAGATCTGGAAATAGCAAACAAGCTTGGTTGGTGCGTATTTTCAGTCATACAAATTCTGGGGACCATTGGTGTTATGTCCCAGGTTGCCTGGCCAGTTTTTGCCATCTTCGTTCCAGTAACGGTGGTCTGTTTCATGTGTCAGGTATGAACTCCCAACAAGAAAAAAAAACTTTATTACTAGCCTTTTGTACTACCATAGCACCATGTGCAAAAGTCACTCTGTGCACCACGATGAGTTCCAAGAAGCTATAGGTACACCTTTTCTCCATAAATTATAGCGTTCATTCACAAAATACTGAAACCATATACTCTGTGTAATGTGCAGCGATACTACATACCAACAGCAAGAGAATTGGCTCGTTTATCACAAATCCAAAGGGCTCCCATCCTACACCATTTTGCAGAATCGCTTACAGGAGCATCAAGTATAAGAGCATATGGACAAAAAGATCGTTTCAGAAAATCAAACCTTGGACTTGTCGACAATCACTCCCGGCCATGGTTCCATAACATTTCTTCAATGGAATGGCTTTCTTTCAGGCTAAACATGTTATCCAACTTTGTCTTTGCTTTCTCTTTGACCCTGCTAGTGAGCCTTCCTGAAGGTTTTATAAATCCAAGTAAGCTCTAAGAAGAACTTAGGCTCTTGGTGATTATGGAAGCATTAAGTCACTCTATGTTGGCTGTTTTCAAACTTATATATTGTACATGCAGGCATTGCTGGACTTGCGGTGACCTATGCATTGAACCTCAACTCACAGTTGGCATCTATTATTTGGAACATCTGCAACACAGAGAACAAAATGATATCAGTTGAAAGAATTTTGCAGTACTCAAGGATCCCTAGTGAGGCTCCTCTAGTAGTTGATTATCGCCGCCCCCCAAACAACTGGCCACTTGATGGAAATATCAATATAAGATGCTTGGAGGTAAGTGCAATGGTGCTATGAGCTGTGAATCTAGACAAGAAAGTTTATAATGCAAATATAATTTTATTTAGCAGAAATAAAATAAATTTTATCATCAGGATGAGTTCACCAGAAAACAATATAAGTTTGAAAAAGAACAATAAATGCCTAAATGAAAATTACTACTCGGGAAAAATTTTCAAAAGGAAAACATATCTTAGGAAGGTGCTTTATTTCCTGATAATATTCTATTGAAGAGGAGAACAAGAACGCATACAAAAATCTCTGAAGTAGGCTTGTCATGGTTTCACTTTTATATGTTTGCATAAGAGAAAAAGAGTGTCTTGAATCGGAAACAGAAATGATAAAAGTGACAATTTATTTCTATTTCTGTATAATGAAAGAAATCAATATTACAATAAAAGGAAAGTTTATTTATAAATTTTCTTAAATTAGTAGTCTTTGCTCAAATGAAGCCATCCAAATGCCGTCTTCACTTTTACTATTTTACAGGTTCGATATGCAGAGCATCTCCCATCTGTTCTGAGAAACATATCATGTACAATTCCAGGAAGGAAAAAGGTGGGGATTGTAGGACGGACTGGAAGCGGAAAGTCAACTTTGATTCAAGCACTTTTTCGGATTGTTGAACCAAGGGAGGGAACAATTGAGATAGACAATATTGACATTTGCAGAATAGGGTTACATGATTTACGAGGCAGACTTAGCATCATTCCACAGGATCCTACAATGTTTGAAGGCACAGTGAGAGGGAATCTGGATCCAGTGAATGAATACTCTGATCAACGTATATGGGAGGTAATTAACCAACTATGCACACTTTCATGATAAATAAAATGTTTTTCATCATATGAAGTAGAGAGCTTTACTCTACATATCATTAGCCATATCATAGCTATTATTGCTTATAAATCATAATCCATGTTAAATAACACCTTGCTATGTATGGATAATGGGTACCTGCTATGAAATCAATATGGATATAGTAAGACTGTAAGAATGTGATGTATAGTGAGTAGTAACTGTGTCAAATAGAAAACGAAACTTAATTCTTCTATTAATTTTTTTATCAGAATACAATTATTCTATTATTTGATTAGCTATCTTGTTTAATCTCCTTCTGGCCAGATATTGGATAAATGCCAGCTTGGTGATATAGTTCGACAGAGCCCGAAGAAGCTGGATTCAACAGGTAATGTATCCTTTTTGGGTTCAGTGGTAAAATTTGAGAAAAGTAGGGATCAGATTAGAAATCCTACCACAAGTTATGAAATGATCAAATAAGATTTGGTCTGCAGTTGTCGAAAATGGGGAAAATTGGAGCGTTGGGCAGAGACAGTTGTTTTGCCTTGGGAGGGTTCTGCTAAAACGAAGTAATGTTCTCATCCTTGATGAGGCAACTGCTTCAGTGGACTCCTCTACAGATGCAATTATCCAAGAAACAATCCGCGATGAATTCAGGGATTGCACCGTGCTGACAATAGCACATAGAATTCACACAGTTATTGACAGTGATCTCATTCTTGTCTTCAGTGAAGGTAAGCCACACCCTTGACAAACACATGCCAGTTTTTTACATGCCACTAAATTGTGCGCTCTTATCTGACGAGCAGGAAGAATCATAGAGTACGACACACCATTGAAATTACTGGAGAACGAGAACTCTGAATTCTCTAGGCTCATAAAGGAGTATTCACGGAGATCAAAGGGCTTTTAGCAGTGCGGCACACTACAATTTGAAAAGCGAGGAGAACAGCATGAAGCCAACCAAGCGCACTACAACAACACACTTGGGTAGAAAGGGGCCGCACTCCACACGATCCCAAATGACAAAGAACGCACAAAACCCACAGAAATATACACCAACTAAGGGGCCTACCGTTGATGTTGGCTAGCTCTTAGGTTCAGGATGATCCCCAAGTAAAGAAAAGAAACACAATTTATGTAGAGTACTGTAAGTATGAGCTCAAGCTGAAGTGGGGGAAACTTTCCCCCAACTCATGCAATGCAGCGAAGCTACTCATAGTCCGAATGTAATTGCTTGAAAAACAAATAAAGGTAATACAACGGAGCGAGATTTTCAGCGAGGGGACTTACGCGCCAGCGTGCCTCACTCCACTCAGGCATTCCGTCGAGCAGGCAGGCGGCGTTCGCGGTTCATCCGGCGCCGCGGTAACACGCGCTGATCCGAGCGGGAGGGTCAGGGCAGAAGCCAGATGGCGGTGGCGAACTGGCGATGCCCACCGGCTTGCAATGTCGGCCCGGGATTCGGAAGGGGAGCGGCGGGGTTCGCTCGCCGGCGGCGAAGCCCAGGGGTGACGGCGGGTAGAGGGACACGGTGGCGGTCAGAATATTGGGATTCTCCGGATGAACCGCGAGGCGGGCTAATCGGGATCGTCCATCGTTGATCTAACCGCTTGCACCACATTGCCTATCTGACAATTTTCTCTCTTAAAAAAAACTGGCGTGCCAAGTGAGCCAGTGGTTGGTTCAGTGCTTAACTTTGTGCACAAATTTTGGCAATTTGACCCTTTAGAGTAGGTACAATAGCAGGCTATAAGCCAACTATAAACATATTTTAAAGAGATAAAGGAAGAGAGAGAAGAGTAATATTTTAAAGAGATAAAGGAAGAGAGAGAAGAGTAACGGACTACAGATCTGTAACCATAGCACGGACTCCAAGACGTAACGTGTGTATGACAGGTGGGATCAGGTATTAATAGTATATATAGTAAGCAAGTATTGTATGAATTGGCTATTACATTGGCTATAGATAATTTGGAATTAGTAGTTGGCTATACTATTAAACTTGCTCTTACAAAAACTAATTATACAAATGAACCATGGCCAAAACTTATTTAAAAAATAACCCTTTTGTTCATCGCCAAATCCTATGGCGCTGAACTTAGACACCTCAGCGCCACGTCAACTGGAATTGAATGTCGTGCCACCGTGGATGGGAGTCTGAGTCGGCGCGCCAATGTGTATTCAGCGCCGTGCTATTTGGCGCTGAGGTGTCTAATTTCAGCGCCATGGGATTTCGCACTGAACAAAAGGGTCATTTTTAAAATAAGTTTTGGCCACGGTTCATTTGTATAATTAATTTTTGCAAAGGGTCAAATTGTCAAAATTTGTATAACTTCGTGGCTGTGTTTGCGAAAGAAGCTTATGCTCGCACGAAAAACGAGGTAGTCCATTAACTCATAATATAATTAATAAAGTTTTAGTTTTTCTTTTAGAGAAAATATTAATATGATTTTTTAAAATAACTTTTATTTTATTATAAAACATATCGTTTACGGTTCGAAAAACATGTGCATAGCGAAACATGCGAGTAAAAGTGAGAATTTATAGTTCCGAACATGGCCTTTGTCACGTTAACTTAACTGTGGTAACTGTGGTATGGTTCATTGTGTGTGGTTGGCTTAGCTTATTGCCACAACAGTGTTTTAGCAGTATAACAGTTTCTTATTAGCAATGTAGCTCACATTGTTAATAATGCAGTTGCAAGGGGTGTAGTTTTAACTTCAAGATTTCATGTTCAATTCTTAACACATTCACAACTTTCTCTTAAAAAATACTTGGAGGGAAACATCTTCCTTCAAATCGTAATTTCTTTTTAAAAAATGTTGGAGGGACATTTCTCATTTCAAATCTCGTTTTTTTTATTAGCCAATGTGGCTCACACTCACACACCATACAGCGCAGGAAAAAGTCGCGATCATGTCGGCCGATTCTGATTTCTACAAGGACGATACGCGCGTATATGTGGTAGTGGTGTCTGTGTGTGTGTGTGTGTTTTTTTGTTGTTGTTGATTCAGCTTCGCTCGGTAGTAATGCTAGATGTGGTTGCCATTCAGAAAAAGTTGGGGCTTGGTTTTCTGCAGCAGCCGGCCGCTACGGCGTTACGGTGCAACAACAGCTAGTTCCCTTAACAACGAATGATACGAGTATACTGGCCCCATCGTTTCGCTTATTCGCGGAATAAACGAAACTGCATATTTACAAACGGAAAATAATATGTGAATAAAGACTTTATATACGTATTCTTAGTGATCTAAAAGCAAAGGCTGAAAAAACCCTAAATTCAACTCCAAATTTAATGTTGAAAATTCAAAATTTAGCTAATAAGTATAAGCATAAACGAAAAGATGAGGCCGTATGACTCCCGCATGGTAACCAGGTATAGTTTGCTACCCTCTCTTTTTTAAGACGTTTTAACTAAATTTATATAAAAAAGTAACATTTTAAAGATAAAACAAATATATTATTAAAATATACTCCCTCCATTTCATAATGTAAGACTTTTTAGCATTTTCCATATTTATATATATGTTAATAAATCTAGATATATATACATATATATGAATGTGGGAAATGTTAGAATGACTTACGTATGAAACAGACAAAGTATCCAACATTGAATTTAATGAAGCCAATTAGTATTATAGATGTTGCTTTTTTTTTACAAATTTAATAAAACTCAGAGAAGATTAATTTTAAAAAAAATTCAAAACGTCTCATAATATAAAATATACGAAGAACTATGGATAAAAATTACAAATGGTAGGCACTGTTCTTCTCTCATTAAGGTATAGAGTTTACCTCGGTTTCTTTAGCACTTTTTTCAAACGGTGCGTTCCATACGAAACTAATCCTATTACCTTTTAAGCTAGTAAATTTATACTTTACAGTGTATTTGTGAGTGCAAACAATACAATGTGTGTTTAAATATCACAAACAATACAAACACTGTTCTAGAAATCCTTATGTTTTAGTATAGAGGGAATAATTGTTTGATTTATTTTGGGAAGCCACCATACAGAATTTCCCTGCTTACCGTCACGAGTGTGGTCATTGTCACGGCAATGGTTTATCACTTTATGATAACAAACATTGCTCACCACATGTTATTGAATTAGTTTTGAGAGTAACTTTCACTGGTGGAGAAACGATCTTTGCTCGGTTAGCCAAAATCCACAATAGTCCCGGTTGCAATAAAAACCGGGATTAAATATTATCTTTAGTCCCAGTTCAAAAGTTTAGAGCTGCTTTTTAATCTAACACCAATCGGGACTAAAGATCTATTTTTAGTCCCGATTGGTAACACTAACCGGGAAAAAAGATGCCTACTATCTTTAGTTCCGGTTGGTGTTACTAACCGAGACTAAAGATCTATTTTTAGTCACGGTTGGTAATACCAACCGGAACAAAAGATTGTGGCGGAGAGTACGAGGCATCTGCCATCTGAGAGATCGAGGAGGAGGAGACGGGCAGCCTTATCTCTTCACCTCTTCCTCCACTGACCTTATCTCTTCATCCCATCTCTTCCTCTTCCTCCTCCTCCTCTCCTCTAACTCCTCTCCTTCCCTCCCCCATCACCCCTTCCTCTTCCTCCTCTCTAACTTCTCCTCTAACTCCTCTCCTTCCCTCCCCATCATCCCATCGGCGGCCGGCGGCCTCGCGGCGGCCGGCGGAGGCCCGGGCAGCCTTGCGGCGGCACGGCGGGGCGGAGGCCTCGCAGCAGTGGGCGGCGCAGCGGCGCGGCGGTGGACCGCGGGGCCTCGTGGCGGGTGGCGCGCCGGCGGCCGGCGCGGCAGCAGTCGACAGCCTGTGTTTTTTTTCTTTTTTTTTTTAAGAATTTGTGATTCGGATCTGTGTATTTGATTTGTGTATGATGTCCGTGAATATGTGATGTATTTATGATGAATTTTGTAGAAGTTGTGATGTAATTTTGTTTTAAGATTTTGTGATCTATTTGAATATGGCCGATTTGGGAATTTGAGGATTGGGGATAATTTATTTGGGATTTTGGGATGGGGATATAGTAAAATCAATATATTAAAAACATAATGAAGAAAAAAAAATAATAGAGCAACCGGATCTAGCTAGCTAGGCTAGCTCTATCTTTAGTCCCGGTTGGTAACAGATGTATTTTTACTCCCGGTTTTTTCACCCGGAACTAAAGATAGTGATCTTTAGTCCCGGATTGGTAGTCCCGGTTTGAAAACCGGGAGTAAAGCCCCTTTCTCCACCAGTGCTTATCACACTTGTATGCAACCACGTTCGTAGACTGGATCGATGAACTTTTTTTTTACTAACCTTTTACAAATTGCCTAAACTAAAACTTGTTCCGGCACCAAACAAGTATGTGTCCGGATTCTTCCATGCCATTCCACTACTCTAGGTGCGCACACATGTCTATCAATTCTCACAAATCAACTTGGGGCCTACCTATCGTGCGAGCGAACTAAGACACCATTATCTTTGAACTTTGATAGTTTGAGTTATTTAAGTACTATGGTAGGCAATTATTTTAACCGGCTTGATAAATCGATCTTTTTCATGTCGACCTGAAGTGAGTGACCATGTAAACAGAGTTGTAAATACCACTGTAGCGTAGATTTTTTTAACCATGAACTAGTTTATGTAGACATATGTTATAGCTTTATAAGTTTACAAAAACTTGTTATGAAGAAAAGGTTGCATGTAGCGAATGAAAGCAGAGCTATCACATTAGATAACGGAATATTTATACTCGATCGTTTGATCATCCACCACAACACAGATTCAGATTGGTACACCGGTGCCGATCTGTCATTGATCTGAGCCTCAAGGTTGGATCCGAATCATACGATACTGTCTTTACACGCGTCGAGCCAGAAAAGTTAGCCAAGTAATCGAGCATTAGAGGGCGCATACTTTACACGCACTTAAGCACTTAATGACTGTACTAATCCAAGTACGACATCTAAGTATATAACCTAATGGAAACTACTAGCAAGGCAGTCCCCCGTGCTAAGTTGTAAGCTGATTTACACTAATGTTACTGTTCAGCAGCTAAGGACAATCTCTAGTCGAAACAGTAGCTGAAGCCAACGGCTTCAACATGGTGTACAAAGAAACTGCAAATCAATCAGGTAAGATTCATGCTAATTTTTGTCATGCTCATGTGAATGGAATCTTGCTTTATCGTGTGCTTTCTACTGAAATAGAAGTTTTTCAAATAATTATTCCTAGTCATTTATAAATACTTTGGAAGGAATTCCTACCTTCCGGAGCAGATCACAACCATTTCACTATGTCCCCACAAAGATACGGTAGAACCAGCAAGTTGAATAGATAGTATTTTTTGGGACACAATAGAATCAATAATACTGCATAAGATTAACCTACACGTAGGAATTATAAAGGCGCTCCTTGATGGAGCATTTCAATACAACATTATCACAAGAAGAAAATGATATATAGAACACAATACCTGGGAGCAGCTTGATCCGTCTGACCTGCCATTTTGCCAAGCTACCTGAGAACAAAGGTGCATACATACTATCACACTTTAATGCGAACTGAAAGTATGTATTTGCAATACAGGCATTAGGAATTTAGATAAGAGTATTTGCAGAAACCTGATGTTTATACATACAATCTCATAGATTCTCTTAACTCCTAAGGTAGATGTTCTAGGACTCCTTACACTTCGCTGCGGTGTCCCACATATGGCGTCCTCCTTGATTAGATTAAAACTGTACTGTATGTCTGCATCAGAATCATAGAATGTTCTTACGATGTTAGTAGTTCTGTATAACCAGCATCCTCTGTTCAGTTGAGGTAATTCCCCTTCACCTTCCATCAAAATGACCGTAGGTGTACACCTTGAAAAATCCCAGATAGCCAGACAGGTGAACAGTATGTTACAGAAATTAAGAGCATGAAGAAGGCAATGGGGGTCTAGATAGGTCATGTTTTGTGGCTGTGTGCATTTCTTGCAGAGGTCGGGAGTGGGCTCAATTAGAATGTATCATCTTGTTGTATTTGACTGAGTTTTAATAAAGCTTCCATTATTGAGAAATGGGCAACATGGAAAAATAACATATTTCAGGCTTAAACTTGCGATGTGCAACAACAGAAAAGAAGACCACAGCTTTGACGCAGTTTATTAAGTTTCATATAATAGAATACTTGAGTTCTGAGGTTTTTGGGCCTGGTTTCCCCTCAAAAACTGGGCCAAGTCTCTTCTTCTTTAATGAAAACAGGCTCTCCCTGTCCTCTTCTAAGGCTTTTCCTCAAAAAAAGAATACTTGAGTTCTTTATGACTAAGCAACTAAATAGTGTAGTTCACAAGTTTTACTTGGCATACGTACCATAAAATGAAATTAAAGGTATGGTTTTTGCAAAATGGCACACTTGTGTCAATTATCATTTGAACCAGAAGAAATATCAGATTTTTTTAATTCTCCTTTTGTACAAATACACGTTTGTTCATTGCAAAACAGGGATCCAATTCACCTGCGGCACACAAGAACCATTTCCAGATGCTTCAAAAGAAGAAAATGTGAAAAACAGGAGGAAATCTTCTTATGGAGAGGCAACTATTTCACAACATTTCACTTTCTCTTGGATGAATGGTCTTCTTGCTAAAGGTGCCAATAAGCCTTTGAATGAGGATGACATACCAGATGTTGGTGAGGAGGAAAGTGCCCAACACATCTCCAGAATATTCAGTAATATCATTGTGAAAGGGAATTTTCCTCTGACAGTTTCATCGATTTGTAAAGCAGCCTTCCTTCTCATTTGGAAGAAGGCGGCACTCAATGCAACCTTTGGAGTCCTAAGTGTAGTCGCCTCCTTTGTGGGGGCATACTTAATCAAGGACTTCGTGGGCTATCTAAGTGGAGATAATGGATTTGAAAGAGGCTACTCTCTTGTTCTTGTATTTGTAGGTGCGAAGGCTATTGAAACTCTTGCTTACAGACAATGGTTCTTTGGAAGTCTACAGGTTTATTTGCGCCTAAGAACATCTCTGATATCTCAGGTATACCAAAAGGTCCTTTATTTATCAAGCCAGTCAAGGCAGAAACATACCTCAGGGGAGATAATTAACTATGTGAGTGTTGACATCGAGAGGATTGTTAATGTTGCATGGTATGTGAACATGGTCTTCATGATGCCTATACAGATTACACTAGCAACTTATATTCTTTGGAAAAATCTTGGTCTGGGTTCTTTAGCTGGAATAGCAACAACAGCCATAATAATGCTTTGCAATATTCCTTTTACAAGAATCCAGAAAAGATTGCACGCAGGAATTATGAAAGCAAAAGATGACAGAATGGACATGACATCTGAAGTTATAAGAAGCATGAAGATCTTAAAACTTCAAGCTTGGGATATCCAATACCTTAGGAAATTGGAATATTTGAGGAAAGGAGAACATTTGTGGTTGTGGGAATTTCTAAGACTAAAAGCACTACTAGCATTTATGTTCTGGGGAGCACCCGCTGTCATATCAATCATGACATTTGCTTCATGCATTCTGATGGGAATCCCTCTAACAGCTGGAAGAGTGTTGTCCACACTAGCAACTGTGAATATACTGAAGGAGCCTATCTTTAGTCTACCAGAATTGCTTACTGCCTTTGCACAGGGGAAGATCTCAGCTGACAGAATAGTGTCATATCTCCAAGAAGAAGAAATAAGATCTGATGCAATTGAGGAAGTAGCAATAGACGAAAATGAATTTTCTGCAGAGATTGATCAGGGAGCATTCAGTTGGAAAACTGATGCAAAAATCCCAACACTTCAAGATATACATGTAAAGATACACAAAGGGATGAAAGTGGCAGTATGTGGAGCTGTTGGGAGTGGAAAATCTAGCCTGTTGTCATGTGTACTTGGAGAGATGCCAAAAGTGCAAGGAACGGTTAAGGTCTTTGGAACCAAAGCATATGTTCCACAGTCGTCATGGATACTTTCTGGGACTATTAGAGAAAACATTCTCTTTGGGAGCCCATTTGAAACTGATAGGTATGAGCGGACAATTGAAGCATGTGCCTTGGTTAAAGACATCGGAGTTTTCTCGGATGGTGATATGACAGATATAGGAGAACGGGGAACGACTATGAGTGGGGGACAAAAGCAACGGATTCAAATAGCAAGAGCAGTTTACAAGGATGCTGATGTCTACCTGTTTGATGATCCTTTCAGTGCTGTAGACCCTCAAACTGGGAGGCATCTATACAAGGTCCTTTTCCCCTTAAGAGCCAACAAAAGAAAATAACACCAGGGTCACAAAAATATAATGCTTTGATGGTTTCAAATTTTCCATAGTTAAAAGAAGTCATCATGTTCTCTAGGACAAACAATGGGCATCGTATATTTGAGATCTTGTGATTATTCAATAATCTTGTCCATATTATTATTGATATTTATTTCTCTCGCTAAAATAAATTGCTCATATCTATATTTTTACTGGCAAGGAGAAGCCCTGTTACATAACCATTAACATTGGCTCTATACATTTTTTGCAGAAATGCCTGATGGGGGTCCTAAGGGATAAAACTGTGTTATACGTCACGCACCAAGTTGAATTTCTAGTTGATGCAGACCTTATTATGGTAAGCCCCTGAAAAAAAAACTAAAGACATGATTGTACTGAACATTAGGATAAATAATGATGACTGCTAAAAACATGCTGTGCATATGGGAATCCTTTTAGAGAATTTACAGCCCTTTGCAGGCTTGAGGTGTAGAGGTATCTCCTAGTGTTAGTTTTGTATAACTTTCAGTAGCTACACCTATCAGTTCTCATGATCCACACTAGGAGATACTACTACCTCTCAATAACTCATAAGGATCCCAGAAAAGAAACTAGTATGTTTAACTTGACTGGTTGAAGCAATATTGCAGGTGATGCAAAATGGAAGGATAGCACAAGCAGGGAAATTTCAAGAACTCCAACAGAACATGGCTTTTGGAGTTATCTTTGGGGCTCACTTTTGTGCCGTCGAACAAGTTTGTAACGCAAAAGGCACAAGCATATATTTGTCAAAGCATCATGCAGAATCAGAAAAGGTACCAAGCATCAATGAGTCCGATGCAGAAAAGGAAATCAGCAGCAAATGGCAAAACACAAATATGATAAATTGCAGACAAGAAGTATTTAGAGATAACACTGAAGAAGGGAAATTGCTGCAGGGTGAAGAAAGAGAGAATGGATACATTAGCAAGCAAGTGTATTGGTCATACCTCACAGCTGCTCGAGGTGGTCTTTTCATTCCTATGATAATTGCAGCACAATGCTTCTTTCAGATATTTGAAGTGGGAAGCAACTATTGGATGGCATCAGCTTGCCATCCACGAACTGGAAGCAAATCAAAAATGGAATCCACCCAGTTCATGGTATATGTATTTATATCAGTTGGCAGCGCCTTGTGTATCTTGATTCGAGCAGTTCTTGTAGCTGTAACCGGCCTCCTCACATCAGAAAAATTGTTCAAGAGCATGATGCATTGCATCTTTCATGCTCCTATGTCTTTCTTTGACTCGACACCTACAGGGCGAATCTTAAACAGGGTCAGTCCATTCTCCTGTCTCAGAAGTGTAAACTATGTAAAATAAATCCTAAAGAAATTCTATGTAAAATAAGTAAACATATACTGCATTACACAGGAAAGTGTAATGTGTATGTCGCTTTACCTGAGTTGCTAATACATGATTTTTGCATTGTTCATGTAGGCTTCGATTGATCAAAGTGTGCTAGATTTGGAGACAGCGTCAACATTAAGTGAGAGCACATTTTCAGTGATGCAGTTTCTAGGAACAATACTAATCATATCATATGTTTCCTGGCCAGTTCTCATTATTTTTATTCCATCAATATTGATTTGCATCAGGTATCAGGTAAGAGTTAACTGTAACTTAGTCAGATTCAAAATAGTATCAGTACACACAATATGCCTATTGAGAATGAATCATATCTCCCATAATATCCTGCAGAGATATTACAGTCTAACAGCAACAGAATTAGCTCGCCTATCAGGAATTCAAAAGGCTCCAATTCTTCATCATTTTGGGGAAACTTTCTATGGAGCTGCAATAATTCGAGCATTTCGCCAAGAAGACCGGTTCTACAGATCAAATCTGAGTCTACTTGACAATCATTCAAGACCATGGTTTCACTTGATGGCTGCAGTAGAATGGCTCTCTTTCAGAATGAATTTGTTATGCAACTTTGTCTTTGGGTTCTCGTTGGTTTTGCTTGTGCGTCTTCCACAAGGTTTTGTTAATCCAAGTAAGTTTTGACTTGTTCGGACCCATGAATTTAATTGAACGTAAACTCATGCTGTTCTACCGTCATTCAAACTTGAAGGATAAATATCTTTTTTCTGGTATAAGGGTTGATGTTCTCTTGCTGCAAAACAGGCATTGGTGGGCTGGTAGTGATGTATGCATGGAATTTGAATACACAATTATCAGAAGCCACCCGGAATATAAGTCGTGCAGAAGCAAACATGATATCAGTTGAAAGAATATTACAGTACACAAAGCTTCCAAGTGAAGCCCCAACCATAACCGAGGGTAGCAAGCCACCAATGGCATGGCCAGAGTTTGGCATGATAAGCATAAGCAACTTAGAGGTATGGTTCTAAATGATTAGAAAGAAGATCATAATAATTTTATTTCATACTAAGTATCAGAGGTGTACACCCTTTAGTTGGCCCAGTAATGATATTGCACATTTAATCATACAGGTCAGATATGCAGAACATCTCCCTTCAGTATTAAAAAACATAACTTGTGTGATTCCAGCTGAGAAAACAGTAGGTATTGTTGGACGCACAGGTAGTGGGAAGTCAACCTTAGTACAAGTACTTTTTCGGATTGTTGAGCCAAGAGAAGGGACCATCAAGATTGACAGCATCGACATCTGCAAAATTGGACTTCATGATCTGAGATCGAGAATATGTATTCTCCCACAGGATCCGGTGATGTTCGATGGTACAATCAGAGGAAATCTTGATCCCATGAACGAGTACCCAGATAGTAGGATATGGGAGGTAAGTGCAGAAAACTTACATGTTACATCCTAACTAGAATATATGACAAAGCTTTTCTATTTGTATAGACAATGGTTCCATAAATAGCACAAATCATATAAAGCAAAAAAAATGGGTAAGCGTGAATAGACGACAACAATATGAAGTGAAGATGGTACAGATTGCGACCCCTATCCACCAGTAAATGAATAAGACCTCAAAAGCAAGCATACAAACTAGAAGTAATTTTAGGGTAGATCAACAGTAGTTTTCATTCTGAAGTAATGAACTACCCATGTCAGGTAGTAGACAAGTGTCAGCTTGGCAATGTGGTGCGCTCGACTGAGAAAAAGCTGGATGAAATAGGTACTGCTCAGCATTAAACTTTTGAAGGAAGACAAAAAAACTGCAATGAGTCCTTTAGGAAAAGAACATGTTAATATGTAGTTTTTCTGAAATACTTATGCTACTATGAATTTATATTTCATTCGCAGTAATTGAAAATGGGGACAACTGGAGCATGGGACAGCGACAACTATTTTGTTTAGGCAGAATTCTCCTGAGGAAGAGCAAGATACTAGTCCTTGATGAGGCAACTGCTTCAGTTGACTCTGCTACAGACCGGATTATTCAAGAGATAATTCGTCAAGAATTCAAAGATTGCACAGTGCTTGCAATTGCCCATAGGATGAACACTGTTATTGATAGTGACCTTATTCTTGTTCTTGGTGAAGGTAGGTATACCACTACAATACTAAAACAACCTCAGAATATCATGTTGCACAGCTACGTCACTCTTTAAATCTGATATCTCTATGCAGGTAGTATTTTAGAATACGACACCCCCACCAAACTGCTCCAGAGAGAGGACTCTACATTCTCTAAGCTAACCAAAGAGTACTCACAACAATCGCAGCACTTCAAGTCTTCAACGGCAATGCACAGGATGGGTAGCTACTAATTTTCCTGAAGACATACTACATTCTACATGGCTATATTCCCCACGACACACCTGAAGTATCCGCGCCACAGCAACTCAGCAAGGGGCAGGGAATTGCTTCGTAGTCCAAGTAAAATTTTCTAAATGTTGCATGTAAAACCTATGAATAGCAAAACAGCGTAAATGATTAATTTACAGAAAAATGGCACTACCTTAGCTTGTGATTCCCAGATAAGAAAACATCCTGCTGGTTGAGGCATTCCGTCGAACAGCTGTTTCGCGTCCCCTGACCAGCACAGACTGGTAATCCCAGACTTCTGGGTCTACGAATGCACACTGATTTTAACGAATGCTTGAGACTTGATACTGAGATTTGGTGAGCAGTGCTTACGGATTTGAACACTGGGAAGATGGAGCTTGCATCTGGTCAAGCAGGGTGGTAGCGGCGGGCGGTGGCCTGCAACCGCGCGCAAGGCCGTGCGCAGCTGCGGATTTCGGAGATGGGAGTGCGAAACACCACGCAGACGCGCGTGGCGCCGCGCTAGAGCTCAGGGCCTCAGGTTCGTGTTCCGCGCACGCCAGCGAGGGCCGCCGTGTTTGGCATGGCGAGGGGCGAGAGCAGAAGCCCCGGAGGTTGTTTGTCTTTTTCCTTTTCTTTTTTTTTTTTTGAGAAAATTTGGAGGTTTGGTTTTGGTTTCGGAAAAAGTACACCGAAGGTCCCTCAACTTGGCATCCAGTTACAAAATCGTCCTTGAACCACACAAAACCAGATACAACACATCCCCGGTGGTTTTCACTCTGGTTTTATCTGACTTGGCACCTGACATAGCTTGGGACCCACGTGGGCCCCACGTGTTAGCCTCTTCTTCCCCCTTCCTTCTCTTCTGTGTGTCTATCGGCTCTCTCCCATGGGAGCAGCTGAGCAAGTGGAGCGGCAACGCACTGAGCTGGCGAGATGGAGCGGGGCGACGGCGAGGCGGAGCGGCGGCGCACGCAGCCGGCGAGGTGGCGGCGGGCGAAGAAGGCTGGATCCAGGGCGGCGCCGTCCCTCTTCATCTTCCCATGGGAGAAGCCGAGCAGCGGAGCGCCGGCGCACGGAGCTGGTGGGATGGAGCGGGGCGGCGGCGGCGGCGGCGGGCGAAGTGGGGCGACGATGAGGCGGAGCGGCGGCGCGCGAAGCCAGCGAGGCGGCGGCGAGCGGAGAAGGCTGGATCCAGGGCGGCGTCGTCCCTCTTTCTCTTTCCCATCTCATCCATCTTTTCTTCCCCATCTCATCCATCTTCTTGCTGCTGTCCCTCGCCACATTTGCCGCCGCCGACTGCTGGATCCGGGGCGGCGTCATTCCTGAGGGCGGCCCCCATGCCGCTCCGCGCCATCGGCCCCGACGGAGAGCCGCGCGCTACCGCCGTTGGCCACGGCGCCCCCAATGCCGCGCTGCGCCGTCGACCCTGACGGAGAGCAGTGCGCACCGCCGTCGACCGCGGCGCCCACAGCTGGCTGCGGCACCATCCCATTCAACTGGTCGCGAGCATCGCCGGTGCCCGAGCCGTCTACTGGCGTTCCTTCCGCACCTCCGAGCTCGCCTCGTTCTCTGCGTCGCGGTCGCCCCCACCTCGCCTTCTCCCGCCGCCCCGCCCCCTCGCTGTACGGCGGCTGTGGACTCTCCCGCGTCGTCGCCGGCCGCCGTCGCTCTCTTCCTCTCCCGCTTCGCCCCACCGGCTTCCTCCGTACCTGCCGGCCGGCCTGCGAGAAGACAGAGAAGAGAGAGAAATGGAGAGGAGGGGAAGGAGAGAGGGCGATGACGTGGTATACTGACATATGGGGCCCGCGTGGGTTCCACGTTGACTCAGCCCGGGATCAAAACCGTCTATGCACTAAAGTGAACGGTTTTGTAAGTTAAAGGACGTCGTATATCGTATATCGGGTTTTGCAGCTCAAGGATGATTTTGTAACCCAATGACAAGTTGAGAGACCCTGGGTGTACTTTTTCCTTTGGTTTGCTACTCCGATCCGTTTCGGCCGTACAGGTACGAGGCCCGTTAACGGCCCACTATGCCGTTATGTTAGGCCCATTGGGAGCTCAACATAGCGTGACGTCAGGGTTATAACCTGCAGGCTGCAGCTAGTCCGCGCAGAATCAAAGCCACTTTCTACTAGCAAAGGAGTAAAAAGTTTAAACCCACTGTTCATCTGAAATAAAAAAACCAAGATGTTGTAGCATGTTTATATTAACAAGTCACACAAGCTGCAAATACACAAGGAGATACTCACGCACAGGTGACTAAAAAAAAACAGATGTCAATCCTGGATCTGTTGTATTAGCATCATTGGTTCTTTCTCATCGTTATGAATCCATGGCAGGTAACATGCTAACATAGACATACTATAATCTGCAAAATATTACAAAAGGATTGCGCCACCACTTCTTGCATCTGTAGGAATAAGTCTTGGCTGGTTGGTCTTGGTCTTGTGGTGCCTTTTCCTGCTTTTCAATTTTCTAGGACAGCATCTCTACTTTCAGTTTGGATGCTCTACGACAGCACCCTCTTAGACTTGCATGGCTGCATGGCTGCTACAAGCAGCTATAAATATGTATCCAATCCTCTTTGGGAGGACATGGCTTTTGTGTTTAGTAAATGAAGAAAACCAGAAAATTGCTCCATCTCGAGTGCCATCCTCTTCTCAATGAGAGTAACCATTGAAATTCTAACATCTGGTATCAGAGCCACACTTTCCTGTAGGCTAAACATCTCTTGTTCCACCCCTTCCCAAGCTCGGTTGAGCTCTCAGCCAGCAGCAGCAGCAGCAGCACCGGTTGCTCCTCCTTCCCCTTTCCCTTCCCCCTCTCCACACAGCAGCCCCCCGGAGGTGCGCCATGTCCGACGCTCGGTCTCGGCGTTCGGTCGCCTTGAGCACTCGGCGTCAGCAGGACGCCGAGCTCGCCGCAGCAGAAGAGCGCAGGCGAGCAACGGCTCAGACCACTGCAGCAGCAGCGAGGGCGGCCAGACTGGCGGCAGCGGAGTTGGCAGCAGCCAGGGCGGAGGCGGAGGCGGAGGCGGCGGAAGATGCGGCACGTGCGGCGGAGGTAGAGGTTGAGACCTTGCGCAGCAGCATCAACGGCTCCATCGCCGGTGACATCACCGCCGACAGGGAGCTTGAGGAGCTGGCAAGAGGAAGGGCACGGGAGCGAGCAGAGCGGTGGGCAGCAGCCCACCTCCACGGCGGCGGCGGCGGCGGCCCAAGGGACCGCGCGCCCGCCGACGGGAACCCAGACGGGCGCGGGCGTGCCGGCGGCAGCCCGGAGCCCGCACGCGGCCCTCGCAGGCGGCACGGCTCTCTCTCCCCTGACCGGCGCCATGGTCACCACGGCGTCCAGACGGTGGTCAGGGACTTTGGTCCCGGCGGTGGGTGGCCTACCCTCACCAAAACCAACTACATCGAGTGGGCCGCGGTGATGAGGGTGAGGCTCCAGGTGCGGCACATGTGGGAGGCAGTCCGATACGGCGACGTCGACTACGACGAGGATCGGCGGGCACTGGATGCCCTCATCGCTGCAGTCCCGCCCGAGATGCAGTTCTCGCTTTCCCAGAAGCGGACTGCCAAGGAGGCCTGGGACGCCATCGCTGCGGCACGCATCGGCAGCGACCGCGCCCGCAAGTCCACACTGCAGGCACTCCGCAAGGAGTGGGAGAACCTGGCCTTCAAGCCAGGTGAGGATGTTGATGACTTTGCTCTCCGTCTCAACACTCTCTTGCAGAAGATGGTGCAGTACGGCGACGACACCTACGACGAGGAGAGAGCTGTCGAGAAGTTCTTCCGCTGCGTCCCTGAGAAGTACAGACAGATCGCTCGCTCGATCGAATCTCTGCTGGACCTCTCCACGATGTCGATCGAGGAGGCGTTAGGTCGCCTCAAGGTCGTTGATGGTGATGAGCCACAGCCTCTCTCGGGGCCCATCACCATCGGCGGGAAGCTCCATCTTACTCGGGAGCAGTGGGAGGCCTCTCAGGGTGACGGGAGGAAGGGGGAGTCATCTTCCCCGACAGGCGGCCGTAAGCCGCGCAAGGCGCGGGGAGGTGTCCAGCTACGGTGGGCGCGAAGACGTGCCGAGGGTGGCGCCCGCAGAGGCGCCCAGGGCGTTGCCACCGGCAACCACAAGCCGGCACGAGACGACACCTGCCGCAACTGTGGCAAGCTTGGCCATTAGGCCAAAGACTGTCGACAGCCACGACGCGGCCAGGCCCACGTCGCATGGGTGGAGGAGGAAGAGCCGGCTCTGCTCCTAGCTCACGCAAGCATCGAGCTACCTCCAGCGGCACCGGCCGCAGCGGCTTTCCTCCACCTTGATGAACCGAAGGTACTCGTCTCCCTCTGCGACGGCTCCAGCAACGACAAGGCTGATGGGTGGTACCTCGACACCGGCGCCACCCATCACATGACCGGCCGACGGGAGTTCTTCACCGAGTTCGACTCCAGCGTCCGAGGCTCCGTCAAGTTCGGGGACGCCTCCGGCGTGGAGATCAAGGGTGTTGGCTCCGTCACCTTCACCGCCAAGTCCGGTGAGCACAGGCTGCTCACCGGAGTCTACTACATCCCCGCGTTGAGGAATTCTATCATCAGCGTGGGACAGCTGGATGAGAACGGCTCACGCGTGTTGGTCGAGGACGGACTCATGAGGATTTGGGATCGCCGCCGTCGCCTTCTTGCCAAGGTAACCAGAGGCACTAATCGACTCTACATCCTCAGCGCGCAGGTCGCACAACCAGTTTGCCTCGCCGCTCGTCGGGACGACGAGGCGTGGCAGTGGCACGAGCGCTTCGGGCACCTCCACTTCGAGGCCCTGAGGCAGCTCAGTGCCAAGGAGATGGTGCGAGGCATGCCGTGCCTCGACCACATGGAGCAGCTCTGCGACGTCTGCGTGGTGACGAAGCAGCGGCGGCTCCCCTTTCCCCAGCAGACGAGCTTCCGAGCCAAGGAGCGGCTCAGCTCGTGCACGGGGACTTGTGTGGCCCAGTGACACCGGCCACACCAGGAGGACGACGTTACTTCCTGCTGCTCGTCGACGACCTCTCCCGCTACATGTGGGTGATGGTCCTCGGCATCAAGGGAGAGGCTGCGGACGCCATCAGGCATGCGCAGGCTGCTGCAGAGGCGGAGTGCGGCCGCAAGCTGCGCGTGCTGCGCACCGACAACGGCGGCGAATTCACGGCGGCTGAATTCGCGTCGTACTGCGCTGATGAGGGCATTCAGCGCCACTACACCGCGCCGTACAGCCCACAGCAGAACGGCGTCGCCGAGCGGCGCAACCAGACGGTTGTGGGGATGGCTCGGGCCCTCCTCAAGCAGAGGGGGATGCCGGCCATCTTCTGGGGGGAGGCGGTGGTGACGGCCGCCTACATCCTCAACCGCTCGCCTACCAAGGCCCTCGATGGCAGGACACCGTACGAGGCTTGGCATGGGCGCAAGCCGGCGGTCTCCCACCTGCGGGTCTTCGGCTGCCTCGCGTTCGCCAAGGAGCTTGGCCACATCGGCAAGCTCGACGACAGGAGCACCCCAGGGGTGTTCATCGGCTACGCGGAGGGCTCGAAGGCCTACCGCATCCTCGACCCGGAGACACAGCGTGTGCGCATTGCGCGCGATGTTGTGTTCGACGAAGGGCGAGGGTGGGTATGGGACAAGGCGGTGGATGATGGTTCGACTCCGACGTACGACGACTTCACCATCGAGTACGTCCACTTCAAGGGAGCTGGGGGAGTAGGCAGCTCTTCTTCACCGAGCGTGTCTACCCCAGTCCCCGAGCCTCCACCGACTCCAACACCAACACACCCTCGGGCCACGACTTCGACTACGACGAGCTCTTCGTCGACACCACCCCAGCCGGTGTCCCCACACGCTCCAGCATCAACAGCCACTCCTCCGGGCACGTCTACTCCGACGCCAGCTCGTGTTGAGCGCAGCCCGGTGGGGTTCGTTACTCCGCTCTCCCACGACGGGGAGCGCATCGACGCGTACCATGACGGCGAGCAGCTACGGTACCGTACGATGGAGGATCTTCTCGGCGACCAGCCGGTGCCGGGACTGGTGCCTCGCAACCTGGAGGCGCAGTTGCACCTTGCGTGCGACGACGGTGAGCCTCGGTCTTTTGCAGAGGCCGAGAAACACGCGGCATGGCGTGCCGCGATGCAGTCGGAGATGGACGCGGTTCAGGAGAACCGCACCTGGGAGCTTGCTGACCTCCCTCGTGGTCACCGCGCGATCACCCTTAAGTGGGTGTTCAAGCTGAAGAGGGATGAAGCCGGAGCCATCGTCAAGCACAAGGCTCGCTTGGTGGCACGCGGTTTCGTGCAGCAGGAGGGGATCGACTACGACGATGCCTTCGCTCCCGTGGCACGGATGGAGTCCGTGCGACTCCTTCTTGCGCTGGCTGCTCAGGAAGGCTGGGGCGTCCATCACATGGACGTCAAGTCGGCGTTCCTAAACGGCGACTTGAAGGAGGAGGTCTACGTGCACCAGCCGCCGGGATTTGTGATTCCCGGCAAGGAGGGCAAGGTGCTACGCCTGCACAAGGCCCTCTACGGCTTGCGGCAGGCACCGAGGGCGTGGAATGCCAAGTTGGATTCCACGCTCAAGGGGATGGGCTTCGAGCAAAGCCCGCACGAGGCGGCCATCTACCGGCGGGGCAATGGAGGAAATGCCTTGCTGGTGGGTGTCTACGTCGACGACTTAGTGATCACCGGCACCAAGGATGCAGAGGTCGCGGCGTTCAAGGAGGAGATGAAGGCCACCTTCCAGATGAGTGATCTGGGGCCTCTCTCCTTCTACCTGGGGATCGAAGTGCACCAGGACAACTCCGGGATCACGCTTCGACAGACCGCCTACGCCAAGCGCGTCGTTGAGCTGGCTGGGCTCACCGATTGCAACCCAGCTCTCACTCCGATGGAGGAGAGACTGAAGCTGAGCCGCGACAGCACGGCGGAGGAAGTGGATGCTACACAGTACCGGCGTCTTGTGGGGAGCCTTCGCTACCTCACCCACACACGGCCGGACTTGGCCTTCTCCGTCAGCTACGTCAGTCGGTTCATGCAGCGACCGACGACGGAGCACCAGCAGGCTGTGAAGAGGATCATCCGCTACGTTGCGGGGACTCTCGACCACGGTCTCTACTACCCGAGGTGTCCTGACAAGGCACACTTCGTCGGGTACAGCGACAGCGACCACGCCGGCGACATTGACACCAGCAAGAGCACGAGCGGGATTCTCTTCTTCCTCGGCGAGTGCCTCGTTAGCTGGCAGTCAATCAAGCAGCAGGTGGTGGCCCTGTCCCGCTGCGAGGCCGAGTACATGGCGGCATCCGCCGCTTCGACCCAGGCGCTCTGGCTTGCTCGACTGCTTAGTGATCTCCTTGGCAGAGATACTGGAGCGGTGGAGCTCAGGGTGGATAGCAAGTCCGCTCTGGCCCTGGCAAAGAACCCCGTTTTTCACGAACGGAGCAAGCACATCCGGGTGAGGTACCATTTCATCCGAAGCTACCTGGAGGAAGGGAGCATCAAGGCGAGCTACATCAACACCAAGGACCAGCTTGCGGATTTGCTCACCAAACCCCTTGGGAGGATCAAGTTCCTTGAGCTTTGCTCCCGGATCGGGATGGCTCAACTTTCCCACAAGACGGCGCACAAGACTTAGGGGGAGAATGTAGGAATAAGTCTTGGCTGGTTGGTCTTGGTCTTGTGGTGCCTTTTCCTGCTTTTCAACTTTCTAGGACAGCATCTCTACTTTCAGTTTGGATGCTCTAGGACAGTTAGGACAGCAGTTTGTTGAGATGCTCTAGGACAGTTTGTTGGGTTGCTCTGCTCTAGGACAGTTTGTTGGGATGCTCTGCTCTAGGACAGTTTGTTGGGATGCTCTAGGACAGCACCCTCTTAGACTTGCATGGCTGCATGGCTGCTACAAGCAGCTATAAATATGTATCCAATCCTCTTTGGGAGGACATGGCTTTTGTGTTTAGTAAATGAAGAAAACCAGAAAATTGCCCCATCTCGAGTGCCATCCTCTTCTCAATGAGAGTAACCATTGAAATTCTAACAGCATCAGCGACAGGTTCCACATGAGAAAGGCTCTCCACTCTCTGTTAGCCCAAGCTTTGCTCCTCAAACAACGGCCCTCTCTAATGATCAAACCTGTAACATATGGTGATCGTTAATACTGCAGAAAAGAAAAGCAATTGTGGCTACAGAATGAATCAACTATATGAAGAGCTTCTCACCATGTGATGTCTGGTCTGCCTTTCTTCATTTCTCTTCCATGTTCACAGTCACACTTGGTTGAGAGGTGTACCATTATCCCATGGTCAGGTAGCGCAGTGCCTAGACGCGCCAAACCAATTGCGGTCTGATTTGCCTCCTCTTCGACCCGCCAAGCTATGTACTCCCTTTGAGCCCATCCAGGAGGGATCACAAACTCAGAAGATGAAGAACATCCGTCCTCATCCTGACCATTTCCATTGTTACAGACTTCAGATAGCTCAGAAGACGAAGCATCTTGTAAAGAACCATTTCCATTGTTACTGACTTCAGATAGCTCAGCAGGCGAAGCATCCTGTAAAGAACCATTTCCATTGTAACAGACTTCAGATAGCTCAGCGGGTGAAGCATCTTGTAGAGAGTCACTGTTCTCATATTTACCACTCTCGCAGTTACTGTCATTCGGTGGTTCACTAGGTGATGCATCCTGCAAAGAACCGTCATACTCATCTTTATCATTCTCACTGCTACAGTCATTGAGTGGCTTAACAGGTGATGCGTCTTGTGAAGAACTATCACTCTCATTGTTAGTCTCTTTGGATGACCCAGCAAGCACACCAGCCCCCTCACACGGCATCAAATCCATGTACCAGTAGCTATGTAAGAATGAATCATGAGCTCTTGCAGGTGGGCAAGAGATTTTGTTGCACCAACGTATCACCGTGAGATCGTCCCCCTCAACGATCAGCTTTTTAACTGGTTCATGATGCTCAAGCATGATTTCTAGCCCATGTTCAAGTGCTTGAATACTAGCCACAGTCTGATCCACGTTACCTAAGGAACCGATGAAGTAGGAGAGTGCACCTTCATCATTGTGGAATACACCACCCATGCCAGCAGAACGATTTTTGGAGCAGCCAGTGCCATGGAAGTTGAGCTTGATCCAACCCTTGGGTGGAGGGGACCAAGTATTCCGATGGATTGCTGGGATTCGGTGCTGGAACTCCTGTCCCCAGAATTGAGGTTCATCATCCTTGCAGTCGCCTTGATCTTGTTTAAATGGACGCAACATTCTTTCTTTCAGGTGCATATGGAAATAAGACACGACTGAAAACACAAACACAAGAACATTACATAATTAGTCTTATTGACCTAAATTTTGATTCAGCATGTACAAACACTAATCAAATGAAGAATGTTAAGTAGCAAGATATTGCCCTTAAGTCTCAAGAGGTCTTACTCAAAAGCAAAGAAGGAATTATATTCCAGTTCCAATTCAAAGTTAAGGAAAAACTTTTCCTTAAGAGACAACCCTGCAAAGTTAGCTCCACCATCAAACAAGAGTACCGAAAAAAAAAATGAGTTCAGAAGAAAAACACACATACTTGGCACATTTGAGTTCATGTCCACATCAGCGGCAACATCAAGAAACTCAACCCTCAGTTCAGAGACTCCCCAGAATTCCTCATCAAAGTTTTCCAAAACAATTACTTCATCAATATAATTAATACTTGCCCAAAGAAACCTGTCTCTTTCCAAAGCTAAGGAACCCTTGATACCAGTAAATCCACAGCTCCTGTTTTCAAGTGCAGCAGAAATACTTTTCCCACTATTCTTGAACCCATAGGAAACTAGAATGATCTTATTTAATTGCTTAGCAGTGAAATTTGACTCAATGAGATTTCCAACGAATTTCAATCCTGGAACAAAGAAAAGTGTAGGCTTGTTAACACTTCTTTGGCATTGCTCATTCACCAAAAGCACTCATAGACCCAAGTCGAAGCATGCTTTGACATCAGCAGGAGAGAGTGCTGGATCATATATTTCAATGTCACCAATTGGGAATATATTATCTGCCTTTAGAAGAAGAGCGAAGGCAAGCTGATATTGAGACTTCACATCAAATTCAAAGCTCCCAAGGCCATAAATAACCAATTGGATGCATTCATGAGCTCCCAACATGCTTGAAATGTGAGAAGAAACGCTCTCATCTTTCTTCACATGATCAATAAACTTTGTGTACAGTGCAGAACTCCTAACATCAGAAATAGTTTCATGCATTTCTTTAACTATGCTTTTAGCTTCCTGTAAGTGCTTGTCCTCAATGTATGCATCACTAGGATTTAAATGCCACCTGGTCGATTAATTCATTTAGAAAAGGAATTAATTTGTGAAGTCAACAATAGCGAACGACAAAATACATCCCACAAAATTATTAGCGCACGTGAAAAATCATAAAACAGATGGCCTAGAAACATAGTCGATGATTGATAAAACAACAAACAGGTGCTGCAGGCTGCAGCAATCTGCCAATACTATAATCACTGAAGTAAAAGAAGAACATGCATTGTAGCAATACTATAATTAATGCAAATCTCACTTAAACGGTAAAATAGCCCATTTTACATAAGAAACCCTTTTTTTAGGGTACACGCAAGAAAGCTGCCTAAAATGGTGTAATCATCTTTGCTTGAGTTATCCTTCATTAAATATTTCTTTAAACCAAAGCATCATTTTGTTTACTTAAAATTCACAGAATTCAGCAAGCAAATAATCATGGGAAACTGGTCCAAATTAATTGTTTTGTCAGTATGCAGTCTTACCCTTCTAACTGAGCATCACAATTCATTTGGACATTGACATAACTCCAGACCTTTGTAGCACAATTATCTGCATCAAACAAAGCAGCAACAAGTCATCAGACAACATAGTCCATGTAGGCACCACGTTAAGCTTTTACAAAAAGGGAAATGGGCTGCAAAAGAACCTGGTATCAAGTGTTCAATATCAACTTCAGGATCAAACTGAAAGAAATGAACTGAAAAGATGCTGGGAAGAGCATAAATCATGGCAGCCCTCTCAATATGCGCAATGCAGTGCATGCATATACACTTCTCTGATGAATGATTGTAGACAGACCGGTTCAATTCATCAGGATACTCATCTCCCAAGAGAGGGTTATCGAACAAACCAGATATCTCAGCACAAAGCTCTAATTCCTGAACATAGCTCTGAATTGCCAGTACCCTCCTCACCTTCTCCCTCTGCTCAGTGACACCACACTTCTCTTGCTTCGAAATGCTGAGCTCAAGCATCTTCACCATGGCACTGAAACTGTGCCCGAGAACGACGATCTTGCCGAGCTGATCTGGGGTCCAGTTCAAGGTGAGCAAATTCTCAAAGAAGACGCGATCCGCGTAGGGCATGAAGATCAGAGTTGGCTGTTCGACCACAAGGCAGAGCGCAGGCGACGCGGTGACAACGCAGCCCAGCTCCTCCATGGCCCGGCGCTCCACCGGGGCCACGGTGGGATCCACCACCTCGACGGCGCCGACCAGCTCGGGGAACTTGTCCCGCAGGAGGAGCAGCAAGGCGAGGCGGAACCGCGGCGCCCAGCTGTACCGCATGCCGCCGAGCCTGTACGCCACGACGCGGAGCCGCTCGCGTCCGCGGCCGCGGCCGCGGACGCGCGCCAGGCCGTCGAGGCACGCGGCGTCGGAGGAGAGGCACGCGGAGAGCTTCGCGAAGAGCGGCGACGTCACGGCGAGCTCCGTGGCGAGCCGCAGGAAGGACAAGAGCCGCGCGTGGTCGCCCATCACGAACTCCTCCATGATCAGGCCTGGCCACGGGACCGCCGCGTGAAGAGAAAGAAGCCGCAGCAAATCAAAAAAGTTGGAGAGGAGAAGGTAAAACCCTCACCATGTGGAGCAGGAGGGAGTACTCGTCGATCTTGGCCAGGTTCTTCCGTCTCCGCCATCTCCCCCGTCACCCTGCAGAGATCTGGAGCCGCGAGAACGGAAGAGCTGATCAGTAGTATGCAGTATGCAGCGAAGAGGAGGAGGAGGCGATGAGGCGGTTACTACTACTGCGAGGAGGAGGAGGAGGAGGCAGTGAAGCGGAAGTTGCCATGGGCAAAGTGGGCTTTGTGGGCGGGCGTCTGCGTCTCTCCTGGGCTTCCTTTGTGTCGCGGCCGTCTCTCCCGTCTCGCGCAGTGGACTGTGGGAAGAAAATGGTCTTGGCACGGGGGTTGCGTTTTCAGTTCCATTGACTGTCAAGTCTGTCACAGTTTCAGAGTGTGTCAGAGATATTTTGTTGCTTCCTTGCGGCAAAAAGGAAAAGGGAAAAAGGATTTGTGTATGAATCACACAGATTTGATTTGCTTGGAGGCTGAACGCTGAAAGCATGTCTCGAATCACGCGATTATGGCAAGCGAGTACTGCCTTTGATCCACGCTCATCTCATTTTTATTTGTGTAGCAGAGAATAAAGTTGGGGGGAAATAACTTTGGTGTTTATCATTAAATGAGATGAGCGGTAGTTGAAGATAAAACGAAAAAGAAAATTATGATCTGATTGATACCCTTATTATTATGGTTGTGCTTATTAGTCCATCACCAAGTTACAGATAGGGTGCCGTTAAATACTTAAATGTAGTGCTCCCTTTTAAATATTTGATGTTTAGATAAAGATTTGCTCATGCTTTTATAGTTCCAAAAATCAATTTTATATTAGAATGTGTTTGTAAATTTTGACTTCGGGTGGCAATGGGATGGATTCATATGATACGCCGCTAATCTTGAAAACTGACAATGCTGAAGTTGTTGCGTCCTAATCGAACAAGAATCCCTCGAGAACAAGAATCCCTCGAGATCGGCTGGGGCAACGACGGTCCATGAAACGAAAGGTGCGATGCAATGCTTTCAAAGAGTGCAAGTGCACAAAATAGGAAAAGAAGCTAAGAGGGTAGTACATACTCTTAATCAAACGACGACGAATTCAAGATCTTGCTAGGAGGGGAGATTATGTGTGCTTGCACGGATTTTGAATTGGTTGAATCAGGAATCTAATCCCTTCGTTCAGTTATCAATAAAGCTATCTCTTTACCGTAAAAAGTACATTTTAATATTAAGTTTATGGTATTATGGTAGTATTTTTTTAGGCAAATCCAAGTATATTATTTATTTTGTTTTTAAACTAAATATCTATAAAAAAAATTGATAATCAAAATTTTAAAAGTTGGATCGAACTTTGTTCCAAGCACCAAATATTTAAATATTTTTGGTTGGAGCGAGAGTAATGATTTTCTTATGGGAGTTTTATTTTTGGAGATATTCAGGTGGTGTTTGGTTGGAGGGACTAAAGTGGGGCTAAACTTTAGTCCCTCTCACAAAAACATAAGTCCCTATCATAGGGACTTATACTTTTGTAAGAGGGACCCTAGTTCCCAAACACCCCCTCATTAACTTGGATATAATATGATGCTGACTGTTGGCACATGGTACAACTTCAGCTGCAGCATTTCGCCTACTTGGGGATAAAAACGCTAGCGAAATTCTTGACTCACCGAGTATCGTTTATGTAAAAATAGTATAGTTTCTAATCATTTTCACTTTTAACCACATATTATATTTAGCTATTTTTAATTTCTTCTAGCACCATACTGCATTTGCCACTAAATAGTTAAACTAATAAAATATGGAAATTCCAGATCGACCGATAATCATTTTTTATAAACGATGTGTTTCCGACCGCTATATATGTTTACATTTTTCGCACTAATTTCAGGAATGCCGAGCAATGCAGGAAGAGTGCCATCACCTGTTTGTAGCGTGTCCGTCCAATCGAGTGTGGAGGATGCTCGAAGGATGGACAATTGTGTGCTTTCTGCTGCCAGGCGAGAGCGAACTGGAGCCTAAAAGCTAGCAGGTTGGTGACTGAGCACAAGACTGTGTTTTCGGACGAGCTAGAGGCATACGTAGAACAAATTATCTTTGTATAAAGGCTGGTTGGTGTGAAAGGAACACAATGCTCGATTTTCGATCAATGATCACGAACGGTAGTGCAACTTTTCGAAGCTATTTTGAGATTGTTGTTTGGAAGGAGGCCGAGTTGTTTTGAGATAACCGTACGGGCTGATTTTCTCCTCCGGAGTTCAGGTTTTTCGCCTGAACGCTGGGTCTTCACATTTTCATTTCGATATTGTAATGTTCCCATACTGTAAATTCTTCAACTCTTAATACAATTTGGTCAGCCAATTCTTCAGCTGGCCTGGTAGAAAGATTTTTTTTAAAAAAAAAAGATATACCAAAAACTACAATTGAATCTGCAAATGAACTATCAAAAGGCACATAAAAATTTCCCCAAAGAACACATAATTTAAATTTTTCATCGGACCATTCAAACATACATTCAGATTTGAGAATATTTGGAATGCCAGACACAGGCAAAACTGTTTTAGCATCAGAGTGCTGGTTCCACACGACAAGGCCCTCCACTCCTTATTAGCTTGGCTCCTCAACAGGCAAACCTGTAGCATATGGTGATCGTTAATAATGCACAAAAATAGCACTTGTGGACTTGTGGCTACATAATGGATCGGCAAAATGGAGAGGTTCTCACCAACTGTGATGTCTGGTAGCCTGCCATTCCTCATTTCTCTTTGGATTTCACAGTCACACTGGGTTGAGCTGTGTACCTTTACCCGATTCTGATGGTCAGGTAGCATACTGCCTAGACGTGCCAATCCAATTGCGACCTGATTAGCCTCTTCATCGACCCGCCAAGCTATGTACTCCCTTTCAAATTGCTTAGCAGGTGAAGCATCTGCAAAGAACCATTCCTACTGTTACAGACTTCAGATAGCTTAATAGCAGATAAAGAATATTGTAAAGAACTATGATTCTCTATCTTTACCATTCTCGATGTTACCGTCATTCGGTGGCTTAGTAGGTGATGCATCATGTGAAGAACTACCATTCTCATGGTCAGGGTCTTTGGATATCTCAGCAGGCACGGCAGCCCCCTCACATGGCAATGGCATCGAAGTCAAGTGCAAGTAACTACGTAGGAATGAATCATGCGCTCTTGCAGGCGGGTGAGAGACTCTGTTGAACCAACGTATCACCGTGAGATCGTCCCCCTCAACGATCAGCTTTTTAACTGGTTCATGGTACTCAAGCATGACCTTTAGCCCAAGTTCAATTGCTCCAATACTAGCCACGGTTTGATCCACGTTACCTAATGAACCAATAAAGAAGGAGAGCACACCATCCTCATTGTGAAATACACCACCCATGCCAGCAGAACGATCTTTGGAACCACCAATGCCGTGGAAATTGAACTTGATCCAACCTTTGGGAGGAGGAGACCAAGTCTTCCGATGCATTGCTGGGATTCGGTGCAGGAATTCATGTGCCCAGTCTTGAGGTTTACCATCCTTGCAATCGTCTTGATCGTCTTGAAATGGACGCGACATTCTTTCTTCCAAGCACATACGAAAATAAGACACATGGCTGAAAATACAGAGACAATAACAGTACATGATTCAGCATGTAACAACACTAGACAATGAATGCTACTAAGTAACAAGATATTGCCCATAAGTCTCAAGAAGGCGTACTCAAAAGCAAAGAAAGAATTATATTCCAGCTCCAATTTGAAGTTAAGTAAAAACTTTTCCTTAAGAGTCGGCCTTGCAAAGTCAGCTCCACCATCAAACAAAAGTAATGAAAACAAAAAAAAATGAGGTAAATTGGTATAAATCGAAGATGTTCGGAAGCAAAAACACATACTTGGCAAATTTGAGTTCATGTCCACATCAGCAGCAACATCAAGGAACTCAAATCTCATATCAGAGACTCCCCAGAAGTGGGCATTAAAATTTTCCATCACAATGACTTCATTAATATAATTTATGCTTGCCCAAATAAACCTCTCTCTTTCCAATTCTGGGGAACCCTTCAAACTGGTAAATCCATTGTTCCAATTTTCAAGTTCGGCAGAAATTCTATCCCCGATATTCTTGACCCCATAGGAAATTAGAATAATATTGTTTAATTGCTCAGGAGAGAAATTTGACTCAATGAGGTTTCCAACAAATGCCAGTCCTGGAACAAAGAAAATTATCGGCTTGTCAACACTTCTTTGGCATTGTTCATTAACCAAGAGCACCCGTAGATCCAAGTCGAAGCATGCTTTCACATCAGCAGGAGGTAGTGATGGATCATAGATTTCGATATCACTAATTGGGAATATATTGTCTTCCTTTAGTAGTAGAGCAAAAGCAATCTGATATTGGGACTTCACATCAAATTCAAAGCTCCCAATGCCATAAACAACCAATTGAATGCATTCATGAGCTCCCAACATGCTTGAGATGTGAGAACAAATGCTCTGATCTTTCTTCATGTGATCAACAAACTTTGTGATAGCGTAGAATTCCTAACATCAGAAATAGTTTCACGCATTTCTTTAACTATGCTTTCAGCTTCATATAAGTGTCTGTCCTCAATGTATGCATCACTAGGATTTAAATGCCACATGGTGAATTGATTCATTTGGAAAGGAATCTATTATATTATTAAGACAGCTCGAAAAGAAGGCACCACGTTCGCTGTGGGGGCTAGAAATTCCCACATTAATCGGAGAAAAAGAAAAAAAAGAAAAGAAGAGTCCAAGTAGGAGTACAATTTAAAAAATGCTGAAATTCGGAATTAAAAATAAGCAATATTGAAAGAAGTTTCCATATAAGAACCCAATACGATATTAATCAAAAATAAAAATAAAAATAAAATAAAATTCAAAATTAGAAAAGAAAAAGAGAGTCCAGGTAGAAATACAATTTAAAAATAGCTGAAATTCGGAATTAAAAATAAGCAATATTGAAAGAAATTTCCATATAAGGACCCAATACGAGATTAATCAAAATTCGAAATAAAAATAAAATAAAATCCAAAATTAGAAAAGGAAATGAGAGTCCAAGTAGGAATACAATTTAAGAATAGCTGAAATTCGGAATTAAAAATAAGGAATATTAAAAGAAGAGTCCATATAAGAACCCAATACGAGATTAATTAAACATCAGAAAAAAATAAATAAATCCGAAATTAGCAAAAGAAAATAAAAGAAGAGTTCAAGTAGGAATACAATTTAAAATTAGCTGAAATTTGGAATTAAAAATAAACAATATTGAAAGAAAAATCCATATAAGAACCCAATACGAGATTAATTAAAATTTAGAATAAAAAATAAAATAATATCTAAAATAGAAAAATAAAAAGAGAGTTAAAGTAGGAATACAATTTTAAAACAACTGAAATTGAAAATAAAAAATAAAAGCATTAAAAGAACACAAAACGGTATTAATACGCCATACAAAAATTGTTAATAAAACACCAAATAGAATCCTAAATGACGATTAAAGGGAGGGACGTCAGGCAGGCTGTGAAGCAAATGAGTAAGGCGGTTGCCGGGACTTCTATAAAGTAAAAAAAAACAAACCTCATTGATAATCATATTCGATTTTTAAAATCTCAATGACAATAAAAGCAGTAGGCGGGGTGTATAACAGTATAGTTGCAGAGCCGCCAACGGTTGACGGGACTTCTAGAAAATAAAAAAATGAATTCCAACAATAGTTATGTTCGATTTTTAGAATCACAATGACAATAAAGAGTCGGCGGCGGACGGGCTATAGAGGGGCATAGTGGCATCGTTTGATGGGACTTCTAAAAATTATAAAAAATGAAACTACAAGTCTAATTTTTAAAGGTTCGGAACTTCTAGAAAGTAAAAAAAACAATGATAATCATGTTCGATTTTAAAATCTCAATGACAATAAAGAAGGGAGCCAGTGGGTGAGCCGCCGAGGAGTACAATGACAAAGCCGCTGACGGTTTGGCGGGACTTCTAGAAAGTAAAAATGAACCCAAAAGATAATTATGTTCGATTTTTAAAATCTCAATGACAATAAAGAAAAGAGACAGTGGACGGGCCGTAGAGGAGTATAATGGCAACGTTTGACGGGACATCTAGAAATTATAAAAATGAAACACAACGTGACAATAAACTCTAAAAACTATAAAATCCAATTTTTAAAGGTTCCAAGAAGAATGAATAGAAATAGTGGTAGATCGAGCAAGCAAATAAAGAAGAAGATGACATAAGGGGTAGCAACTGGTGTGACTTTAAAAAACTATATAATTAGAAACACGAGGATGATAAGGTTTAGTCTTTCAAAGTCTTAAGACAATGAGATATCTATTTTATAAATTTTAAGTAATATCATAAAAAATATATGATTTTGTTTGGGTGCTAGCCGCGCAATTGCGCGGGCCACCCAGCTAGTTAGTTTTGAAGTCATCAATAGTGAACAACAAAAATATACCACAAAAATTAAGGCATGTGCTTCACATGTGACATATCGCAACAAACCAATTGTTAAAGTTAATGACTGCAGTAAAACAACAAACATGTTTTACAAAAATATGTTGTTTTTATTTCTCTGTTCAGGACAAATTTGAGTTAATCGCCGAAGCAAAACAATAACCTGCACTGCAGCAATAGTACAAAGCAAATCTCACTCAAACAGAGAACCCCTTTTACACAAGAAACCCTTTCTTTTAGCAAACATATCTTGTTTGCATCATCCTTTCTTTTATTTTTGAAACCAAATTATACTTTCATTTAGCTTAAAATTCATAGAACTAGGCAAACAAATAAGCATGGAAAACTAATCCAAATGATTCGTTTGGCAGTATGTAGCCTTACCCTTCTAACTGAGCATCATAGCCCATTTGGACATTGACATTGCTCCCGACCCTTGTAGCGCAATTACCTGCATCGAAGAAAGAGGCAACAAGTCAGAAGACCATAATGCCACAATCCATATTGGCGCGCGCGCGCAGACCCACCCACCCACACACACACACACACTCTTAAGCTTTGAAAAAAAAGGAAATGAGCTGCAAAAGAACCTGGTATCAAATATTCCATATCGATTTCAGCATCGAGGTGAAAGAAATGAATTGAAAAGGTGCTGGGAAGAGCACAAATCAAAGCACCGCTTTCCATACGCGCAACGCAGTGCATGCATGTACACTGCTCTGGTGAATTATTGTAGTCGTACTGGTTCAATTCATAAGGATACTCATCTCCCAAGAGAGGGTTATCGAATAAGCCAGATATCTCTGCACAAAGCTCTAATTCCTGAACATAGCTCGGAATTGCCAGTACCCTCTTCACCTTCTCCCTCTGCTCATTGACACCACACTTCTCTTGCTTTGAAATGCTGAGCTCAAGCATCTTCACCATGGTGCTGAAACTGTGCCCGAGCACGACGATCTTCCCGAGCTTGTCCGGGCTCCAGTTCAAGATGAGCAAATTCTCAAAGAAGACACGGTCCGCGTATGGCATAAAGATCAGAGTTGGTTCTTCTACCACCAGGCATAGCGCAGGAGATGTGGTGACAATGCAGCCCAGCTCCTCCATGGCCCGGCGCTCCACTGGGGCCACGGTGGGATCAACCACCTCGATGGCGCCAACCAGCTCGGGAAACTTGTCCCGTAGGAGGAGCAGCACGGCGAGGCGGAACCGTGGCGCCCAGCTGTACCGCAAGCCGCCGAGCCTATACGCCACGACACGGAGCCGCTCGTGGCCACGCCCACGGACGCGCTCCAGGCCCTCGAGGCACGCGGCATCGGAGGAGAAGAGCGCGGAGAGCTTCGCGAAAAGCGGCGATGACATGGCAAGCTCCATGGCGAACCACAAGAAGGACATGAGCCGCGCGTGGTCGCCCATCACGAACTCCTCCTTGATCAGGTTCAAAGAACGCGGACCACCTGGGCACGCCGCGCGCGCGGCACAAGGAAACAAAGATCTGCGATAACCACCCAATTTTCTCCGGTATCAAATGACGGCTTCCAAAAAAATCCCAAACACGCAACACATCATGCACCTTTTTTAAAAAAAAACGTGTAAATATATACCATGGTCCATTGAAACAAAATATAGGAATAAAAATATTAGCAGAAAAATATTGGAGTACAGCTGGAAAATATCTTTAAGATCTAGCAATTCCTTCTCCCCACTGCGGCACACCCCTATCACCCCAAGTTTCTCAAAAAAAAAACACATCTTGCGTCTTGGAAAAAACAGGTCAACATATACTATGGTTCATTAAAATGATTGTATGCATCCCAACACATCTTACAAAATATCAATATTAGAAAAATCGAGATATCTATATATCTACTACTGTAAAAGTAAAATCATCCTCCTTCTATGCCATCCTCCACCACCCGCATGCCTTCCACCCACATTTCTCCAGAGAAACCAATGGCTTCTAGAAAAAATCGAACACACAACACATCATGCACCTCTAGAAAAATGTGTCAATATATACATTGGTCCCCATGCGTCTCTAGAAGAAGAGCCAACATTAACAGACCCAAAAAATTAAGCAATCTATATTGCGAAATAAAGGGGTTGTTTGCATGCTATACAACAATCATTTGTCATACTTTTGTGCCACACTTTAGCTAAGTTATGGCCAATAAAATGTAAGCCACACTTTAGCTAGCAAATAAAGAGTGTGCCACACATTTTTGAGTTAATGACGTGTGAGACCATGAGAAATGAAAGGGAATACCACAAGTGTGGCCATGAACCAAACAATGAGTTAACTTGGTCAAACTTGCCTAATATGAGGTGTGGCAATCTTTTGGCAAAGTAATATAGACGATTTGATCAGTACTCCTCTAGAAAAACTGGCCAAAAAATGGATGATTTGTGTTTGGCAAATAATAGAATTTGATATGAGCATAGCATGAGCAATTTACCAGGAGAACTGAAAAGAACACGAAATATAGACATCTTGCTGTTCAGGATGCATGAATCCTTAAAGTAGGGAACGATCGTTTGCCATGGTTGGAAAGGGAAACTTTCAATATCGTTTTTGACTTGAGGGAAACTTTCATTTGTTTTAATTTCCTTTGATCAAAACGGTTACATAGTGAAGCTTTTCTTAGTAATCATAACCACTAGGCACTTCTGGGGAAAAAAAAGAAAAGTGAATGAATTTTTACAGGATTTGAATACTTACAGTAAAATTCCTATCAAGTCATTCATAACAAAGGGTTGATGCTTAAAAGTTTATGTGGAAATCCAATTAAGGTTTCCTCTCGTGGTGTTCTATTCTTGTGTCCACTATTATTTTATCTTTCCTATTCCTATGTACCATCCAAACTATTATTTTGGAACATTTGAGTGTGTCTAATTCTTTAGGAATTTGCTTGGCAAGATATTCTAATTATATTCTTTTCAGGCTTCTATGTTTTCAAAATCCTACATTCCAAAGTTCCCTGCAATTCCTTTGAAATTCCCTTGAATTGTACTAAAGACTTTTTTTTTACATTTTACTGGACTTGCAGTAATGGCGATGTGCTTGAAAACTTACGACATTTTTCTATACGAGAGGCAGCCTAACTTCTCAGTAAAGACCGGCGCATCGCATGGTAGTGCCACACTGCCACTGGACGCTGCTGTCAATGGCAGCATGATCTTGCCCGACATAGGGAGGACATTGACATGATGACATCCTCTACTAGCTCGACCAGCTACAACTTCAGGGGTTCGAGATGGCATTCCCTCATGTTGGCATTCCCTCATGTTGTGAGGGGAATGTCATCCTCTACTCTCTGCTCTCTCTCCTAGGCTTCCTTGTGCTGCAGGGGTTTTATGTACAGTAGGACCCTGGGAATGCTGAAAAACAACATATAGGAATAAAAAATTAGTAGAAAAGAGAAAAAATATAGGAGTATGACTAGAAAACAAGTCTGCTACTATAAAAGCGGACCTATCATCTTGCGATTCCTCCTCCTACCGCCCCACACCTAACACCCAAGTTTCTTAGGAAAAAGCGGCGGCTTTAAAAAAAAACACGCGACACATCATGCACAGTAAAAAGTGTAAATATATATCGCGGTACACTAAAACAAAATATAAGACTAAAATCTTAGTAGAAAAAAAGGAGTACAACTGGAAAATATCTTTAGTAACATAAAAAGAAGTTGTTGTCTTGCAATTCCTCCTCCCACCACTCGGCACGCCTATCACCCCCAAGTTTCTCCCAAAAAGCCAGCGACTTCCAAAAAAGCAAAACATACAGCACATCTTGCATCCTGAGAAAAATAGATCAATATATACTGCGTTTCATTAAAATGACGGTATGCATCCCAACACGTCTTAAAAATACCAATATTAACCGCCCCAGAAAAATCGAACTATCTATATTCCTACTATTGTAAAACCGAAATCATCCTCCTTCTATGCCCTCCTCGCACCACCCGCACGCCTTCCACCCATGTTTCTCCGATGAAACCAATGGCTTCCAAAAAAAAAACCGAACAAACAACACATCATGCACCTCTAGAGAAACGTGTCAAATGTCAATATATACATCGGTCCCCACATGTCTCTAGAAAAAGAGCTAATATTAACAAACCAAAAAAAATAAACAAACTATATTGCAAAATAAAGGGGCTGTTTGCATGCTATACAACAATCATTTACCATACTTGTGTGCCACACTTTATCTTAGTTATGGCCAACAAAATGTAAGCCACACTTTAGCTAGAAAAAAAGAGTGTGGCACACATTTTTTAGTTGATGACACGTGGGACCATGAGAAATGAAAGAGAATATTACCATAAGTGTGACCATAAACCAAACGATGAGTTAACTTGGTCAAATGTGTCTAACATGAGGTGTGTCAATTTTTGGCAAAGTTTGAGACCGAACCAAACAACCCCAAAATAATCCGGATGATTTGATCGGAGCGCCTCTAGAAGAATGGACAAAAAAAGGAATGTTTTGTGTTTGGGAAAGAAATAGGATTTGTGCTAAGCATAGCATGAGCAATTTACCCGGAGAACTGAAAAAAAAAAGAAGAAATATAGACATGTTGCAGATCAGGATGCAGGATTCTTTACAACAGGAAACTTTTTATTTCTTTTTTTTTAACTTGAGGGAAACTTTCATTTGTTTTAATTTCCTTTGATCTAAACGGTTACATGGTGAAATTTTTCTTAGGAATCAAAACCTTTAGGCTCTTTTGGAAAAAAAAGTAAAGTGAATGAATTTTAGAGGATTTGAATACTTATGGCAAAATTCCTATCAAGTCCTTTAGAACAAAGGGTTGATGCTTAAAATTTTATGTGGAAATACAATTAAGGTCTTATCCCGTGGTGTTCTATTATTGTGTCCACTATTATTTTATCATTCCTATTCCTATGTACCACCCGAATGATTATTTTGGAGCATTTGAGTGCATCTAATTCTTTAGGAATTTGCAAGGCAAGATATATTCCAATCTTGTGCTTTTCATGCTTTATGTTTTCAAAATCCTACATTCCAAAGTTCCTTGCAATTCCTTTAAAATTCCCTTCAATTCCACTAAAGAGTGTATTGTTGTTTTCGAATTTTTATTTTTAATTTTATTTATTAAAATATTTAAAACATATTCTTTTTAAAGTTTTATAAATCTACACCTATGTTGCCCTTCACAAATCTACAATGTCACATGGAGGAAGACACCATTTTACAAGCAGTCACCTTATCGCCTGCAAAGGGGCTCACCTATAAAATGGCAGCCTAGGACATTTCTAAGCATCTGGAGAGAGTTGTAGCCTCTGGAGAGAGTTGTAGCCTCTAAGGGGCCGGTTGTAAAATGACATTGACGGCCCTTTTATAGTCTTTTAGGAGGGTGGCAGGGGTTGCCTGCAAAATGACTGGCATCCCTCCACATGGCCGTGTGCCACGTCATAAAAAAACATTAAGGTTCTGTTCTTAGGTAAGGGTTGGACACGGAAAACGGAGCAATGGATTAGTACGTGATTAATTAATTATTAGCCTAAAAAACTTCAAAAATAGATTAATATGATTTTTTAAAGCAACTTTTCTATAGAAAATTTTTGCAAAACATACACCGTTTAGCAGTTTGGGAAGTATGCGCGCGGTAAACGAGAGAATAAGGTTGGGAACTTGAACTTAAGAACACAGCCATATATAGTGGTGTAGAAATATAAAATTTTGAATATTTTATATAACTTTTTTATAAATAGTTTAAAAAATCATCAATTCATGGAATAAGTTCATTAGAGTTCTCTTAACTTGGCACCAAATTCGATTTTCGTCCCTCAACTCAAAAACCAGATACAATACGTCCTCCAACTTACAAAACCGGTGCAAACGATGTCCCTCGGCAGTTTGGATGGCAGTTTTGGCTGATGTGATGCCTACGTGGCTGGTTTAACTTAGTCCTCGTCCTGCGTGGCGGTGCCATGGCGCTGACATGGCAGTTTGATTTGAAAAAAATAAACGAAGCAACATTAAAAATTAAAACAAAATATGTGGGACCTATATGTCAGTCAATAAAAATAGTGGGCCTCACATGCATGTCAGTGGGTCCCACCTCCTCCACCTAATCCTCTCTACCTCTATCTCCTTTCTCCACTTCTCCACCGGCGAGAGCGTGCAGAGCCGCAGAGGGATAAGGCAGGGAGGTCAGCGAGACGGGTGGGGAGGCCAGAGGCAGGGAGGCCGATGTTGGTAGGGCACCACAGGTAGGGGCTCGACAGCGACGGGCGGATGGAGAGGTGCACAGCAGCGACGCGACCAGTGGGGAGAAGGGAGAAAGGTGGAAGAACTTCAGTAACGGTGCGAGCGAGCGCCTCCTCCGGGGATAGCGGTAGAGCAGGCTCCGTCTCAGCCTCACTTCATCCTCATTGGCGGAGGGGGGAAAGGAACGGCTTCTTGATGAGGTGGAGCTCGCCACCTCCGCCGTCGTCACCGCCGGAGGAGGAGGAGGCACGGCCATTATCTCCTCTGCTCCGTCCCGCCGCTCCGCCCGCCCATCCCTCTGCTCTGCCCGCGGTCCGCAGCCGCTCCGCCCGTCCCTCTGCTCCGCCGCTGCTCCACCTATCCCTCTGCTCCGCCCATCCACCCCTCTGCTCTGCTCGCGGTCCACGGCCACTCCGCCCGTCCCTCTGCTCCGCCGCCACCCTGTTCCGCCGCCCGCTCCGCCGGCCTGCTCCGCCCACAGTCCGCGGCCGCTCCACCCCCCCTGCTCTGCTGCCGCCTCGTTCCGTCGCCCGCCCTGCTCCACCGGCCGGCTAGCCGCTCCACCCCACCCGTCACCCATGCCATCGCGTCTCCTCCCCCAACTAGAAAACCTAGAGCGGCTTCTTTCCTCTCTAGCTCATTTCTCCTCCTCTTAGCCTCCCAAAACCCTAGCTCCCCTCGATCTGATGCCGTGAGGCTGTGACCTCCCCAGTTTCGCCATGGAAGACCCCGTGGTTGCCCCATCTTCCTCCGTCGCGGTGGCGGCGGCGGCTGTGGCTAGGGTTGCGCCGGCCGCTCCTCTCCGACCCCATGCAGAGGAGAGAGAGGATAGTGAGATAAATGGAGTAATGAGGCTGACATGTGGCCTACATGGCCCTCACCATGTTTAAATAATTGGTGTGTAACTGACATGTGGGCCCTATAGGCTTTATTTTTTTTGGATCGAATTGCCACGTAAACGGCACATCAAATGCCACGTGGGACGAAGACCTAGTCAAATAAGCCACGTAGATGCCACGTCAGTTAAAATCAGATGCTATACTGCCGAGGGACCTCGTTTGTACGGTTTTGTAAGTTGGGGATGCGTTTTATCCAGTTTTGTGATCTAGGGACTCTGAACTCGATAGCAAACTGAGGGACCTAAAGTGAACTTATTCATTGTTTCGTTAGAATAGAGCCCAGCCCAGCCTAGCCCAGTTAAGGAGAACCCAAAGAGGCCCAATCGTGGGCGGATAACGCAGCCTGAACTGATGAAAACAGGTCGGTCTCTCTGTGCGACCGTGCCTTTCCAGTATCCGCCCGACCGCCCCTACCGCAACCTGTAGCCGCTGATGGCTTCGACGCCGGCGGCCGGCCCCAACGGCGTGGCGTCGCCGGCGGGGCAGGCTCCTTCGAGCTCGCTCCCCGGATTTCACGAGGCCCCTCCTAGCGTGCTCATATCGAGACCTTCATGGATCGTCCGCAGCGAGGTGAGCTCAATCCTTCCCTGCACCTCTCCCCTTTTGTTCTCGTGCCTGCGATTCGTCGAACACTTCGTAGACAGGAAGCGTAGTTGAATCGACCGGTAGGTTTTTCCTCGGCAGCGGGACATGGAGAGGAGGTGTGGGGATGGGTTAGGGTAGCGGGTAAGATTGTGCTGCCTGCAGCAGAAGCTAGCGCGATGGGAAGAATCATGAGGAATCGGCAATTGAGTACCAAAAATGAGGAAATTAGGCCATGGTTGGTAGAAATTGTTTCGGCATTACATTTACGGAATTGTTTTTTTCTGACCAAGTCGCCGGAGGGGGGCGTTCCCCACCTGAATATATTTCAAACCATCTTACAGAATGTTAAGGTCGTCATGTGTATCAGAACTTTGTAGCAATTGATTCCACTTCTTTTTTATTGAATACCTGAAGCTTAGCACCATGCAAATATGCAATCCACTGAACACTTTATAAGCAAAATTTACTTGCCATTCACTTCATGACTTAGATCTTGTTCCAACGTTTTTACAGCCAGCAATGCTTACTGTGTGTTTGCTCTAGCCTGTAGTGATTTCTTAACTCCAAACATACCAAGGTTGGCCTTGCAGATTTATGTGTTTTTTGATGTAGCGGTCGGGTTATCCATTATCTGAAAAAAATTGTGATAGTACATGAGATTTATCATAGATTCATTGCGAGGGAAACATGGCAGGGGAAAAGGGGAATGGGGTTGAGAAAGGGCATGCTATTTTCCTTTCTGTGCCAACTGATACCCTCTCTGTTTGTCACTGAGTTAGGAGTCCTTCAACTTGCCAGACAGATGGAACAAGACCATCTCAGACCATATTGTACATTAAGAATTGTCATTTGTTAACTTTTGACATGTTTATACACCAATCCTGATATCTTCACTGCAAGTATGATGCAGTCAAATATTAGGAGGGAGAGACCAAAAAGGCCTGATCCTCCATGCACCATCTGCAGAGGCACAGGCAAAATAGATTGCCGCAACTGTTTTGGTCGAGGTATCTCTTGTACTCCATGTTCTCTTCTCTTGCTAGTATCATGATCCTACAAACCAGTTCTCTCATGACCATGGAACCTGGGATTTACAGGGAGAACCAATCATGCCGATCTTGTCATGCTCCCGAAGGGCGAATGGCCACAATGGTGAGGAGCTCATAGCCTCATACTCAAAAGCTGTCTGCCATACTTATGCTGCTGGTACTGAGAAACATGCTTCTCCGGCATGACTTCCATTTTCCAGGTGCCGTATATGTGGTGGTAGCGGGTTAGATTACTGCCACCGTTGCCATGGAACCGGTGAATTTCGAGAACCCATGGGCTTTCACTTCGCTACCATCCACAGGAAATGAACTTCACCTAGACAGTGTTGTATGGTTGACAGTCCGACAGATCTGTGTAGAGAAATCATAATTACTTCATGATATACAGTTCAAAGAGTTGAACACTACTAGTTTAGTTCGTGAAAAACTCCATTTTAGTTTATCGCAATGCTCGTGTTATGGAATCCGGACTGCTCGCAATGACGGTCATCAACTCTTTGATATAAACTGTCGGGCATTGTCCCGAGCTATTTCTGCAAAGCTCTAGTTCTCTGTGCATATGGTGCATCATATCTAAATAGATAAATTTTACCATCCTTAAGAAAGTACTTGACTTCTCTAGTTCTCTGTGCATAGTACCATATTTTATAATGTAAAATTTGATATTTTCATATATCAAAATTTTCAGTGTAAAATTTAGATACTTTCTTTAAAGTACCGTAAAATTTCTCTATTAAAAGACACAGCGCGGTATCTGCGCACCCACGTCTCCCTAATAACCTTCCCGTCCATCCTGTCTAGATTTTTCACATTTTGGTCCTTTTGAAAAACTTATTTTGCAAATAGACCCCTAAAAAAACTTATCCCAGAAATGGTCCTTTTTGAGCGCCAGAGTCGTGCGCCGTCATCCAACGGGACGGGCCGGCCTCTCTGGCGCCGTCCTCCTGCCACCGTGGCACACGCGAACCAACGTGGCAGGAGGAGGCGCCAGTATCGTGGCGCCGCCCCAGGGAGGGACCCAGCATCGGGCGCCGCCCCCCCCCCCTCCCAAACCCTCGCCTCCATTCCTGCTTCTCTGTATGGAGTTGCAACAGTGTCATTTTTGTTTTATTTCTCGGATGTTTTTTCACTCTCAGGATCACGATACAACCAACCAAAAAAAAAATTAAACTTGAACTACCACTTAGTCTACTTTGCACCTTCACTAATCTACCACTTTGATCTACCCTTTGATCAGCATGTTAAACATAATGCACTCTACCACTTTATGAAATTACTTAATCTAATTCAAAATTCCAAATTCCGCTTGCAAGATTGTGTTCGGCGATATTAAAACCTCCAAATTCCGCTTGCAAGATTGTGTTTTCGATGAGAGAAGTTTTTCGGTAGAGCTTTGGAAAATTCCACAGGCCACATGTTTCGTCCGTTTGAGTTTATTTTTTATATTTTTGGTTCTTGTGAGTTCCTAAGCGTGAAAAAAATATCAAAAAAATAAAAATAAAAATAAAAAAAGTTGCACATCTCTCTCCTCTGCACTAGTTCGGAGAGAGAGGAGAGGAGAGGAAAAATTCTACATGTCACATATTACGTCCATTTGAGTTCATTTTTTCTATGGTTGGTTCTTCTATGTCCCTAAGCGTGAAAAAAATATCAAAAAAATAAAAAAAAATTAAAAAAAAATTTTTTGGGGGGGGGGGGCGCCAGCCACTCTGGCGCGCTCCCCCTAGCCACCTCAGCATTGCCCCGCCACGTCGGCAGGGGGACGGCGCCAGAGAGGCTGCAGTTGGACGACGGCGCCAGCCACTCTGGCGCCCCAAAAAGGACCATTTTTGGGATAAGTTTTTCCAGGGGTCTATTTGCGAAATAAGTTTTTTAAAAGGACCAAAATGTAAATCATATCCATCCTGTACCCACACTCGATGAGACGGCGCGGCTGCCTGGTGCGCGCGAGATCCCTGAGCGACACGAACACGTGCCGCCCCACGCCTTCCTCCACCTCGTCCCCCTCCGAGTAGTAGTAGCAGTACTCGGGCCCCGGCACGCACGGGTGCTCGAGAGGCAAACCCAGCAGCAAATCCTCGGCCATCTCGGTCGCCGTCGCGGAGCGCCGCGGCAGGAAGGGCAGTATCGCGGTGTGGAAGCCGTCGGTGTGCTCGACGCACGGGAGGCTGCACTCCCGGCACAGCACCCTCCTGCAGCAGCTACCCGCGTACACGCAGCCCATGCCCCTGCAGCCGCCGCCGGCCGCCTCGCATGGCCGGAATACGCAGGAGGCAGCCGCAGGCTGCTCGCCGCCGCTGATCTCCACGTGTTGCGGCTGGTAGTAGCAGCGCCGCCCGCCGTCGTCGTCGCGAAGAGTCGGCGCGACGTAGTCGGGCGGTTCGTCGTCCTGGATGGGCACCAAGCTATCCCCGTACAGCATGGGGAATGCCATCTGGCACTGGGGAAGCTTTAGCTGGTCGAGCGAGTACAAGGTGTCGATGCTTCTCGTCTCGAGATCGTAGTAGCCCAATGCTCGCCCTGTGTCGAGCAAGATCCTGCCGCCGCCATTGCTATCGGCGACGGCGTCCAGTGGCACTACCACCACGCCCGTTTTTAGTGAGAAGTCCGGGTACCTCTCGTCCAGTAAGATGCTGTAACTTTTGTGCCATGTGCCGTCAGCCTCCTGCATCGTCCATATCTGCAGATTGTTCTCCTCCGCGTTTGCGACGACGAGCGACAGCGATCCTTCCAGCTCGACGAGCAACGGATAATCACCGCCGTCCCTCTCGCTGCAGCATGGCTGGCATGGCAAGACGGAGAACTCCCGGGAGGAGATGTCAAATGCCACAATGACACGGTCTCGGGCCGTCGGCTGTGGCTCGCTGATCCAGTAGAGCGTCCCGTCAACATGTGCCGGTGGCATGTCGGTCACCGGCCTCGGCGGCTTGCCAGCGCAGCTCCAGTAATCCACGCAGCTCGTCTTGATCATGCACAGCTGCAGGTCGCCTTTGAAGCGGCTCATCTCAACCACTACATGCTCTTGTGACAACCGGTCGAATCCTAGCCCGATGTTCCTGCCAACTCTCGTGACATGGCGGCGATCGTCATCAATACTGACAGTTGGATCAATCTCACGAAACTTTCCACGGATTCCAAGACACCGGATAGAACCAGTGCAAGGGTTGCACAGGTAGTCGTCGCTGCTGGTGCTTATCAGGTTAAGTCCATGGCATGGCTTAGAGCAGAGGATCCTGCGGTTGACAAGAACGTCCGAACGAGCTTTGGCGGCAGGCCCAATCCAGGTCTCCACCGGCATGAAATTAAAGAAATTCTCCCGTCGACGGCCATTCGTGACTACCATGACCTTCTTCCGTTCCATGTTAGCAAGCATGTGTGACGTAAGAAAGCGCTCGCTCTCGATCAGTGTGCGCCACTGTCTGCAAACGAGCATGCACATGGCGATTGATTTGGGCGGCAACCGTAGTAGGATCTCAGTCATCGCCGCCGTGGCTTCCCTCTGTCGACAACTCTCGCCGCCTACACGGGCAAGGCTGTCCTCGTACAGACCAATCCGAATACCGGCCACCGCCTCCTCCCGGCCGCCGGCGAAATCCTCTGGGACGGTGACCACCGTTTCGATGCTCCCCGTAGCTGGGTCGTAGGCGTGCACCTTGTGCTGCGAGGTAGCGATCAGGATTTTCTTGATCCGCTCCACACTCCCGACGTCGTCTCCGCGCGCGCCGCCGAGACATCCAAGGACGGTGATGAACCGGGGATCGTGCATGTCGCGTGCCACCTGCGGCGTCATGGCGACACGGAAGTCGAGTGACCATACGCTGGCGCTGTAATCTCTCAGCGCCCATATCTCCAGGCAGCTTTCACCATGCGGAAGATGGCGGAGATCGCGGACCATGCACAAAGAGCCATGGAGCTCCACCAGGTGGAGTGGAACAGCCGGGGAGTGGCTGTCCAAAGCGCAGTAATCCGCTATGCCGTCGACCGCCGGCCCAGCGACCAGGCTGAAGGCCTCGTCGGCAACAGAGAAGCATAGCACTGGAACGCTGCTGTTTCGGTTCTCAAATACCGTCGTGTCAGGGAAGAGGTCTTGATCAAGTATTTGTCAGGGTAGAGCTGCCAGTGCAAGAACCCATTGGCGTATACCGGGGGCACCTTGGTTGCCGCGCCCTCGTAGAGGAGGGCGCAGATCACCACGCCACCGAGACGCCCCGGTATGCCTCCGGAGGCTGGCCTCCACGGGCGGCTTGGGGTGCAGAGCGTGTAGACCTCGCAACCATGGTCATGGACTCACTCTCGCCGCCACGGCTCACATGGCAGAAGAGATGCACCACCTTGTGCTCCTTGGTCCGATCGTCGAAGGCTAGGCCGGCGCTGGACAGATCGTGGCAGCGCCGCCGCGGCAATGGCCTGAACACGCCGGTGCTGGAATTGCACACCCAGTAGGCGAAGGATCGAGTGTCAGCCAGGAGCGTCAGGCCGTGGCACGGCCTGCTTGAGACGACGAGGAAGCCCGGGCGCAGGCGGTCGATATTGAAGAGCAAGTCGGTCGTCGTCGTCGTGATGCGCCGGACTGGGCCGACGTCGCAGGAGTAGACAGCCGTGGCGCCTCTGGGCGACGCCGGCGACGCCGCAAAGAAGACGAACTTGCTCATGCTCATGCGACGGGCATCTGCCATGGCCGCGTAGCCGTCCTGGAATCCAGGAGAAGAGAGCATAGCGGCCCATGAGCGGGAGACAGCGCGGAAACGGACGATGGAATAGGCCGGCAGGCGCAGAACGATTTCTGTCATCATTTCGTCCGGCAGCGGCTGGCCGGCGGACGACCGGCGTGCTCTCTTGCCCCTCTTCGACGACATATGCTGCATGCCTCGACTGCCATGAATGATCGATGAGGCCTGAAGTTAGTGCGCGAGAGATACGCTAACTTATTATAACAAAAGTCGGGGGCTCTGTTGAATCCGATTCGAGTGCGTGTGTTCTATTCATTATCGGACAAGGAGGGATTCTGTCGAATGATCAAAGAGAAAAAAAAAAACACGCGTCATATATCCTCATATGTAGGTAGGCATCGGAGATCCAGGCAGCTTCAGTTTTTTTTTTAAAAAAAAATGGTGCAACTTGACAATATGAAAGTTAATAGGTACTCTATGTTTAGGGATTATTAAAAAATTCATCATCAGGCCGGGCTGCGTTTTGTTCCTTCCAGTTGGGAACTAATCTCCCGCATACAAAAAAAAACCGGAGTAACTTATTATCACGAAATTTATTAAATATTAGTTATATTTTTTAAAAAAAATAGATTAATATGATTTTTTAAAAACAACTATCATAAAAAAGGCTTTTTATTAAAAACACATCGTTTAACAGTTTTAAAAGCTTTTGCACGGAAAACGAGGAAGACAAATTGGAAAACTCAGCTGCCAAACAGGTTGAATCTGGTATAGGAGATGTGGATTTTCATCCCTCTCGAGGACATCCTCTCGTTATTTGCATGTCATCTAAATAGTCAAAAAAAAATATGAAAAAAACCGACAACATAGATTAATATGAAATATATTACTCCACAAACATACAGGTTTAGACTTTCAGCTCATCTGATTTGCATTTCAAGTCCAAAATTCCTTACTTGTATTTCTACTTTTCCATCTGGATAACCGTTCAGACATGGTCACATACTCGCATTCTATTTACTCATGAATTAAACATTACTGGTCAACAACTACGAGTAATGGCAATTCACAGCATTGGCTAGAGAAAACGTCAGAACTCAGAACATAGATGAGAAACCATCGATGAACATTCAACAAATCTTCGGGGTGGGTTACACATGCACAATTAACACGCTAGCATTAATCAATCTAAACGTGCAACCTCCCAACGTGCAAGCAAAACGATCGGGACAATTAACAGCTTGGCAACACTCTATAAATACAGTTTCCCGCTACTACGGCCTTGGTGCTCCAAAGTGAAGCACAAAACACAACAGGTGCAGCCAAAGAGAGCTGCGGTTTTGCGAGGCCAACCATGAGGACGGCCTTGCTGCTCGCGGCGCTCGTGGCCGCGTGCGTCGCGCACGGCGGCGGCGCCGATCAGTCGACCCCGGCGCGGCGGTCGCTCACGTTCGACAGCATCTTCCCGGGCGGCCCGCACACCGACTCGGGCATCTGCTGGGAGTCTCTGCTGACGCTGGGCCGCTGCAAGCACGACCTGCTCGCCGCCTTCTTCACGGGGTGCCCCATTCCGCGCGCGTGCCGCCTCGCGGCGTGCGAGGCCGACGAGCACTGCGGGCCCTTCACCCGCACCTTCGTCGCCTCGCTCCTCCCGCATGGCCTGCTGCGGCATTGCGCCGGCGTCGCGGCGACCTCCAGGGCGCCACCACGGTCGTCGTCAGTCCCCGCTGGTGCTCAAGCCAGCCCGAGGCCTCCCACCAGCAGCGGTGGCGCGTGCGCGCCATCGGTTCCCAGTCCAACACCACCGCCGCAGGCACCAACAGCTGAAACGAGCGTGCGCTCTCCTCCACCGTCCGATCCCAGATTCTCCCTTGGTCCACCAAAGACATTTCCCAGTCCAACACCACCGCCGTCGGCGCCAACGGCTGAAATGAGTGTGCGATCTCCTCCACCGCCCGCTCCGAGATTCTCGCTTGGTCCACCGAAGACTTTTCCCAGTCCAACACCACCACCACCGTCGCCAATGGCTGAAACGAGTGTGCAATCTCCTCCTCCGCCCGCTCCTAGATTCTCCCTTGGTCCACCGAAGACCTTTCCCAGTCCAACACCGCCGCCGCCAACACCAACGGCTGAAACGAGCATCCGCTCTTCTCCACCGCCCGCTCCTAGATTCTCCCTTAGTCCACCAAAGACCTTTCCTGGTCCAACACCACCACCGCCAGCATCAGTGGCTGAAACGAGCGAGCTCTCTCCTCCACCGCCCGTTCCTAGATTCTCCCTTGGTCCACCGAAGACCTTTCCCCGTCGAACACCTCCGCCGCTGGCGCCAGTGGCTGAAACGAGCGTGCGCTCTCCTCCACCGTCTGCTCCGAGATTCTCCCTTGGTCCACCAAAGACTTTTCCCCGTATAACACCTCCGCCGCCGGCACCAATGGCTGAAACGAGCGAGCACCCTCCTCCACCGCCCGTTCCCAGATTCTCCCTTGGTCCACCGAAGACCTTTCCCCGTCGAACACCTCCGCCGCCGGCAGCAGTGGCTGAAACGAGCGAGCTCTCTCCTCCACCGCCCGTTCCTAGATTCTCCCTTGGTCCACCGAAGACCGTTCCCCGTCGAACACCTCCGCCGCCGGCGCCAGTGGCTGAAACGAGCGAGCTCTCTCCTCCACCGTCCGTTCCACCGAAGACCTTTCCCCGTCGAACACCTCCACCGCAGACACCGATGTCTGAAACGAGCGTGCGCTCTCCTCCACCGCCTGCTCCCAGATTTTCCCTTGGTTCACCAAAGACCTTTCCCCGTCGAACACCACCGCCGCCGGCGCCAGTGGTTGAAACAAGCGTGCGACTCCCTCCACCGGAACATCCGACAGCTTCTTCCAGTGGCACGAACACGCCGCCGCCGGACGCATACACAAGTGTAAGATCGCCGCCGCCACGCACACCAAAGATCTCCGGTGGCACGCACACGCCCCCGGACGCAAACACGAGTGTCCGTTCGCCGCCGCCACCACAGGACACACCACCGAGAGTTTCCGGTGGCAAGCACACACCGCCGGACGCATACGCCAGTGTACGTGTGCCACCACCTTCCACGCCAAGAGTTTCCGGCGGTGGAACGCAGGCGCCGCCGGAGGAGGACACGCCGAGAGCTTCCGGTGGCAGGCACAAGAGCCCAGATGAACCACCGTCGCCGACGGTTTCCGGTAACATGACCGGTCGTCCACCACCACCACCGCCGTCGCCGACGTTTTCCGGTAACATGACTGGTCGTCCACCACCACCATGTTCTCCGACGGCCGTGTCCAGTGGCTCCCCGGCAGTGCCTGCGTATGACGGTGCAGCCGGCCGTGTGGGTGGGTCGACGGGACCCAACCCGAAGGTTATTCGGAGTGGAGGCTCACCGCCCGTGGCAGCTGCGGAGTCGCCGCCGAGCAGCTCGCGGACGGCGAGCCCGAGCCCGGATTTTCCGTACGGCGCTGGTTCTGACTAGCTTCTTCCTCGCCGGCCGGGCGGCAGCGGCAGTTGGCGACGCTGCTTCTCTGATCGTGTTTTTCAGTTCGCTTTTCAAGTGTAATCCATGCTTAATAAATGAGGGGAACGTTTGGTTCCGTTGATACTTGCTGCATATAGATGTGATGTGTGTTTTTTCACTTTGTTCTTCTTCAAGTGTAACGCATATATCTAATGAGCACAAATGCATCACTACTATTTCCAGAACTATCACATTCATACAATTCGTATTCGAGCGATAAAATAGCTGTGCAGCTTGCAAAGAAAAGCTAGCTATTCCAACCAATAACTGAAACTCTCAAAGCCAAACTATTTCAGAGTTGGATAACGCGAAGAATAAATAAGCTGCCATGAGTTTTTTTTTAGAAAGAGAGGAGATCCTCTTCTATTTCATTAATGAAATGAAAGTAGTTCGACAACTAACAAAATGGCTGCCATGAGGTTTTGCAACAGAATTACATGTGACACAATGCAGTTAGAAGATGGTTCTTAGGTTTGGAGCGTAACAGTAACACCAGCAGTTTGGGCCGGAACAGAATAGTGACGAACAAACTGGGCTGGATGATAGCCCGTGTCCGCTCCCCTTCCTATTCGGTCCAGCACGGCCCGGCCCCACCTTGCTCCAGGCTACAGACGTATCTGCGGGTGGGGCCCGCAGCTCCGAGCGCGCCTCACCTCGCCGACTTCTCCAGAGACACATGGCCTCGCGATTCGTGCAGATACGACACCTCACGTGCACCTCTCGAAGTGTTTTACAACTCGAGCTCTTGTCCGTTTCATCACGGGCGAGGCATAATGCCCAGAACCTGGTCTATGGACCGAGCCTGATACCCCACCATCCACCGAGCAAACGAGCGGTGGATGCGGCGGTAGTCCACGATGGCTCACCGACCAGCTCAACCCCCGCGCGTCGTGATCAACGTGCACGGTCATATACTCCGTAAAGAAACCGAACCCACACCCTGTCGTCCTTGTCATCCTCGGTTGGCCTCCTTCCCCCAATCGTCTCCAACTCTCCATCGCCCATAGCTTTCTCTCATCTTCGGCCCTGCAGGCTGCAGCCTCATCGCTCGTCCCTGCAGCCTCCCGCTGTCCTGCCAGATTATCTGGTAAGCGCTCGCTCTGCATCTCGTGTATTTATAAGCGCGTTAGTTTCTGCACCGGATTATTGCTAGCTGGTCAGGCGTCCCTCCGGTTGGATTGTGTACTGACAGTATATCGTGGTTGGTTTGTGTTGCTTGACCGCTCGTCGCTTGGTTGATTACTTGATTTTGGTTCAGTCGCGAGTACGTGAGTATTTAACCATGGAAGTAATTCTTGTCTACCGTTCCGTGTGGGGAGATTTCATGATTTGTTGGGATAAAGGTCCGTTCATTTCTTCAACAAGAGTTGGTTGAAGATAAAAATTTTTGTGGCATGCTTTTCAAACTGTTAAATGATGCGTTTTGTGTAAAAACTTTCTACATGAAAATTATTGTAAAATATCATATTAATTTATTTTTTAAGTTCGTAATAATTAAAACTTAATCAATCATACGTTAATACCATCTCGTTTTACTTTAAAAAAACTTAATCTTCATCTTCATATTTATTTTCAGAAAAAAAGAACACCAGCAAAGAGTCTTGTTTATGGCGATGAACACATCCTGACTAGTTTGATTTGATCTCCCTCGAGATTTAGTTAACTGTTCTTTAGTAGTGTAGTGGAGTACTTCTTTTCAGGAGGCTATTACAGTATTGAAAACATTTTCTTGTCATGCCTCTAGTTTTCGCGGTAATGACGGACGTAAGATTTTATAAATAAGGTTCAATAAATTATCTCATTATTATACAATATTATAAAAAATACAATATGTTTATCTAAAACAACAATACGATTAGAGAAATATCAACTTAGTCAGAATATCGAATCTAATTAAAAAAGTCATATCTAAGCCGATACGACTCTAAACAGCAATACAGTTAAAGATAGAACTAATATATCAAATAGGCAACGTTTTGCGTCAACCTGAATAGAATATCGGACTTAACCACGCCAATACAAGCGAAGTTGACGGAACATCCTCGCCGGAGATCAAAACCGATACATCCCAACTCAAAACTAAGAACTCGCTGGAACAAAAGATGATGGTGTGCCAAAAATAATTGTATTGATATATAGAAATATTTTCTATAGATCCTAAGTGTATATATTTATACCCTTATAGATTGATATAAGTCGTGATCGAAACACGACACAAGTTTCCTAAAAGTAAAAGTAAAAGGAAATATACAAGTCATCGGACACTAGATGAAACTTACCAAAGATAAAAAGGAAAGTTTCTAAATCTTGTCTAATTAATAGATAAAATTAATTTGTCATGTCGTAATATTTACGATTCCTACATAAATTTGATCTCTCGATTAACTTCAATCCATCAATCGACTCCTTTCCTTAAGCGAACCAATTAGAGAATCACTCCAAATTTTGACATCGACACAATTCCCAGTTGAATTTGTTGCATTTTTATTTTCTGAGTAATGCTGATATGTGGGCCACCAATCATCCTAAAAAAAGAGATATAAGGTGGAGTACTCATTTCTCGAGTATCTCTCCCCTTCTCTTTGGCGTAAAAGGAAAAACACCCGTCTCGTCGTCTCCTCAGCTCCGTGCGCCATCTCGCGTCGCGGCTGAACAGGGGAGGGGAGGGGATCCTGGTGAGCATCCACACCCTCTTTCTGATTCATCTCTCTCCCACCGGGAGTACTGTTGTCTGGGATTTTGCTTGCGTTCGTCAATCCTAGCTTCTCTTCTAGATCTGGAAGAAGCTCTTCTCTTAATTTCAGAGCCTTGAACTTACTACAAGTAAACAGTTTGTTTGTTTCCCCAAAAGTTTTGGGGGTTCAGTTCATGTCCCAAGTTGGATCCGCCCCTGTTTCGCGGTATTCGGAGCGTCAACGATTTAGTCCACATGGCTGATACTGGAACTCCGAAAAGCTCGTAATACTAGTGAAATGCTTGTGAGTTCTTTGGTGCCTTTCGGTTTGGTAGGTGCACCTCACGCTGAGGATAAGGTTACGTAACTATAGTAGCGACGCTTTGAAATAGTAATCTGCAATTTGAGGTTGTCTTTCCTTATATGGAGTAGTAATTCTTTTCTAGTAAGTAGTCTATTTTAGCTGGTCCTACCAAAACGACCGGTTGTATTTAGTCTATATATGAGGGACTGTTTGAGTGATGGCCTACCTAATTTTTGCGATCTACCACTCTTTTGATGTTTAACCTTAGTACTGAAAAACGTACTAAATCGTTTCAAGCAGCATGAAAATCTCACTCCAGATTATGTACCCAGTCTATGCTTCCAGTCTAAATTCAGTAGTCACATGATCAAAATGCTCTTCATTCAAAAGGCAAGTCATTTTTTTTAGCAAGAATACAGTGTGATTGTTTGGTGCCTGTCTGCCTGATATCCTATCCACAACAGATTTATGGGTGGATCATTTGCAACAAAAATAGCATCTTTCATGCTAAAACAGTGTGTGCTAACGGGTGCATAGCTCAGCAATTATTTGTGCGACTACACAAACTGAACCCGTTCGTCCCATGTATACCAAATGCTCCACTTAAATTGAATAACTCTACTTTTTCGGAAACTCAATCAGGGCAGCACACTTCAGGCTTAAGCAGAGGTTGGAGGATGGAATCGCCCTTTATGTATAACATTTTTCATATGAAACTGACATGCAGTTACTGCAGAATATTTTAGGAGCTTTCATGTGGACCATTACGTTGTGTTTTCAACATTACTATTTTTATTGCTTTATATTAGGAGTGTTGGTAGTAGTACAATTATAAGCTGCCTAATTTAGCTCAATGACTAGCATCTACTTAATTAGTTATTCATTCCATTTATATGCCAAGCCTTCTAATAAGCTGTATCGTATACTTACACCTTCCTGTTATGCTTGAATTGCAGCCTTTGTTTGTTTGATGGCCTCACCTGCATCACCGAGAGAGTTCACTCAGGAAGCTGCCCGTCAGTCTCTGATTGCGATCTCCCGGTCTGTTCCAGCGGCAGGAGAAGCCGTCAACATCAAGTCACCGAGCGGCGCCATGGTGAATGGCCACCACCACGACGATGACGGGGCAGAGAAGTACAGATCAAAGCTCATCTCCATCTCCAACCTGTCGCCTGATGCCCAGCCTACGCCGTGCTCTCCCAAGGACACCGCTGCTGCTTAGGCTTAATTAACCGTGTGACCATGTTACTGCTTACACTTCCAAGTGTGGATATCGTGTCCCAGCGTGTGTCGCTAAATGCTGAGACTGTGATCAGGACCCTTGGCCTTAATAACTGCCATGACTGTATATGGTCTTGTGATGAACTGCCCAGTGGGATACTGCCCTTCTTATGTGTGAAAGATGCATCATGGCCTGAAATCTTCTCGCGTGTAAAATCAGTACAGCAGTTACCTGAAAACTGTTTTGCAAATGCAGTGGATCACTATCTTGTTCTTCTTTTGAGGCCCTGGTGTAGCAGTAGGACGACTGCATTATGACTCTATGAGTCGATGAGCAGTTTAGATCGAAGCAGATATGTACAGTAGCTGCTGTGAGGCAAATTTTTCATGATATGTGACGGTTCCTCTTACTTTGAAGTCTTACTTTGAAGTCAAGATGAATCTGTGAAGTGAGTTGACCGTGAACCCACTTAAACAAAATTACTTAAACAAAATTAGTGTACCCACTTAAACAAAATTAGTGGGCAACCTATGAATTAATCCACGGGTTACTTACTAACCAACTTGACGACGGGAACCGGCCGTGGGTTGCCTATTTATTTAATTTAATCTATAAAGCTTCGCGGGTGATCCACTTGTATACCTACATCTTTTATCAGGATCCTGGTGCAAGAAATAATACGGATTTGCTGTTGTGTGCGTACGCGCCAACGGGTCAACTCAGCGCGCGTTTCGGACGTTCGCAGGCTCATTAGTAAAGCACGTGCAGGTGCCAACTCATACAATTAGTGTGTGATTAACGCCATATCTAACGTGATTAACATGAGTACGTAGCGCTATGATCTCATACTTTTTTTTTTCTTTTTTCCAGTAATTAGCTCTATTATTAACATGAACATTTTCAAATTTAAGTTGAAAGTTTCGAATTTTAAGATAAAAGTTTTAAAATTTGAGTTGAAAAATTTTAAATCTTCAGTTGAAAATTTTCAAATCTTCAGTTGAAAGTTTTCAAATTTTGATTTGAAAAATTTTAAATCTAAGGTAAAAGTTTTCAACTGGACTTGAAAGTTTTCAAATCTGAGCTGAAAATTTTTTAAATCTGAATTGAATGTTTTCAAGCTTGACTTGAAAATTTTCAAATATAAATTTAAACTTTCAAATATAGAGTTGAAAGTTTTCGAATCAAAGTTGAAAAGATTCAAATCTAAGTTAAAAGTGTTTAAGAGAATTAAGCACTCCCGTGACGATTTTTTTTCCGGAAAAAAAAAGAGAGAAACACGAACGGGAGTTTGGCTTTTCTTCGTACGTGATGCCGAAAACAAGTGGGCCCACCGCTTCTCTACGCGCGCGCGACTTAGGTAAAGGGCACGTACGCGCTAATTAGCCATCCCCGAAATAATATGCTATGGAAATCTGCATTCTGCGAGCACTCGAACTCGAGTACTCGACGGCTCGATGCCATCAAATTGATATGGGCTACTGGGCCGTAAGCGATTCGCACGCGTTATCAGATACTGGGCTGTATGAGGCCCAATCCACCCGCACATCAACTCAGCTGGAATCGTGACGACACGACTAGCGAGAGCGAGTTAGCGAGCAGAGATCCACGGCCCGCAGCGGCGGCGGCGGCGGCGGCGGCCGAAGCCCATCTGGTTACGCGAGGGAGATGGCAGCGGCGGCGGGAGGAGTCGCCGGCGAGCCGTCGGGGACGAGGACGAAGCAGCTTAAGGTCGCCGTGATCCACCCCGATCTCGGGATAGGTACGCCTCTACTCTCTCTCCCCCCTCCTGTTGCTCCTGTCGATGCTTGGGTGAACCCTCATCTCTCGTGGGCAGAATTTTGGTAGATCCGGTTGAGTCCCCGAAACGATTGGTTGCGTGCTACTTTGTAAATTGGTCGATATGTAGCAATTCCGAGTCCACGCGGTGGAAGCATCAGTAGATTTGAGGAACCGTTGCTGCCTGAGCTTGTAGCTGGGATATTTGTTGGGTTCCTCAATTTTGCTCAAGGTTCGACGTATGCTTAGTTGCTTGCTGCAATTACGGGGTAGTCTGAGTGTTAGGGAAAGATTTTTCTTCTTCTTCACTTCCATACTGTGTTGATACTTCTAGTTAAGTAGTGAGTAGTGATGCCCTAGAATTGGCTTATTTTTTGGGGAAGCCGTTGCACGGTTTCATTTGAATGTAGGACTTGCGGCTTGTTTATTATATGCAGGTGAGATTTTTAAGAACATTTTCGAGAAAAAAAATGTTGTAGCAGTATTGCAGCAGGTTATAGGACATTGACCAATGGACTAAGTGTGGCAGCATTTCTAGCATTGTACTAGATCTCAATTGTTCAAAGAAAACATATGTTTTTGTGTAGGTGGTGCTGAGAGATTGATAGTCGATGCGGCTTGTCAGCTTGCGGTCCATGGTCATGATGTTCATGTTTTCACATCACATCATGACAAAAACCGATGCTTTGAAGAGACTGTTTCTGGTAAGGATCTAAACTCTATCTGAGGTGAATGTTGCTTATAACTCTCTTACTATGGTAGTTGCAGTACCTATTTGTGTTAAAGACTTACTATGTACTATGACTGATTTGATGTGGACTTGTAGAGGATATGCATATATTCCTATGTGAATTGTCGATTGATTACGTACAAAATTTCACAAAACGTTTCCTCGGATACCCTACTCAAATCGCTCAATAGTGTGTAGGGATTCTTATGCCAATGGAAACTTTACTTGATTTTCTATTGTCCTGCAGGTCCATTTGAAGTTAAAGTATATGGAGATTTCTTGCCTCGCCATATTTTTTACCGCTTCCACGCTATCTGTGCATATCTTCGCTGCATTTTTGTTGCAATGTGTGTGCTACTTTGGTGGCCCTCATTTGACATCATATTAGTAGACCAGGTTTCGGTTGTGATTCCACTGCTTAAACTGAAGGCAAAATCCAAGGTATTGATCCCTTGCTTTATGTGATCAGTATGTTTCCACTGTAGATATATGTTGATAACTTCTTTTTCCCGTGTATTCAGATAGTATTTTATTGTCACTTTCCTGATATGTTGCTTGCTCAACATACTACCATGCTTCGGAGGTTGTATCGCAAGCCAATTGACATGATTGAAGAAACAACTACTGGTATGGTCTTGTTCATCTAGAACTGTTGCCTGCTATGTTTTTTACCATTCCCTAGTGTTTGTTCTATCTGTAGTGCTTATCCCTTTTTTGTATGTATTAGGTATGGCAGATTTGATTCTAGTAAACAGCAAGTTCACTGCAACAACATTTGCCAGGACCTTTTGCAGCCTTCATGCTAGAGGAGTCGAGCCTGCTGTTCTATATCCAGCTGTCTCTGTTGAACAGTTTCAGGAACCTCATGCTTATAAGTAACTGCATGCTTGTATATCTCTCTGTAACTCGCTTAGGTTTCATTTTATTTAAAAAAAAATAGTATAGTGTGAAGTGTAAGCATTTTTCTCACCTTCTGCACCTTCAGGTCTAGCCAAATTTAACCATCATCTTTCTGCGCAGGTTGAATTTCCTCTCAATTAACCGGTTTGAGAGAAAAAAGAATCTTGGTCTTGCCATTTCAGCATTTTCTCTGCTTCGCTCTGTTGCTTCTATGCTACCTGGTGATGCTCGACAGGAAGTAACCTTAACAGTAGCAGGTAATTTCCTTTCCACTACAGGTTGAATGTTGCATCGTCACTGCATTATGAATTACCAACTGGCAACTACTGTTTACTTACAAAAGATTATGCTTAAGGTGGATATGATAAGCGTCTCAGAGAAAATGTTGAATACCTTGAGGAGCTCAAAAGATTGGCAGCGAGTGAAGGGGTTTCTGAACATGTCAAATTTGTGACATCTTGTTCAACTTCTGAAAGGAACGAACTTCTCTCCAACTGCCTTTGTGTGTTATACACTCCAAAGGTAAATATCTGGCATGTCTTTTGATTCTCAACAACATGAGAATTTTCCCATAATAAACCTGCGTCTGACATTTTGCAGGATGAACATTTCGGTATTGTTCCTCTGGAAGCCATGGCCGCATATAAACCTGTAATTGCATGCAACAGTGGTGGTCCAGTGGAAACAGTCATAAATGACGAGACAGGGTTTCTCTGTGAGCCCTCTGCCCCTGAATTTTCAAAAGCCATGCTGAAGCTCGTGAACGATCACGATCTAGCAGTTAAGATGGGTAAACAAGCAAGGGGCCATGTTGTGCAGAAGTTCTCAACCAAGACATTTGGTGACCTTCTGAACAGCTATGTCCTTAATGTGTACCATCAGAGGATTGAGTGATCCCCAATTCGGTGTCGGCAATGCCGTGGAACACTTGGAATAGACCATCATTTTCATGTTTTTTCCTTTTCTTTTGTTACTTCTGACTTCGATGTACACGCATGCGATAGAGTATTATATACGGATGAATAGTGAAAACGACTTTGTAATGTTACCATTTGTGGCAATGACAGGAAAAAATATATATTTGGGCCGTCTGAAACAGAGCTGAAGTTTACAATCTGATTGTCTTTCCCTGGAAAGAGATATCAGGTACAAAATTTGCTGAAACAACAGTTGATGTGATGGTCAAAGCTAAACTGTCAGGATCAATTCCCACTAGCAAGATGCAATGTAGGAATAAACAACAATGTTTGAAAGGAATCATGCAGGTACAGGTAGCTGCTCCAAGTGGAAGCACGATTGTTAATTCGGTGAACGTTATGAATCATCCGACCATCATTTTTTCTACAATCTGCAGTCATACGTTTGGAAAACGTTAGCCTGCTGAAATGGATGCAAAAACAAGCAACTGATTAATGTCAAACGCTGTGTGCTTAACCGAAATTAAGAAATCTGAAGTCTTCCCGAGAAGAAACTCGAAGTTCGAACAGGTAAGATCTCTGTGCCAATTGTCAATGTAGTTTTGTCACCGCAGTGGAATTATTATTGCTTCTGTTCACAGGAACAGAATTTAAAGTTAATTACTGTTGGACAAAGAAAGGATAAGAACCTAGTAAGAGTAACGTGTCGGTATTACCACTAGTAATTCAACTCTGAGCAGTTCCAAATTCTGAAAAATATTGTAACCCCACCAGCCGGTGACAGTTCTTGTCAGGACGCTCCTTTGTTTTCAGATCGATTAGTCAACGAATTTATCAATTTATGGATGATCATCAGCAGCTGCGCCGATTGCAACGTCTGTTCAAAAGAATATTTCGCCACAGTCAAATCGAACAGGGAGCGTTTGTTCGACGATATGCCTAATTTTGTCAAAGTACAAGACTTAAAAATAAAAACTCTTAAAGTCGTATGGCGATGGCAAGAGCAAACGATAGGATCTTAGGACGTGTGGAACGTCAGTGTAGCAACTAGCAAGTGGGTATTAACTAGTGGGTGCTTATATATATATATGCAAGTATTCGTAAACATAATTTCGTGCAAGTTTTTTATTTTTGTTTTGAAAATTGCATCTTCCGCTAACTGGCGGTGCACTAATGGACAGCTTAAGGCCAACCATTTTTTTTTTTTTTTGGCTTGCGTTAGCAAAATACTATATATAAAAAATAAAGCAACAAAGTGATCCATCATCCATGTTCCCACTACAGTACGGTTGATATAGCCATTTTAATCATATAGAAAATGTTTTGCTGGCAGATTAAGGCATGACAACCACAAGATACTTATTAATTATTTTTGTTAAAACTACTTGCTAATTAATTGGAGCAGAAACAGATTCTCTGTGATGAAATAGATCTTCATAGCTCAGATATGATGAACTGAAGACAGTACTCGTTTGTCAGACAGTGATTTAGTTGGAACTGCACTTGTACTCGTTTTCTGTTCCATTTTAGTTTCAGGAGTTGGCAGACGGTGCATGACAAAGAAAGATGTCGTAATGATGCCAAACTATCACCTAAACCACATTAAGAGAAACCATAATTTTGACTCCCAAGTAATCTGGCACACATGATCTTTCATTTCTGAAAAATACATTATACATGGGAGGGAAGTCAGCATTAACAAGCTAAAAGCCCTTGTATAGGTAAAATATAATTGGGTACAGAAGATGGTGTATAGATACAAGATTACAAGAGGCAATCCACCTTGTTTTTTTTACCATTAATTAATCATCCGCCGTCAGTAATATGATGTTGAGAGGTGTGAAACTTCTAACTAAATGACATTACAGGCAAATTTCTTATCTCTATAATATAATTTCATCCAAAGAAAATATGAGAATGCGGCTGGATGGATGGATGACCCAATCACGGTCAAATGAAACGCTCAACCGCTCGCAACTAATTAATACAGACAGAGGAAAAAGAACATGCAAGTGAACAAACAGAAGAAGAAATAGAACCGGACAGATTAACAATTCAAGATCCACCGTCATCCTCTGCCAGCTCCTCCCCAATCTCCATTTAACAACTCCAAAGATGCATTTGCCGTTTTGAAAAATTAAACTTCTTCTGTCTCCACAAAAAAAGAAGAAGAAGAAGAAGAAGAAGAAAACAGAAAGGAATAAGCAAGCAAGTGTGTTCTCTTCATTACGTTTCTGACAAGTAGCATCACACCAAGTCTTAGGTTAATACTTGTGAAACTGTCACCTCATCATCGCCCATCAGATTGCTCCAGTCGACGCCCATCGAATTGCTCCCTGCACGCAGCAAAACAAAAGGAATAAAAAAAGTCTCTAGTTCTTCGTCAAAATCTCGAATAAATTGATCCATAGAACATAAGCTCTAGGTAAGAGACGAAGTCTTGAGTAATACAGATCACGGCCAATCCATAGACTTAGTATTATTTATTTTGCATGCATTGCACAGTGGCACTTTAATGTGTAGCCATCGATCGATCGCTTACTATTCTGCCCGTCTGACTCTTGACTAGAGTATTTTACATCAATACAGATCGTTAGAAATCATAACAGATAATGTACTAATGCTGCAAGCTGTACTTTTTAAGCATTTCCCCTACGGGATTTTAATTTGGAAGAATTGTTGACTTGGTTTGATAGTTTCTCATATCTTCGTATCGTTATTAAGAAAACATTTTTTTTTCATATATTTAACCTGCTATTGAGATGAAAAGGAGACGGATGGCATCTTCATTTTTCTCGTGCATCATGATTTACCTTTTTTTCATTTTGCTCTGAGATTTTCGAGCATCAGGTATTACAATTTTCTAGCACTAAATTGTCTGAGATTCTTCATTTTTCTCAAAGATTTTCTAGCACCAACAATTAGTCTATTAGAACATATGTTTTTGGTTGATATTGTTAGATTCATATCAAAAACTTTTTCTTATATATAATGAAATGTGGTGTGGTGGTGTAGATGGCGTTGTTGTTTGTAGATACATGCTTGACCGTTTGTCTTATTCAAAAATTGTATGTAAATATATGAGATATTTTTAGTGATAAGAAAACTCACAATAAAATAAATAATAATTACATAATTTTTTTAAAAAACTAGACGAATGGTCAAACGTGTACCCAAAAGTTAACGGCGTCATCTATTACAATGTAATATAGAGCTAGTATATTAGTATAACAATTGTTAGTCAAAGCTTTATCCTAACGAAACAAAATATACCTATATTTCGACAAGGGAGTATTTCATTAGTTATTTGAATTTGAGCCATTTTGCGGCTGTACTTTGGGTTAGCTTGACTTTTTAATTGCATATGATGACATTACAGGTATAAAACCAACATCCCAGCTTGGTCTCCCTCAACCTTCTCACTCAAGCCAAGAAATCGAGCTGCTGCTTTGTTTGATCGCAATGGCAATGGAGCCTCCTCCCCTGTTCCTGTGCCCCATCTCGATGGAGCTAATGGAGGACCCCGTCACGGTGGCCACCGGCGTCACCTACGACCGCCGGAGCATCGAGCGGTGGTTCTTCAAGTACGGCAAGACGACGTGCCCGGCCACCATGCAGCGGCTTGCTTCCTTCGACTTCACTCCCAACCACACCCTCAAGCGCGTCATCTCGTCGTGGCTGGACCGCGCCTCCTCGTCGTCGTCGCCGAGCACGGCCGGCTCGCCGGCGACGACGTCGTCGTCGTCGTCGTCAAACGCGATGGAGAGGGAGAGGTTGCCGTCGGTGCTCGCTGGCATTGAGGAGACGCCGTTCAAGGCGACCGCGCTCAAGAACCTCAAGTCCTGCATGGCCGGCGACGAGGCGGCGCGGGAGGATTTCGTGGCGTGCGGCGGCATCCAGGTGCTCGGCCGGGTCATGACGCAGGCGCTGGAGGAGAGCTCCGCCGGGGGGGACTTCTCGGCGTTCCGGACGTGCGAGGAGGCCGCCGCCGTCCTCGCCACGCTGCCGCTCTCGGACGACGCGTCGGTGGAGCTCCTGCTCAAGCCGGAGTGCATAAGGCCCGTGTCCGTGCTGGTCCAGCGCGGCAGCGCCGAGGCGAGGCTGCACGCAATGTCCATGATCTCCAAGATCTCCAGGGCCAGCGTCCGCGACTGGACCGCGGAGGTCGACGTCGACGACATGGTCAAGGCCCTCCTCGAGCTCCTCTCCGACGGCGCCTCCGCGAAGCTGAGCTCCCGCGCGCTCGACGTGCTCCTCGACGTCACGGCGCGGTACTCCCGCGGCGCGCGGCGCGCCAAGGCCGTGGAGCTGGGCGCCGTGCGCGTCCTCGCCGAGCTCCTCCTCGACGCCGACCGCCACGTCGCCGAGCGGTCGCTCCTCCTCCTGAAGCGCATGTGCAAGTGCCCCGAGGGGCGGCTGGCCTTCGCCGAGCACGGGCTGGCGGTGGCCGCCGTGGCGCGCGCCGTGCTCCGGGTGTCCGGGCTCGCCACGAGGCTCGCCGTCAACGTGCTGTGGCTGGTGGCGTGCGCCCCGGCCCCCGCCGAGAGGGTGCTGGAGGACATGGTGGTGGGCGGCGCCGTGGCGAAGCTGCTGGCGCTGATGCAAGTGGAGAGCTCGCCGTCGACCAAGGACAAGGCGGTGAAGATGCTGCGAGCGCACGGCGCGTTCTGGAGGCAGTACCCTTGCTTCCCCACGGACCTCAAGGACTACCTCAAATCTCTCAACTGATCATCTTTCAGAGTGATCAGTAAAGTGATTTGTAAATTGTAAATTAAGAGAAATTGGATGTGTATTGTTTTGTAGGAATACAGGAGATTAAAGCAGGACATTCAGCATGGTATATGCATCTGTGTTTGTGTGTGGGCTGTCTAAAATCGCATGAATTCTGCGTGATTTTCATAGAAATTTGAAATTAAACAATTCAAGTGCATTAGGAGATAGGAAAAAAAATCTAGGTGGTGTTTTTTTTCTAAAGATGAAGATTAAGATTAAGATTAAGCTTTTTACGCAAAACAATGTGGTATTAACGTATGATTGATTGAGTTTTAATTATTACAAACTTAAAAAAGTATATTAATATGATATTTTAGAGCAACTTTCATATAGAAAGTTTTTACACGAAACGTACTGTTTATTTAAACAGTTTGAAAAGCGTGCTACAAAAATCTTAATCTTCGTCTAACTTTTTGTTTTGGAAAAAAGAACGGGAACTGTGTAAAAGCTGGGGCGTTTTTCATCCACTAGCAACATGTTTGAATTCGACATGTACGTGTGTTTTGTACTTTTGTTTAGTTGAGCAAAACTAGTACCATTGACTTGGAATCAATACAGAAAATCCTCCTTTTCAAACAAAAAATTCTGTATCGAAACCTTCAGAGAGGAGCAAAGCGTTGACTTTCATTGGAGACAACTGAACTTCTCTCGAGAACAAAAGAGAGTTGAACTTGAAAATGTGATGGTACTGTCCTTGAGATGATCAAAGTACAGGCCGGACGCATCGTTAATCGATCCGGTCAACATTCTAGATCAGGCCCATGTGCATGTACTCCTTTCACTACAAAATCCTTATATGGGCTGCAGGGCCGGCCATTTGAGTCTAGCGATAATAGGCCGGGAGACTCCAACGTGTCATTAAGAGGAAGGGAAAAAATAAAAGCTGAACACATACTCCCTCCACACCTTCCGTTTCAGAAAAAAAAATAAATTTAAAAGGAAATGTGATATTTTCTAGTACAACGAATCTGAATAAAGAGTTATCCAGATTCATTGTACTACGACATGTTACATTTTTTTTTTTGCGGGGAGACATGTTACATATTTGCTTAGGTTAAGGTTTTTTTTAGACGGAGGGAGTAGATGCGTTGCGTACCTGGCCATGGGAATGCGATGCCCGTCAGGTCACGAGCACGGACGACGTACGGCCGGCATCTAGGCACATGGCGGCTCGACGGTGCGCCACGCAGCCACGCGCCCACCGAGGCCCAAAAGCTCCGCGCCACCTCATGCCGTGACGTGCAGATCCCCTCCTCCCGCATCCCCCGCATGCGCGCCACCTAGCACGAACACCCAACGCCGCCGCTCGATCTCATCCATGATCCATCCCATCATCGTCGATGGCCTATATATACTCTACTCCAATCAACCCAATCGTCCAAAACACGTCGCAAGTCGAAGCACAAAACGCAAGCAACGAATCTCAATCCACAGGCTCACACTGATACGCAACGCACGTAGCTACTGTACTGTAGGAGCAAAAGAAAAGAAAAGATGCAGACGGCGAAGGTGAAGGTGCAGGACATGGTGAGCGGTGCCAAGGAGAAGGTGAAGGAGGGGACGGCCAAGGCGCACGGCAAGGCCGGCCAGGCGACGGCGGCCACGCACGGCGAGAAGGAGATGGCCAAGCAGGAGGAGAAGGCCGGCAAGGCACAGGCCAAGGCCGACGAGCACCAGGAGAGGGCGGAGCACCGCGCCAACGCCACCACGGGCCGCCACGGCACGCGCGTGCCGCTTACGGCCGGCGGCAACCGCCACCACCACGCTCCGGTCGGCGGCCCCGCCGTCGACCCTGCATACCCGGCCGCCGGCACCGGCACCGGCACCGGCACGTACGCGGCGTCCGACAAATCGTACATCTAGATTTGGGGTAGATGGACATGGGCGGGCTTGATCGATCTGGATCGCTAGTGTGTTTTTTTTCAGTGTAGCGAGTGATCTGGTCCCAGCCCGGCCGCTGATCGTGTTAGCTTGTGTTCGTACGCACGCGTGTATGCTGTGTGCACATGCGTGTGCTGGAATAAAAAGTGTCAGATGTAAAATTAACATGCTTGATGTAGTTCTGTTCAATGAAAGGGCTTTCGTTTTCATGTGTTTTTGAAGTACGCATCTACGGATCTACTTATATCGATGAATGTAATCATGTAGCCGTGTCAGTGTATGCTGTGCTCCCTAGTCGTTTTGATTTTTTCCCCATTTTTTTGAAGTTTGATAGAATTCAGAGATAAATATAATGATATTTTTAACACAAAATGAATATTCTATTAAAATATATTTAATGATATATTTAATTAAATTATTTTGGTATCATATATGTTGCTATTTTTTTTATAAATTTGATCAAACAAAAAAACATAAAGGAGTTTTAAGAGTCAAATATGAAACCGAGGGAGTACAAGATATTGACATCCTTAGTTTTGCCAATCCAATAAAGGTAAGAGAATATGTTATCCACGTGCCTCTCTTAAATCAAATTGATCCAACATGCCTCTGCCTCATGTAAAATATTTTTAGAACTTAGTATCCCTATTGTTTCACCTTTTTAGAACGAAATACTGATATATCATTTCCATAGCCTAAAAAGAAAACTTGTTCGGCAAATATATCATTTCCATAGCCTAAAAAGAAAACTTTTTTGCCGGGTCGGCGGAAGGACGTCAACCAAATTTCTTTAAGATAAAAAGAGGGTAATATAATATACATGATATTACACTGTCGAGTCGAGGGGAAACCTCGAAAAAGAACGTAAACCAAATTTCTTTAAGATAAAAAGAGGGTAATACAATATACATAAAAAAAGAGGGTAATACAATATACATGATATTACAGAGTCGAGGGGAAACCTCGAAAAAGAACAGGAAAACTATTTAAGGAGGCCAAAAACATGCTGCTACTCCTCGAAAGAAAAAATTCCGGCCACTCTTCAGATCAGAGGACCTCCTGATGTCTGCCACCAAGTGTTCTACCACCCTTTCTGTTATAAAAATCTTTACGTTTCTTCCTTTCCAAAGCTTCCAGCAGATCAACATGAACAGAGAATCGAAATCCTTACAGCTTCCAGCAGATCAACATGAACATAGAATCGAAATCCTTACGTTTCTTTCTTTCCAAAGCTTCCAGCAGATCAACATACACAGAGAATCGAAGGCGGCTCTGTGCCTTTGACCGAAAACAGAGACGCACCTGCTGCCACCATTTTGGAAGCTGTAGGCCGAGCTGACGGCAAATACCTTGTCTTTAAACACAATTATTAATTCTTCTCTAGTGTTCCTATCCCACAAGAATTATTTTCTTACTGTCCTTACAAGTTATTTCCTTGCGGATTCTCGATAGATTTTGGCACTTTGCCATAGACTTATACACACCATTACTGGTACCATGTATGAATGCGATCAGAATTCATGTCTATGTGATCCCTACACCAAAACGCATCAGTAGTGGAATGGTTTTGCAGGGTGAAACACAGCGAAGAAAAACGACAATATCCAATAACATGTCATTCCAATCTTAATTAAGATTCGTACACGCCGAATACTAGCGAGAAAAGAAAAAGGTGTACAAACATTCATAAGAAAACCGTACAACTAGGCTGACAACTGACAAAGCATGCTAAATAAGCTACCGATTGAGAAAAATAAAAATTAGCTACCTGACAGGCCAAGCCATGCGCTGGGGCTACTTATTTGTTCCTGATCTCTTTTGTTCAGGCATTGTGATACTGATTACTACTAGCGCACCGGATTATTGGCCAACGCTGCCGGTGGTGTCGGTGCAGGAAACACTGAATCCCTGATCCCTACACTCTACTGGGTCAACAGCTAACAGAGCTTAAAAACACAGGATTATCTAGTCGGTCATCATCTTCAGGTCGGGATCGTAACGGCCTTGATTCCCAGATAGCGACCAGCTAACAGGAGCATACGAAGAATGCATGGGATGACCTGAATTATTGAATGTGCTGCCATTAGGTCCCATGGGACTCCCTGGGTCATCGGAGTGGTCGCTTGATGATCCATCAGACGGAGGACTGGCAGCCGTGGCTGCGCCAAAGCCAGCTGCGTGGTTCGGCGTCGGGGCAGATGTTGGCTCACGTTTCAGATGTTCTTCCTTGCCTTTTTTACCTTCAGCAATGAAACTCCCCACTACAACCTGGAAAACAGAATGTAACAGAAGGCCAAAGAAAATGCTAGTTTAGGGCACAAACCAGCTGAAAACAAAGTGATAGCAGCAAATAGATGAATGGGGAACCTGCACGGGCGTTGCTGCCATCAGCATTCCAGCAACACAACCTCCAACTATACGTCCATCGCTTCCAGCAAGTGCCACACTCAAACCACCTGTTCTGCTACGAGTGTCGCCATCCTCTGCGAGCAGAAATGAGCCCGACAGAGAGAGAATATCAAAGTGGCCCTGTGAAACATCACAGTAAGAATTCATATTCATATATTGATTTCTACAATAAAAAAATACAATTATATTATAAACAAAGCAACTGAATATTGTTCGAATTTGTCTGTCCACATAGAAATGGCCACTAACAACCACATGCTGTAAATGAAAATGACCAGAAGCCTTTATCATCAGATTTAGATATTATGTTACTTGCACCTGGTGTGACTGTTGAGAACAAAGAAGAATAAAATTTTCATTCTATCCCCCACCCCCAATTTGTGATAACATTCTAAACATACTACTATACTAGTCATTTCTCCTCTTATCATTGGAATACATCAGAAAATAAGTTATCATAGCCAGAAAGCTGGACAACTGAGTGCATCCTACCAAAGCATACAAAGTTCAAAAAGGGGTTGCTGGCAATTGTGATGTATATATCTGGTTTGTTAGTGCAAGACAGACACTGGAGTTTCTTGTAGTTCAGGCAAACGTAGCAACTGGTGTTGCCGAACACAGGAAGTGCAGACTGCAGAGCACTGCTCTACTGTGGCTCGATGGCAAGCCTGGGCAACTCATCGGTGTCAAGAGGCATTGGATCCACCACTGTACAGTAGCACATATACTACTAAGAAAAATCTAGCCACCTATTTTGTACTGCACTGTAATGAAACAAAGACATCGAGAAAACTTTAATTAAGCATATTCATTACTATTTCACAGAAAGAACACCAGTGGAGCTCAAGCATTGCTCTGAGCAGTAAGCACACTGCACACAGATAGTTTAGCTTGAATATACCTCATATGTTACTATACCACCAGAAGTTGCTGGTTGACGTAGTGTTGCTGTGCAAAGAGCGCCATTTGCTGAAATTATGCATGTAGTGCGAGGGCCTTGTTGTGAAAATGCCATTATTTTTGAAGCAACATCCTGCCAAAAAGAAGAGGTGATGCATGCATGCTCATCAGCTTGGACTTCAGGTAGAAACATAGAAGAGGAGAATAGGCTAAAAGGTGTCCAATCCGTAGTAGATTGGCGCTAAAAAAACAACCAAGTGGCAAGTGTATGATGATCAAAGCCAGGAAGGACACTCATTGGCCAAGACAGAATCAAGTCAACAAATAATGACATAAATATATGCAATCTCCTGAATTGTAAAATTACTAATTCAGAAACAAATGAAAGGTTTATACGGAGTATTCTGTAAATGGCATTGACAACTCAAATAAACTCAAAAAGGGAACAAGTTTAAAGATGCTGAAGAATACATTATATGTTAGTTTGGTATTTATTATAGGAAGCTTATGCTACACATCTCTCTTCTTAGCTCTCACTTATGTATTTGGTTGTATTACTTGAGATCCCACCAGCAGACAGATGTAATATGTAAGGCACAAAGACTTATTACAATTTACAAACCACAAGCAAGAAATCAAAAACTTAAGTTCTCCAAAAGTAACTTTGTCACAACAAGACAACATAAGCAGACAAATAATGAATTTCAGCTCGTACTAGATAGCAGAGAGGGGAGCATTTTCAGGTACCTCATTAGGCTTCACTGTTATTATGTGGGGAGTAAAAGATGTCCCGGAAGATCCTGAAAATCAGCACATAAAAGAACATATATATCAGATCTGGCATATAATTATTGATCCACACAAAGTGGTCAAGTTCAGTTGAGGTTAAAAGAGACCCAAAAAAAAACTACGAAATCTGACAAATGGCATTATCATTATCATTCTGACCGTGCCACATGGGTAAGGACTATGGAACAGAACAAACTACTACTAATATGTAAACCGAGTTGACACTGCCCTGTTCTGCAGGGGCAAGTGTAGAAGTTATTGTAATTCAAAACATGCAAAAAGGACATCAGCAAAATATTGTCCATTTGTCAGTATATGCACATAGATTGGCTCTTAATAGAAAGTAACATATATAAAAGAAACCAATCACCAATGAATGTTCAATATTCAAAGACTAAGCTCATATTTGAATAATTCCTACTTTTCCTGTTTAGACTGTGCCCAGTGCAACACCAGGAAAGGATAAAGAGTGCTTGTACTTTTCTTTATTATTCAAATCTCTGCCTGCACTATTCTGCCATATTTTTATTCCTTCAGAATGATGAGGGATCCTTAAAAAAATTATTCCACACATGCCCTTTTTAATGCACACAAGCAAACACATGAATTAATTCCATTTCCAACAATCACACTCCATACCCGCCACAAGCTTGGACCATATTTTTCCAAAGCTACAGGCCAAGCAACATTGCACTTTTCAGTCATATTAAGCCATATCATTTCAGAGTTCAGATATAAACCCAAAGCAGAGAAATGATGCAGGCTTACCCAAAGCATCTAGCTGTTTTTTTTTCCCGGATCCTGGGGGTCGCCCTCTGCGCTTCCCGTCAGGGTTCGAGTTCGATCCTGCACCACCTGAAGGTCCGCCGGCCTCCGTCCCTGCTGCAGCCGCGGGCTTCAGTCCCAACCCGATGTTCCCGTCAGGACCATACTTCCTCGGCCTCCCCCTCTTCTTCTTCACGAGCTCCCCTCCGCCGACCGCCGTGCCGCCACCGCCGGAACCGGGCTGCTGCTGCATGCCCTGCACGACGGGATCGGTGCGGTACATGGTCCCCGACATATCCGCGGGCTTCATAGGCGACGAGGCGGTCGGCGACGCCATGGGGTTGAACGAGAGCGGCACCCCGTGCATAACATTCGCCGACCCCGGCGGCATCGCCGGCGCGGCGCCGTAGGGGTGCTGAGGCATCATCACGCCGCCGCCGGCCGGCGGCGGCGAGCTCACGCGCGGCTGCTGCTGCTGCTCCCGGCCATCCATCCCGGCAGCGAAACCCTAGGGCACCCACCCCCACCTGAATCGAAGCCGCCGCCGCCGCCGCAGCAGCCGCTCCTCGCGACCTCTCCTCACCTGCGCGTTTCGCCGAACAGTTCACATGCACCGTTCGGCGCGGCGGTTGTACGTGAGCTCTATGCACCGGAAAACAAATCTCGAAATCGAATAAAATACATCGGAAATGGAGGAGGAGGAGGAGGGGACAGAATTTCTGCGGATGCGGAGAAAAAAATTGGGAGGAGAAATGGAGAAAACAGGGGGGGAGGTGGCGAGGCGAGAGGGGTTACCTCACTGTGAGGGGTCAGATCAGATCAGATCTGAGTGACGAGAAAACGCGAGATATCGAGTAAAATAACTCGCTGCCTCCTGGCTCGCCGCGGCGTCAGGACGAGAATAGGAAACTTACTACTGTACTGTATTTGAACCTTTTTCGTGATGAAAATTGTTGTTTTTTCTACAAATCTATCTATTTTCGTTTAGATTATTTTTTTTAAGTCAAGAGAGAACTTTATTAATGACTAAATAGAGGGTTACATTCTTGATTTAACAAGTCTAGGATTATGCGGGGGCGGCGCACAGCCTCTACTCCCCACACGACCTAGTACTCATTGCCATTTGTGCTAACACATGAGCAACCCTATTAGCTTCTCTCTTAATCTTGTGCACTTGCACCCGTTGGATACATTGTATCACACCTTTGATTTCTGCAACCGTCGTCGCCCAGGAGGATCTTGAAGCTACCTGCTGTGTTAGAGCCTTAACAACATCAGCATTGTCTAGCTCCAGAATAATCGGCATATGAATCCACTTCATTGCTTCTTTGAGCCCTTCTAAACATGCTAGCACTTCTGCTTCAGCCGCTGAGGTACACTGATGCAAAGTTTTATATGCAGCCAGGAGTACTAGCCCCTGCAATCTCTGATGATAATCCCAGCGCTTGCTTCGCCTGTTTCAGTTCTATAAGCTGCGTCCACATTGAGCTTTGCACTTCCATCAGGCGGGCAACTCCACTTTTCTTTCTCTGCATTCAACTGACATGTCTGCTCTTTCTGACATGGATCCTGAAACATAGGTCCTTTCCCCTTGATGTCTTCCATGTGTTTTCGGGCGGGCAACTGTAGGTTATCATAATTAATCAAAAAACGCACCGAATCTGTAATAGGGACATTACCTTTACCATGAACCACCTCATTCCTAATATACTAGGCTCTCCACAACAAGTATAAAACCTGGGCCTTCTTTTCACTGCTTAGTCTGTCTAGCAGAACTAGAAGCCAATCTGGTCCTGTCATTGAAAACAAGCTTTCATCTGGCAGTGTCCAATGTTCTCTCAATGAAGCTCGCAACGCTTTGGCCAGCGTACACTCCACTGTTGCATGGAACCCCGTCTCCTCCTTCTGTCCGCAAATTGGGCAGGTTCCAAACATCTCAATCTTCCTCTTTTTTTTATTCTCCCAAGTGGCCAATCTGTCCTGAGCTAATTTCCAGGCAAAAACCCTCACTTTTGGCTGAACATTCGCTTTCCACACATTATCCCAGATTTTTCTTCCATCTGCTCCCCCCGAGCTTGAAGAAGCTTGCTCTGATGTTTTCCTAGCAAGGTTCCAAGCCAATCTATAAACACTTCTTACTGAAAATATGCCAGTTTTCTCATAATGCCACGCTGGGAAATCCTCTTCCTCCCGTTGTGGTATTCGAATTTTCAGAATTTCGTCCGCATCCTCCTCTCTTATAATGTGTCTGATTAAGGGCTCATTCCATGTTTTAGTGTCGGTGACGATTAACTCCCGGACATATATAAGCCTATTCCAGGTTTTCTTCTCCAAAATCTTTAGATTTTCCCCATGTGCAACCCAGTGGTTCCTCCATATCTTTGTCTTACTTCCATCTCCTATCCTCCATATCAGCCCCTTCTTTAGCAACTCTAGCCCATGCACAATTCCTTTCCATGTCGGCGATGAAACTGACGGGAACGCTGTATCAGTTATTGTCCCATTTGGATAGTACTTTGCCTTCAGAACTCGTGCGCATAAGCTATCAGGCGATTCGATTAATCTCCACGCTTGCCGAGCAAGGAGAGCCTGATTAAAACATCGGATATCCCGAAAGCCCAGTCCACCCAAAAGTTTTGGGCTTGTAAGTTTCTCCCAGGCAATCCAATGAACCTTCTTCTCCCCTTTTTCATGCCCCCACCAGAAATTCCGGACGAGTTGTTCATATTCTTCGCAAAACCGCTCTGGCATCTTGAACACTCCCATTGTATAAGTCGGCAAGGCTTGAGCAACACTTTTAATCAAAGCTTCCTTCCCAGCTAAAGAAAGGAATCTCTCACTCCAATCTGTAAGCCTCTTCTCAAACCTCTCTTTAATTGGTTGGAATTGCTCAGCCTTCATTCTTCCATCTGGGGTTGGGAGTCCCAGACACTTATCATCAAAGCATGTTCTTTCAACTTGCAATACAGCTTTGATTCCATCTTGTCTCTCCTGCGGGCAGAGAGCACTAAACAATAACGAACATTCTTTTGGATTAATGAGTTGCCCTGTACACCGCTCATATAAATCCAGTGCCTCTTTAATTCTCGTCGCTTGGATCACTTCAGCCTTAAAAAATAACAAACTGTCATCCGCAAATAACAGGTGCGACACACCAGGAGCAGAGCGACAGACCTTTAGAGGCTGAATCTGTCTTTCATCCCTCCTTCTTTGCAGAATATTTGATAGGCCGTCAGCAATAAAAAGAAATAGGTATGGATTGAGTGGGTCTCCTTCCCGCAAACCTCTTGTTGGGTAAAACGGTTCAAGCATATTCCCATTCAGTCGAACACTATACCTTACAGACGTCACACATGACATTATCCACTTTCTCCAGATATTTCCAAACCCCAACTTTTGCAATGCTCCATCCAAGAATCCCCAGTCGACTCTGTCGTAAGCTTTTGAAAGATCCAGCTTTAACGCACAGAAGTCTTGGCTTTCTCGTGTACACTTATGTATGGAATGAAAGCACTCAAAGGCTACTAATGCATTGTCTGTAATCATACGCCCGGGCACAAAGGCACTCTGGGTCTCCGATATAATCTCTTGCAACAAAGGCCTAAGCCGATTGACTAAGCATTTAGCCACCACTTTGTAAATCACATTACAAAGGCTGACTGGTCTGAAATCCTTCATCTCCACCGGTGCATTCGTTTTTGGAATCATGACAATAACAGTATCATTCATTCCTTCCTTCCATTCTCCAGTTTCAAAAAACTCTCGGACACCTTCAATCACGTCCCTCTTTAGGACACCCCAATTGCGTTGAAAGAAGCGTGCCGGAAAACCATCGGGACCCGGTGCTTTGAGAGGACCAATCTGGAATAAGGCGTCACTAATCTCTTCATCCGTAAAAGGCTTTGTCAACATGCCATTCATTTCATCTGTTATTTTTGGTTCAAACATATTCAACAGCTCACCTGGATTAAGGCTTTCATCCTTCGTGTACAGATCTCGGAAGAAGCTGCGTGCGATCTCTCCTAACTCCTCTTCTTTACTGCACATCATACCATCTGATCTTCTCAGCTTCTTAATCAGGTTTTTCCGTGCTCTCCAAGACGCTTTCAAATGAAAGTAGCGAGTATTCCGATCGCCTTCTTTCAGCCAGGTGATCCGGGATCTCTGCTTCCACCAAATCTCTTCGCGATGGAGCAGTTCCTGCAAAAAAATTTTCAGCCTGTGAACATCCGGTTCTGAGTCTTCCCTTCCTCTCATTCTCATTTCTTCTAGCTCTCTTCTGCATCTTTCAATGCTCTTCTTTATATTTCCAATTTTATCTCTGCTCCACCTTTTGAGATTCTCCATAGTATATGCTAACTTTGTTCTGACATCTCCCAAATTTTTCGCCAGACCCCCATCATCCCATGATTCATGTTCTATCGAATTAAAGGATTTCACTCTTTCCCATACTGCTTCAAAACAATTAATCTTGCTTCGTCTTCTCTGCTGCATATTTCCACCCTTCTCCAACAAGAGTGGCACGTGGTCAGAGCAAGCAGTCGTTAGATGCATGATGTTTGCTTGGTCAAACATAGCTCTCCATACCGGCGAAGCTACTGCCCGATCTAAGCGCACCTTGACGTTGTTTGGGCTTGCCTGGTTATTATCATAGGTCCAGGGAACACCCTGAAAACCTATGTCTTGTAGATCACATTCAACCAAAACCTCTCTAAAGTCCCTCATCTGTCTCTCTGAATGCTTCACTCGGGATCGATGCTCTATTTGCCACATAGCCTCATTGAAATCTCCTATCATTAACCACGGATCTGAAGCATTCAATCTAATCCGCCTGAGCAGGTTCCACATCTCATGTCGGTTTTGTGCCTTTGGTTCTCCATAAACAAAGGTTGCTGTCCATCTTGCTCCTTCCGGTTCAGTGATGATGACATCAATGTGTCTCATATTATATGATTTGAGTTCCACCTTCAAACTCTCGTCCCAAAACAGGGCTAAACCTCCCCCCTTTCCAACGCCATTCACCACAAAACATCTCCTTAAACCCAACCTCCATTTTAGATTACTCACATAAAACTGGTCTTGCCTAGTTTCCGAAAGGAACACTATTTTTGAGCTATGAGTCTGTACCATGCAGACTAGATCTTGAACTGTCCGGGCGTGCCCCAACCCCTAGCAGTTCCAGGCTAGGATACACATTAGGCCCGGCGGTGCTCCTCGAGGGAGCCCGCCGATGTTGCCAAGTCATCAAAGTGAGTGTCTTCCCCTTTCTTCTTCTGTCGTTTGCTGTCTCTTGAGGACGATTTACCTTCTTCTAGGCTGCGTGTTTCATCTACATCATTTCTCACTTCTTCACCAATAATGTCTCCTTCTGCACGTCCATGTGGCTTATCCATCAGCAGCAGTTGATCCGTCTTTGTTTCATGCCCCAGCAGCTCGCCAATTGCAAGCCTCCTTTTAGCAGAAGAAGAGCCACCAGTATACTTTGCGATCGCTTTGGATGGACTGCTCGCCGTGTCAATCATATCCTCATCCTCCATCTCCTCAGGATTGCCTGACTCAGAACCAACCCTATTATTACAATCATTCCTCTCCCGACCTCTTCCACTTCCTCTTCCTCGACCTCCTCCAAAACCCCAACTGCCTCTTCTGAAATCTTGGGCTATCAGATTATCCGGGTATTGTATAGCTTCGGGTGGGTGAACACCATCACCATGCTCCTTTGTGACATGCCCAACAAAACCACAAACACCGCAAAAAATCGGCATTTTCTCATACATAACGCGGAACATCCACTTCTTTTTATTTAGAGTGGTACTTACCACCCTCGTGAGCGGCTTACGAACATCCAGCATCACGCGCACTCGGGCCCCCTCACTGCTTCCCCGAACCGAGGCTGCATCTAATTTAACAATGCTCCTAGCTCTACGCGCAAGCTGAGTTGCAATGCTACCCGTCCTGATCTTCTCCTTCAGATCATGGATTTGGATCCATGCTGGGTAGGTATAGAGATTAACAGATTCAATCTTAGACCAGCCATCATATTCTGCGAGGAGCACCGGACATCCTCGAAAGGTCCATGGACCTTCATTCATAACTCGTTCCCAATCCCCCAAACAATTGAATTGGATCGAGAACAGATTGTCTTTTATTGCTCTGAAATCTACTTCTTTCGCGTAGTTCCATGCTGAGCGCATACTCCCAAAGAAAGCCCCATGACTAAACGATCACTTCGTATGAACTGTGGCTAGGGCTAGCCATCTTGCATCTGCTTCAAGCTCCTCTAGATCTTCCTCCAATTCCACATCCTCCTCCTCATCTGCCCTTAGGTCAAGCCCCTCCAGCATAACTTCGATTTCCTCCTTTTCCTTCCCCCGATCCGCCGCAGGCACCTTGCTGCCCGTCGCAGCCTGTTTCTCCGACGTTGAACCTTCGCTCGCCATGGCTGTTGTGTTCCCCTTCCTTATCCTGTAGTGCTATAAGCAAGCACGTTGAATTCTACTCGAGATCTGGGAAGAAACCGAGTCGATAACGTAAATCGCCGAGAGACTCCTTGTCGCCGCCGCCAGGAGGATAGAAACCCTAGTTTTCAGGGTATGGAGTTAACTATTTTCGTTTAGATTAGGTAGCTGATAAAACAATCTTGCTAATCTATAGCTGTTACGTGGGGAAAACAGTTCTCATTTTTCTTCGGCAAGAATGATATCTTCCAATTCAAGTAAGAAAAAGGACGTGACAACTACTAATGTTCCACTACGATTTACGTCCACAGAAGTATTAGGACTTAAAATAACGACAGTTTTCTTTGATGGTAAAATTTGATCACGTACCTTCCTTAGGATTAAAATGGAGGATTACCTCCGCCCCAAAATATAACAACTTTTAGCTCTCAGAATTTGTCCCAAAATATAACAACTTTTCCACCAACATTCTCTTCCCAACCAATCACAACCCTTCACCATTCACTTTTTCCACCTACCTCCATTACTCATCCAATCACAACCCTCCGCCACTCACTTCAACCTACTTTTTTAATAATCGTGTCCACCTCTAAAATTTCTTATATTTTGGAACGGAGGGAGTACCTTTTTTACCAATATTTGAGTGACATACTAAGCCTCCCATTTATAAGCCGTTGTTAAGATTTGAATTTTATAATTTGATTTTTTTAAAAAAAAGTTGCTTTTAGAGATATTTTATCATAATTTACTTTGCAGCATTGACTTATGACTTAGAACATAGATATAAAAGTTTTTAGTTTCAAGTTATCTTTTGGTTCTTACTTTATGCCAAACGACAGGAGACTTATTCCAACAATGCGGCTATTCTTGTCATGTTTGATGGTTGTTACCCGTTAGCACAAACCCCATGCAACCATATTAAAATAACCAGTCACTTATTCTCTTATTATTGTGAGAACATGGTTATAAGTTAGTTATCATAATTGATATAATCAACCTTGTTTTGGGAAAAAAATTGCTTAACAATGTCAAGTAGAAAAATTTGCCAAATATTATAACTTCTACGTGAAAGAGACAACATGTCTCTGAGAAAAAAAATGTCAAAAAGGACTTGACCCAAGATTTTTCTTGGGAACAGATCAAATTTTGCACTGAGCTGACCCAAGATTTTACAGACTAAGAGGGATTTACTTATTTGTAGCCGAGAGATTTTGTACGGTAGGTTCTTTGATCCGAGCCGTTAGACACAAATCGGACGACATTGACATGCTCCTTGTCACCATGTTGTTCGTATGGTCCGTGTCATATGTCTTTCCAGATGTCAGCTATAAAGTTGTACGTGCAAAAGGTGTAACCCATTTAGTTTCAAAAAAAAAAAGGTGTAACCCATCAGGATCTGCCGGACACCGCCGAGCCACCGTGCGTTTATACAGGACGTTAAAAGCGCCCCCGGGGCCCATCACATCGTGCACGAGAGTAGTACTGGGAGTACCTGGTGGGGCATGCTCAAAGGACGATAAACACCACGGGTTCGCGGGAGGGATGTGGCCCCTCCTCCCCAAACTTATCTGTCCAAAACTTGCATGCCCGCGGCCCGCGGCTCGGCAAATCGGGCAATTACGCTGGCAAATCAACCGGGATCCGCGATCCAGTCATCCAACCAACCAACCCACCCCGCCGCTCCCTGTCCGCGTCCGTCCAGCAACAGCGACAGACGACGAGACGACCACCCAACCGCGCGCGCTCGCGTGTAGTACGGGGGTACGAGGGTGCACGGTGCGCGCGGGAGCGAAACCGTGAGTTGGTTCACGGGCTCACGCTGCGTTGGTCAGCAGGTCAGGTTAGCAGTAGCACGGTTGCTTCGTGGGGACGGACGGACGGACGGGGACGGGGCGCGTCGCCATGTGACCCTGCCGCGCGTATCATCTCGGTGTTGAGCCATGCTTCTCAGGAGACTTTCCGACAGAAGACCTTGGGCTCCGATCGGGCAATGTGCGTGCAGGCCGAAGCATGGGAGATTCTGAGGCCCATCTGTTATGGGGCTATCTACCGACTGACTGGGCCGTGTGGGAAAGTTCGGCCGGTTGATTGGGCTCTACGTTTACATCTCGGAATAAGTTCATCAGAGGTCCCTCAACTTAACAGCAAGATTTTTTAACGTCCCTTAACAAAAAAAAAACCAGAAGTCTTCACCCCTAAACTATACAAAACCGTCCAATTTAGGTCCCATGACAGTACAGATGCCTAGTTTCGCTGACGTGGCATTCGAGTCAGCAAAATTAATATATATATATATATAGATCCCACATTAAGTGAAATGAGATAGAAAATGTGGGGACCACTTCTCTTCTTCTCTCTTTTCTCTTTTTTTCTTCTCTTCAGATCCTCTCCCAGGGAGGCTGCCACCGATGGCAAATGGGGGCGAGGCGAGCCTGGCCGAGCTCCGCCGCCGTCGCCGCACTGACGCACACGCGCTCGCTCGCTATCGCTTCCTCTACCCCCTGCGTCGTCGCTTCCCCTGTCCCCTTTGCCCCCGCTCCCAACGGCGAAGAGGCAGTCCTAGGGACATTCCTTGAGGACCAGCAGTGCCGCCGCCTCGACCGGATCTGGGAGCACCCCACTACCACGACAGCGGAGGTGGCTAGAGGAGGAGTGGAGTAGGCCGGCAGAGTGGTGGCGGCGGCTCGACCAGCCGAAAGTTGAGGATGTTGTGGCTGGTGAGGTCGAGCCGGGGCGAGGGGAGGGGGAAGTGGAGAGGGGGTTGGAGGAGAGAAGGGGAGGCGCTCACCCTCAATCTCGACGGTGCCGTCGGCGGTAAGCACAGAGTCCGCGCAGGCAGTGTAGCTCGCCTTGGCCTCGATGAACCACACCCCTCCGCCGGTGCTGTCGATCTCAGGCTTCCCGACGACCAGATTCGTGATGCGGCCGGCGATAGGGTGGTAGTGGACGACCGATGCGGCCTAGTCCTCGACGGCTTCGGTGGAGACGGAGGGGAATACCTGGATGAAGTCGATGGAGATGCAGACGGTGGTGGCCTTTGTCGTCGTTGTCGATGGAGGATAGCGAGAGGGAGCCGCCCGGGGTGGGCCCCGCCGAGGGCACCAGCGCGTCCCCCCGACAACCGGTGCTAAGTCGCTGCCTCCTCCTCGCCATCCCTAGTCGGCGTCTTGTCATCGCCGCCCCAATCTCGTCGTTGCAGCGGGTCACACCCCCACGCTACCTCCTCGCCGTCATGGTTGCAGTGGTCGCCGCCACCACCACATAGCCGGTGCCACCTCCTCTCCTCCCCCCTCTCTCGCCGGTGCGGCCGGCTGCCTCTCTCGCCGGTCCTCCTCTTCCACCGGCGTGTTGCCAACCCCCCTCCCGCCGGCTGCCTGGGAAGAAGAGAGAGATGTTGATGGGCTGATACGTGGGCTTCACATATTTTTTTATATTTTGTTTACTAGGATGCTATGTTAGCGAAACCAGATATCTATACTTCTATGAGATATAAATTGGACGGTTTTGTATAGTTTAGGGTGAAGATTTCTGTTTTTGCAGTTAAGGGACGTCAAAAAATCTCGCTCTTAAGTTGGAGGACCTCCAGTGAACTTATTCCTGATTTCACATTTCTCTCTTTTGGAAGCAGTAAAAAAAAGGTTGACCGGGAAATCGCCAGCTCCTTCGATCTGAAGACGACGAGAACCACGACAACACGACGAGAATTCACATTACTCTCTGTTTCTACAAGTTGACCCGGTGTTCGTTGGTCAATAAGAACAACACAACCACTTCGGGTGACATCGGTATCGATTGGCTTGGGTTTGACAGGTTAATAAGCCACGTCAGTTTGGATTGACAAAGTCACAAAACTACAGCGCACCAGTGAGCTCCCCAAACCGAATACGTTTTCTCACTGTTGTCTCATCCATCAAGCTAGTGAACCACCTCCAACAAATCTCCAACAAATCCCAGATCCTGATCGAAAGCGTCCCGCTCAAGCCGTGCCCACAAGCAACGAGCATATGCATATCACAGCTAGCCCCAGCACCCAACTCCACAGCAGCTGCAGTGCAGCAACAGCACAAATGAGGGTAACGACGTAGCAATGGGAGAAACCAAAGCCGAACAGCTGGTGACGGCCGTGTACAAGGTGCACGTCCACTGCAAGCAGTGCGCGAACACCATCGTGACACAGTTCACGCAGTTCCCAGGTGTGTGCCTGCTTCAGTACCCCGCAGGCCGCTGCAAAAAAATTTTTTTTGCCGTCTGAATTTGGCGCCTGCGCACGATTTACATTCTGATTAATTGCGTAGTAATAACATGAACAGGAGTCAGAGAGGTGAAATTGGATGGAGGAAAGGTGACAGTGAAGGGCATCGGCTTCGACGCCGAGAAGCTCAGGAAGAAGGTCGAGAAGGGATGCCGGAGGAGAGTTGAGCTGGTGCCTCCTCCCAAGGACATAGTCACTGAGGTCAAGAGCAAGAAGGAGGTAATTAATCTATGTCCTTGATTAAGTTATTTTTGGAGTTTCACTTGCCTGAAAAATTGGATTTTGGTTTTCTGGATATATAATACAGGAACTGAAGATCATCACTGTAAGGGTTCCCTTGCATTGCGCAGAGTGCGCAGCCAGGGTCAAAGAGGTTCTACTTGAGCACAAAAGTAATTAATTTCTGTACCTCGGACAGTTTTATCTCAATCCAACAGAATGAAACTGCAGATACTAATGTAGTAACCATATGCATGCAAAATGAATAAATAATTCAGGCATTTACGCGGCTAAGATTGACCTTGGGAAGAACTTGTGTGTCGTCGAGGGGGTGATTGAGGAGAAGAAACTCTTTGAATACATCTACCATAGAACGCGCAAGTACGGCTTCATCGAAAAGGTTGAGAAGAAGGAGATCATTGTGGAAGAGAAGGTTGAGGTGAAGAAGAAGGAAGCTGAGAAGAAGAAGGAAGGCGAGAAGAAGGAGGAGGTCAAGGTGAAGGAGAAGGTCAAGGAGGTCGTTGCTCCCTACTTCATCCCCTGCACGCACCCTCACTTCATCGATTACTCACACCCTGAACTCCATGGATTCAAGGACACGGTTTTCTTGCATTGCTCACACTCTAATCAGTTCCTCAGTAACGAAAACCCGGAAGCCTGCTCTGTGATGTAGAGTAATTTCAGATAGATCCAATATTTATGGAAAACGTGCGTCGAGGTATAGTATTTAATACTAACAAAACTTCGCATACATCCAGAATAAATTTGCTTCAGTTCAGAAAAGAAAGGTTGCGCTGCATGTCCTATATGTATCTGTGGGAATTCCGTATCTGTGTATACAGGCAAGAATCTGAAGTTCTGAACTAAGTTACAGAGAACAGCTCTCATAGTCATATATGAACAGTATGTAGCTTGACATTCCCGGGCTGCATATCTTGTTTCAGGAATCAGGCTAGTTTTTCATGTGCCTTAATGCTGAGACTACGAGAAATGCTATCAGGCAACCAATGTTACTGAATATAAGCGATAGTTATCATTTTGTCACCATAAAATCAAAGTGTGTCATTCGTGTGAAGAACACAGGACATTTAGTTGGAAGCATATATTAGATCAGCAAATACATGAACACACGAAATTGAAGATCGATCTCTTCACACGATCTGACAATCAATTAATCAATAGATATACACACACTTCATGTTATTTCTTCAGATCAAGTTAAGATCTTCAAATCATGAAAAGCTAGTTACTACTATCAGTGTACGTACGTGAGCGTAGCGCTGCAACTTAACCCAGCTTGCATGCATAGTGATCTTACAGGATTTCAATATATTTTGGAAGAAAACATTTGTCTCCCTCTCCAATTCAGGCACATGTGCTAATACTAAATGATTCACTCAATTCAACATTTTGTAATTACTTAATATATATATGTAACTAGGAAACATTTCGACATCAAAGCATGATGTACCTAGGAATCTATTTGAGGTATAATAATGAAAAAGAGGCAAACACAATATAAAGAAATACATGAACCTGAACTTTGTCAAAACAAGTACTAAGTGGTTAGTTCTCTATAATTTTCATCCTGTTAAAAAAGTATGGTTCATGCATGTAACATAGAGTAGCAACAAACACATTTTTTTAGATAACGGAACTACAATACAACAAACACATGCCCTTTGGATCTAAAAAACTTACTGAAATGGATACTGTAGGCAATCAAATATATACTTAAATGGATACTGCAGTATGCGCATGCGTGCGGCATATAGATACTGAATTGAATCCATTGACAACTAGTCAGTGAAGCTAAAAATCATGCTGGTCTCTACGACCTAACACACAGACTACTTAGTTCGGTTTCATGTAACTTGTAGCTGAACAGGGTAACTGAAATTAGCAGGCTGCAGTTTTTCCTTCTTCTATATATAGTTGCTGAACTTTCTTATTTTTCAGGGGCTTATAGTTTGTAGGTTGAAGCAAGGAGGTGATTTTTTTTTTCATCCTCTGAAGCCCATGAAAATTAATACTAATACATAACAGCAGATGATGTATTTTTAGGCCGGGGCTCCGTTCTGATGTATTTTCAGGGGCTTTACAGGTTTTGATACAAGAAAGTATTTAAAGCTCAATTATTGTTACAGATGAAAAAGGTTACAATTTGCAAGACCTGAACATTTTGTTGCAAGAAATTCCAATGTTTTCCAAAGCTGAGCACATTGAATTAATTGCGCGATCAAGCGGCGCGGTGAGTTAAGCCATAAACACAGTATTGATAAAACATGAAAGCAGCGCTGATGCAAAGACAGAGCCCATAGAAATAGAACACATGTCGTCAATAGAAACTTTAGGAATCTCAATTCTTTGAAGGTTCAAGTCCCAATAACTTAGGAACTAGTTCTCTGTTCTTCCATTTACTCTTACGAGCATCTTGCAATCTATGCATATAGGACAAGAAAGAACATGAGGGGACACACACTGTAAGTAGTGGTAAGATGATAGGCAGACAGTTGGTGAGGATTCCCCATGAACACTAGCTAGCCTGTTTTGAGAGGATGCAGTTGCTAATTGCTTTTGATCTTTAAACTAAGGCAAGTATGCACACGTGGGAGCAAGGAGTTGTAACTCGTGTTGCATTCCCCTAGCTTCCACATAAATTTTGAACCAGAAGAACTGATGACATGCATATAATTATGTTTCCCCAGCTGAACTATCTACAAATACTATAATATACATACATCACTGATTGTTATATATCATCACACAAAGACATCTAACACCTTCGTATCACACAAAAACAATTAGCTAAAACTCCAAAAGCACGCACCAGCACATCTATATGTGCATGATAAAGTAAGAATTGACAGCTTACGCCACACGAACACATAAAACCTTTTTCTTATAATTATCAGTTTGAGGCGAATCTCTCATCCACATACCAGTAACAAATTGAACATCAACAGCAAAACAAATAGAACGCCCATGCATCCTCGAACAATTTAAAGGCTACTTAATTATTAAAGCCAGATTGACAATTAAGAAAGGTTACACCACAAATTAAGGTTCAAAAGAAACAATAAAAGAAAAAGGGGAAAAAAAGAACAATAACGAAAACACATAATCAGAGATCGAGCAAACACTACGAAATAATTGTACATAGAGATAGAAATAGAGCAGTAGATATAGATCGATCGGTGGTAACCCTGAATACGTGGTTCATGCGTGCGTTCGCTAACCTTTTGCAAGCTGCGGCCATGAACCCTTGCGATGTCCTTTCCTTTGCTTCTTGTGATCTCTCCTCTCATCTCCTCTCCTTTCGCCGGAGCTACACCCATGTATGCGCATGTCAGAACGGTGGCCGTGCGCCGGCCCAGCCATGGCCGTCGGCGCCGGGAGGGAGCTGTGAGCCGCCGCCACCGGGCATGTTGTTGAGCGGCAGGTTGAAGAACGGGAGGCCGGCGGCAGACGGGTCCGGCGGGAACGCGCCACCCATGCCACCAGCATCGGCGCCGCCGCCGGGCTGCTGCATCTGCAGGCCGGCCTGCGGCGGCGGCGCCTCCTCCTCCTCCAGTGGGAGGCGCTCGTAGGCGACGTTGGCGAAGGACGCCGCGATGACGATGACCGGGCCCGCGGCGTAGAGCGCGCCGACGACGTTGCCGCCGACGACCTGTCCCTGGCCCCCGGCGAGGAAGATGGTGAGGCTGGTGGCGCCGGGGGGAGCCGGCGGCGGGAGGAAGGAGCCCGAGAGCGACAGGATCTCGAACCTCCCGTGCAGCGACACGACGGCGCCCGCGGGCGCCGACGGCTGACGCAGCGTCACGTTGGTGACCACGCCGCTGCCGCTCAGCACGCACACGCCGCGCTGCCGCCGGCGCGCGTACGTGGAGACGCACTCGAACACGTCGCAGCCGCTCCCGACCTCCAGGATGTGGGCGCGCAGCGTGTTGGCGCTCTCCCGCGTGATGATCACCGGCGGCTTCGGCTTGTTCTTGGAGCCAGGCGGGCGCCCCCGCGGCCGGCGCGCCACCACGTCGCCGGGCCCGCCGACCGCGCCGTCGGTGGCAGGACCTGACGACGAGGACCCGCCGTCATGGTCCCCGTACGGCCCGCCGTTGCTGTTGCCGCCGCCGCCGCTGCCGTTGGGGTCGTCGTCGGACGGCTCGTGCTGCTTGGCGTAGCTGTGCTGCAGCTGGAGGTCGGGGTGGAGGTGGTGGAGCTGGTGGACGTAGCGCGTCGCGGCGGTGCCGAGGTCGAGACCTGCCATGCTTCTCCACTAGCTCATGTACTGATGTAGCAGCAGCAGAGCGCCTCTCTAGCTCTAGCAAAAAAAATTTAAAATCTAAAAAAAAAGTGGAGAAAAAAGAGAGGAAAAAAACCGAATTGGAACAGGGGTGGTGTTTTGTTTTTAGGGTTAAAAGGCGGTGTTGGAAAAGGAAGCAATGATTTTTAAAGTGGGGGAGTTGTTTATACTCCTCCTTGTTTTTAAAATTTTTGGATGCACAGAGAAGCAAACAGAGAGAGAAATTAAAAAAAGAAGCACAAGAGAGCTTGCATGGAGGAGAGAACACCAAGAGAGAGCTATTGCTGTTTGATCTGAATTGGAGAAGGGAGAGGAGAGGAGAAGGGAGAAAGGCAAGCTATGAAGAAGAAGAAGAAGAAGAAGAAGAAGAAGAAGAAGAAGAGAGACATGCACAGGGGAAAGAGGAGAGAAAAGGGAGGGCTTGAGATGTTCTTCCAACCAGAGGTAGGAGGTGCAACACATAAAATAAGGGGAGAGGTGCCAAGGGAGAACAAATTCTAGTGTATGCTTGCACAGCTAAGCAGAGGAGACCTAGATCACCTCACTGACATGTGGGCCCAACAGAACACGCACACGAGGGAGGGCCCACGCGTCAGCCTCACGGGAGCTCAAGCGTGCTGGTGACAAGAGGAGACTTCGGAGAGGAGACGAGGAGCGGGATGAACTATGATGCGGAAATGTGATGCATGTCGATAGTGATGGCTAGCGTGTCATCGTGACCTTTTGCTAATTAACCATGGTTAAGCGGTTAAACCTGTGGTTTAGGGCTACTAATCAAGGTTAGAGGGCGTCCATAATGCGGCCCCTCGTGGGGGCCCACACCAGCGCATGCCACGATAGGATCGTCTGCGGCCATGGTTAGGTCTGGCTAGCTCTTGAGAGATGCACAACGAGAGGTGGATTAATTTTGCACTACTTCTACAATAATTGGTTCTCCGTAGTCTTTGTTAACAAATTCAATGGTTAATTTGCTCCAAACACTGCGGTCACAAAGAGTTACATACGCCCAACAGGTAGCCAGCTGCCTTTGGTATTTGTTACTCCGATTTGAATTTTGATAATTATAGTTATAGGGCGTATTTTAATTTTAAAGGTCTTATCAAAATCTTGCCAAATTAATAATTACACATGGTGTATAAAATTCTGCCAATAGATTAATTTTGTAATAAACTGTTTTCATGACACAATATAATTAGTAGTGAGGGCTTGCCTTTGGTAAAATCTATACATAACTTTGTAGCAGTTTCAGTTGACACTTTTTACCTAATTAATTTGGTTTACGAATTATATTGATCACGACTATAAATATATTCCAACATTAATTTAGCTTATCTAGGTAGCTATACCCATATGTATATGCTCATGGAGACAATACACGATTCATTCATTAATTCATCTGTTTGACATGTGTACATGTATACATGAGAGATGTGCAACACCCTCTAATAATTAACAAAAAAAAATGCCCGCGAATTGATTGATGCATTTCTTTAATTGGCCTTTGTCCTTTACAACATATTTTTAGACAACAAGATTTATAATTGATCGTGCGTTTATAGTTTACTTTCAATATATTACAAATGTCAAGTCAAATGAATGACCCACATCATGCTCGCGCTCAAACTGAATTTTATATGCAATATCTTATGATCAGTTCTTGTAAGCGTAACCTGCATGCCGTACTTTCACTACGTCTGATCGATGACCACAAAACTTTGGACACTAGACTACTTTTTACCATCTTTTCACGAGAGACCAATTAACACATGAGTAACCTCGAGCGCAACTGTTTCCGAATATTAATTTACAGCTTTTTAAATGTGTTTCGCCTTGGAAGAAACACGACCATGCATGCACATGAACACGGTAGATTTCAATTCTGTACACCGAGACGCATGGAATAATGCATAACTTTTTAAGGAACCAAAATAAAATATATCTATTTTTTGTAAAATCAAAGTGTTTTTGATTCCTTATTTTGTGATGAACAATTGGCATATGAGATTATTGGTTTTGATATTTGGAATTTATTTGTGAAGTGGTTACGGAGATGATTGGAATTTTACTGGTGGTCTACAGGAACTGTTGTGATGTGGTCCGGTCAGACCAGGCATGTGCTGCCGATCAGACTGGCGGCAAGCCCGCGGTCTGACCGGCCGACTCTGTGTCGGTTTCGGTTTCGGGTTGTTTGTTTGGATATCTGTGATTGTTTCATATTTATGGCTTCTAGATGGATACTATACGTATGTAATACTGTTGTTTGCTAATAATGAGTCAAGTTGGAGATAGCTTGGTCTCGGAATATGGTTTTTTTGTTTGCTTCATGTGTAGGTGACTTGATGCCTCAGGAGAGTATTGCCGGTGATAGATCGGGAGTCGACTTGGGGATAAGGCGATGTCCTTGACGATCAGATATCATGCGGGATACTTAGGCTAGAGTTCAATGCACGTGGTTGGTGAAGATTCCATATGGCATACGATGGAGGTATTGTGTGCGTATGGGATGCGGAGTCGAATTTGGAAGGAGTCCAAATTTGGTATGATTGGAGTTTGTAAAGTTTGTTTCTTGTGCGAGAAGGTTTCCTAGGTGGTTTAGGACTTCTAATATGAGTTTGATTCGTGGCTTTAGGCTGCCTACCTCATGTATAAATAGAGAGGGAGCATGAGGCTTTCCGGTATCGCTTTTGAGAACAACTGAGTTGATAGTTTAGTTAGGATTTCGAGTTTAGTCGAGATTTTTGTAAGAAGTGTTGTTGTTGCACTTTGTAAACACAGAGAGAAGTAATAAAGTTGGCATCTACTTTGAGAGTTCTTCGATTTGTGTTTCATCGGGTTCAGCGGTCTAACCGGCGACACACCGGCGATCAGACCGGTGTCATATCTGCGGTCAGACCGGCGGTGGCTACAAGAGGAATCTGCTGATCTTGGTGGTTCGACTGGACATTCTACTTCGGACCGACGACTTCCAGGCGGTCAGATCGGCGCAACACCTTTGGTCAGACCGCGATCCGTCGAATTTAAGGGTAACTTTTAATTCCGCAAAAAGTTTGGGTTTTTGGGTATACCAACCATTCACCCTCCCCTCTGGTTGGCTTAGTTCTTGTGTTTCGATCCTACATTATTTTAACGCGTAAAAGAATTGCACATCAATATATATATATATATATATATATATATATAGGACACTCATATGGGGCACCATGGTGCCCGGGCACCATGGTTTCAAATGCACAAAATCACTCAAATTTTTCAAAATTTTCAAATTGTGAGTATATACCTAGTTATAAGAATTCGATTCATACCTATACCTATCAACAAAACAACTCAAATTTAACTTTATTTCACAATCCATGATTACATACCTAACTAATTATATGTATGGATGCTATATACCTAGAATCAAAATCTAACAAAAACAAGTTCAAATTCAGTTCAAACTTGCTTTCAACTAGTTAGTAAAGTAGTTAATATTAATACCTAAATAATTAAAAAAGTTTCATGCTCATTTGAATTGGGTATATACTCAATTTCAACAATGGTGCCCGGGCACCATGGAGCACCAAACAAATTTAATATATATATATATATATCCAGACAATAACAAATCAAAGAGAAATAAGATATCCCAAAAAAAACATATGCCATATGTTTTTCTCTGAAGGTGTACGTATTAGCAGGTTTCGTTGTTATGTAATTTATTATAGTAGAACATAACCGTCTATAAATCATATGTCGTTAACTTTTAAGAGAATAAGGACAGACGTCGTGGATCCATGCCTGGTATTATTATTATTATTATTATTATTATTATTATTATTATTATTATTATTATTATTATTATTATTATTATTATTATTATTATTATTATTATTATTATTATTATTATTATTAGAGATGTGCTTCTACACTTCTTTAAAAAAAAGTTGCACGAAAATCGAAGCACATCAATGGCTGTGATTAAAAGTGGGTTAACAGTTTAATCCTCATTAGTGAGGGGTATTTTCGTCCATAGAAATTTCAGCCCACAACGATATCGTTCTCTCCTCGTCAGGCAGCGCCACTGCCCGCTGGTTTCCTCTGCAACGTAAGCGCCACCCGCTTCACCTCCCTGCCCTGCTAGACCACCCTAACTAGATCCCATCGATGGATCGATGGATTTGCGGTGATTTGAGTTGGTAGTTCGCTCGCAACACGATGAGCGGGAGCTCCAGTGAATAATATGCTGCTCCACAATGAAGATCGTCGCCGCCATGCTCAACATGATCAGCCTCGAGCACGAGGACTATATATAGCAACGTCGACGTCCTCATCAAGGGCCACCACCTCGCGCCGTCGCCACTGCCACATTGAGCACGCCGCCGTGCCGGCAGTAGTCAGGCCACCCCAGCGACAGCTGCAGCAGCTTCTTCGGTGCCATGATCTACACCTCATTTAAGGCCAAGTCGCAATTCGATTGAACCAAAGTTTAAACAGAAGAAATAACACAAAATAAGCTTGTGCCCTTCGTGCTTTGGCTTGTTTGATATTTGTTTGTCTGCAATCTGCAACGGCAAGTTCGATGTGACTTGTGATGGTGGTGAGCTGTAAATGAACGGGGTAGACAATGGTATGCAGATACTTGTTTTATGACTACTGGCTGTGAGATGGACAAAATGGAGCGTCGTGCTGCACCGCGCGTCGAGAGGAAGAAGAGGGCGGAGCGGCGGCGCTGTTTGCAAGAGGAAGCCGGGCAACGAGGGGAGGAAGAGGGAGGGGAGGTGGCGAGGCAAGGGAAGCGCGGGCGGTGCTTGCGAGGCTGAGGAGCGGCGCTACCCAAGGAGAGAGCATCCCGGACTAGCGGTCGTAGTCGTGGAGGAATCGGCGTCGCCATTGGTAATTTGGTATCGCTGCAGAGTTGGACCGGGGCTCAAAATTCCATGGACAAAAATACCCCTCGCTAATGAGGATTAGAGTGTTAATCTCTCTTTTAATCTCATCCACTTATGTGCTTTGATTTTCGTGCAACCTTTTTTTTTAAAGTATAGAAGCACATCTCTTATTATTATTATTATTATTATTATTATTATTATTATTATTATTATTATTATTATTATTATTATTATTATTATTATTATTATTATTATTATTATTATTGTTGACATCACAAATCTATGAGCAAATATAACCTCTGTTCTTAAGAACGTGTGGATATGATGGAGTATATATATACATGCACACAATTATATATATTCAATTTAATATAATAAACACATAATTGTATCTTGATACTATATACTATATGGCAACTGGATCAAAAGATTAACTATATGACGAAAAGTAGGTCTCAAGATAACAAAACATTACATTAGTGTAATGACAATACATATAATTAACAAGCTAGCTAGTCTTAGTTAAATTAACTGAAAGTACAACTACTTACCACTTTTATATGCATCAAATCCAGCTATATATAT